CAGAAAAAGAAACAGAAATGACTGATTTTGAGAAACGTCGCACGCTTGGTCAGTGAGTCGTAGCCAATGGCAGGCATTGGCCGTCAACGGCCATGCTGATTGGCTGAATGAACACGACCCGGCAGTCGCATTGAGAAGGATTCATTCCTCGTCGTGACTAAACTCATAGTGCTAGGCATACTGCGCTGGAAGCAAGCCAGGCCCAAGTAAAATAGGCGCCCGTAGAAATGCCGCAGGGGCCTGAGGGGCCGTTTACAAAGTTACAGCCATACGTGTACAGGGGACGCTCAGCGACAAAATAGGCTTAGCAGGCCTGAATAACCACTGTAAACGCAACGTAACAGGATCGGCGAAGCCTGAACTGCCGGAACCAGGCGCCGGATGCCACCCTTGTACGCTGTAGGCTGCGAGTTTAAAGAGTTTAAAAGTAGGGAAACCGAACTGTGCACTGTAAAAAGCCGTAACTAAAGGGGCTTTCCCTGGACCGTCCAACGTCCAGCATGGGCGAAAGGTGCAATTTTTTTTTAAGACAAACTAAAAAAAATAACCCACAGCACTGTGGAAAACGGACCGGTGGAAAGTCAGGCCAAAACGGCCGGACTGGAGATGACAACCGCTTTCTGGCTTTCACGTTTCCGTTTTTTACTTGACGTGTTGTTTTACCCTGTTTCCAATTCCCGCCAAGCCTCGGCAAGAAACTGTCAAGACAAAAAGAAAGAAAGAAAAAAAGAAAAAAAGAAAAGAAAAAGAAAAAGAAAAAAAGAAAAGAAAAAAAAAAAAAAAAAAAAAAGACAGCCATGTTACGTGACACGCTGGACGATTACCGTCACGTCGGAGGCTTGCCATATTTTCTTTTTCTTTTTTCGGCCTTTTGCATCGTACCAATAGACTAACCCGAGTTGACATATGGAAAAGAAATCAAGATCGAAAGGGCACCAAAGGAACAACTAGAAGACAAAAAAAAAAAAAAAAAAAAAAAAAAACCGACTTTCGCTAGCGCCAATGGAATACCGCCGAGTGAAACCCATTTGGGTGCAACCCCGATGGCCACCCCAAAGAAAGCCGTCAGGAAGCTTGCGAGCCAGTGAGCGTTGCCCAGACAGTCCACCCGGCAAGTGAACGTGACCTAACAGGCGCTCGGCGCTTCTTTCTGTGCTAGAATCGAATCAGTGCCGGCCAAGAGAAGGACCAAGAGATGTGGCTGCCACGCCTCCGCCGCCAACCCGCACGGCCCCAAGCCCCCATTTTTATCCCCAGAGGCCACAAGACATAACGTGAGGCCGGAAACGAGGCCTCGGACCTGAACTCGCACTTGGCAACAACTGCAATATGAGAGGACTCGACAAGGGGACGGTTTGGTCCCCGTAAAATAGCTCCGCTTGAAGGCTGCTTTTCTTCCACGCCCTCTCGTTGTCGGCCTCGACTGTGGCGGCGTCTCCCCGGCCTTCAGCTCTAGTCCCCATACGTGCATCTTGTCGGGCCGTTGCTGCTTCCTCGACATGCATCCTATGCAGGCTAGCCACGCTACTGTGTCTGTATTTTGGACAGACCCCGTGGGACATGCCACATGTTGGATGGGGAACAAGGCAAGGGAGGATACGACTCGTTCGTTGGTGTGGAGAGACTTCACACACTGGGGAAAGGGAGAGGGGGAAATGGGGGGATGGGGGATGGCAAAGTTGGCCGTGTTTCGCAACTTTTGCGGCCCTTTTGATGTACTTCTTGGCATGCATACTAGGCAGTACGGCGTATTGATTCAAACTGGACGATCGAAAGAGAGGATTGTCCACTTCCGACGATATTTAGGACGTCGCGTGGCGTCGCAGCACGTTCCAAAGTGACAGGTTTGACAGGTGAAGAGCCGTCGGGTGGCGGCTGTCTGCGCCCGTCTCCTTACTGTGTATCGTGTCTCTCGTTTGATGCCATGTGCTTCGATTGTACGAATTTGTAAAGGATCGGCCAACCATGCGGAGGTCCCTGGTAATCATAGACTGAAAGCTTCTTCACGTCGGATCTTCCATCTTTCTCGACACCAGCAAACAGTCTCCTCCCGCACTGCAAAACCCTGTTGACAAGGTGTGCATCCCCATCTCGAAAGCTGACAAGTTCTCCGGCCGAGATAGTACCGCCAGACCTCGTACACCACCTGCACGACCAGCATTAGACGCGGCGGTACTCCGTAGCGAAGCAAGAAAAGGTCACCAAGATGGCCAGCGGACGTCAGCGTGCATCTTCAGAAGCGCCCAGACCGCTGCAGCTACGAGCATCTTGTGTTTGTTGGTCCCCAATAGAACACAGACTGCAGCATATCAAAAAGTACAACATAGGACACACGAAACGGGTACTGTCCTGGCTATTTTTCAGCACCAATCCAGCGCCTCCGAGCACCTTCCAGCAACGTGCACCAATTCCGGGTCAACTCGAGCTTTGTCGACGTCGCGGCTGACTCGATCTCGCATCTTTCTGGTCGTCGTCATTCTTCGTCTTTCATCCTGTCTCTTAGTGGCGTGCACGTCCGATGTGCCTCGTGACCTTTTTTCGTAGCGCCGTCTTAGCTGAGTAACGCGGGCAACTATCCCACTAACGCCACTAACGCGCTCTGAGGCGCTGTAAAGAGGGACGGCGTACTCCGTTTACTAGCAAAAATGCCTGCCAAAGACGTCCCAAGCTGGCTTAGCTCCGCAAAGAGCCGCTGAGGATGGCGTCCTTATTGGCTTGCTTCTTTCCTCTTTGCTCGCTGACGCTCAGCAGCCGTCCTCTGGCAAAACTTGCCACATCCATCGTCGGACTCGTGCCCTTTTCACAAACGACGGCACATGACTTCAGGCCCCCGTAGTCTCACCTTGTCCGCTCGCCGTTGTCGGTGGCCTCCGCTGCCATCATCGTCCTACCGAGGGGCCTCGTCCTCCGAGAGGGACAAGGGGAAGCGTGTACTCCGAGCATCGTGACTCGTTTCCAACAACACGAGACCGAGCACATTTGTCAGGGCAGGCCTCCAGGGAGTAAGACGACATACTGATGATGCCTAGACGGCGGGAGGATGCTGCAAAGCGAGGCCAACCGAAGAGAGAGAGAGACAGAGAGAGAGAAAGAGGCCGAAGAGACGCCACTGCAATCGGCTGTAAGCCAAGAGCACTCCTTCCGTCAGAAACAGCCTGCCGCATTTTGGCATTTTGCATCGTGCGTCCCTTTTCTCCATCAATGCCACCTCGTGTCAAATTAACTTGCTGGAAACATTGGCTAAAGCTGATGGTCCCCCGTCGTGGGCCAGCCGCGGGACATGCGCAACAAAACGGACGCTGCTGCGGGAAGTCGATTTGATGCCATAGTAGCAGCACTTCCTTTGTGTACTGTGCCGAGGACTCGACATCTTGGAGAAACAGCGGAGGGACGTTGGGGTGTGGAAAAGGAGGGTGTGCAACATTGTGGAGAGCCCGTGTGTGGCGGGTGGGGTGCAGAAACAAAGGAAGAATACGAAATACACATACGACATAATTCGTACAACCATAAACCATACAAAAACATGGCTAGCCCCTCTGGGTTGGCCCCAAGAACGGGCCCCCAGATGCATCCATGGCCGTTCTTCGGCGGTCGCCCCAATAATTTTAATGCAAAAGAAAAATACAAAATGGGCAGGGGGAGCGAAAAGGTGTGGATGCTTTGGCCACCAATTGGATCAACCTCCATCGAAAAATTTAGAGTAGCTTCCGTTTCTTACGACGTGCTTGGTTTCTCAGGCAGTCTGCCGTTTTCATGTGGATGTTCGTTTATCTAGGAGAGGCATGGGGTCGTGACAAGATGCTCGTCACGAATCACTGATCTCTGATCGCTATTCACTGTTCACTGTGGCAAGTCAACAAGGCTTATGAACCACAGTCGGGCAGAATACTTTGTAGAACAGCGCAATACAAAAGCCTGAGTCAATACCAGCCCGGCGGGAACAATAAGCTCCCAAGAACGGGCCGCCAACGTAACACCTTCGCCAGGCTTGATTCTTTTCGTTTTCTTTCATGTATTCAATTGTCTCTGCTTTCGTTCGTTCCGCCCTCCCCTTCTGGCCCTTCTGGGGTCGCCACGCCACCCCCGTTCGAGACTCCATGCCCCAGCTCTCGGCGAGAGGCAAAGCCTTTCGAGTCTTTGGGTCGTCTGCTTCTGTTTGGTCGTTGGTCGTTGGTCGTTGGTCGTTGGTCATTTGTATCTTTTGGGGTCCTCCTGCCCGTTTTGGGGTTTTCTCTTTCTCCATCGTTGGCGTCGACTGGCGCCGGCCGTACTGTGGCCTTCCTCCGTCTTGTGCCCCCTTTCTCCACGACCTGGCCTCCTGGGCCTCTGCTAGGCTCGGCTTCTCCACAGTGGCTTTGTAGTCTCGCCGGTGGCTCTTTCCCTTTTCCCCTTTCACCTTCTTTCCTCCTTCCATTTCGTGTTGTCCCCAAAAAGGAGAAACGGCCGGAAAGGGCAGGCGCGGCCGGCACGATTGTACATTCAAGGAAGGCACGCGCTCGCGCCTGACAAAGTACACGTCCTACTTCGTACACGTCCACACGTAATGTACACACTGACACATCACCTCCTGGTCGTGGAACCCTTCCGTTTCCCTGTCTTTTTTCTTCTTACTTTCCTCTCGACTTTCCTCCCCGTTTTGCCCCCCCCCCCCCCCGTCTCTCTTCCCTTCTTTTCTCCTCTCGTCTTGCTCGCTCCCCATACACCCCAGTCACCACGCTGCAACGAACCGGGGACAGACGAAAAAGAAGAGAAAGCTAACGTTCCACCCGATCCTCTCTCGCACCCTTTCTTTTTTTGTTCTTTTCTTTTTCGTTGTTTTCTCCCCCCATCCTTTCTCCACCCCCAGTCGATCTCGACATATAAGGCCTTCGTCCTCCCCCAGCTTTGGATCGTCACATTTCCTTTCCTTTTCTCTCTCTCCTCTCTTCAAGCACTTCTTCAACCCCCCTGCTCTCCTTTCTTCTCTTCTCCCTCCCATCCTCCCAAACAGCATTTCCACAATGGCTGAAGTCGAGAAGGAGACCGGCCAGGTGGCCCAGCCTGAGGCCCAGCACCACAACTTCGTCGGCCTCGCCACGGCCCGCGATCTCGAGCAAATCGAGGCCCCCGTCACCTGGAAGGCCTACGCCATCTGCGCGTTTGCCTCCTTTGGCGGTATCTTCTTCGGCTACGACTCTGGCTACATCAACGGCACCACCGGCATCCAGGAGTTCATCAACATCATGGAGGGCCCCGGCGTCAAGGCCCTCCCCTCCAGCCACCAGTCTCTGATCGTCTCTATCCTGTCCTGCGGTACCTTCTTCGGTGCCATCATCTCCGGCGACCTGGCTGATTGGTACGGCCGCAAATGGGTTGTCGTCAGCGGCTGCTTGATCTACCTCATTGGTGTCATTGTCCAGATGATCCCCGGCCCCGGCATCCACGACCCCCGTGGCGTGTTCGTCGCTGGCCGTCTGATTGCTGGTATCGGTGTCGGCTTCGTCTCGGCCATTGTCATTCTGTACATGTCCGAGATCTCGCCCCGCAAGGTCCGCGGTGCCCTCGTGTCTGGCTACCAGTTCTGCATCACCATTGGTCTGCTGCTGGCCTCGGTCGTCTGCTACGCCGTCCAGGACCGCACCAACACGGGCGCCTACCGCATCCCCATTGCCATTCAGTTTGCCTGGGCCCTGATCCTGGCCGGTGGTCTGATCCTGCTGCCCGACTCGCCCCGCTACTTTGTCAAGAAGGGCCGTCTCGACGACGCCGCCAAGTCGCTGTCGCGCCTCCGCGGCCAGCCCGAGGGCTCCGACTACATCCAGATGGAGCTCTCGGAGATTGTCGCCAACGAGGAGTACGAGCGCGCTCTGATCCCCTCCACCACCTGGTTCGGCTCGTGGGCCAACTGCTTCAAGGGCTCGCTGTGGACCGGCAAGTCCAACCTGCGCCGCACCATCCTCGGCACCTCGCTCCAAATGATGCAACAATGGACTGGTATCAATTTTATCTTGTTCGTCCCCCCCGCAGCACCATGATGCACAGTCTTGCATGTTGAAAACCCCCCGCTAACTCCTCCCAGCTACTACTCGACGCCGTTCCTCAAGTCCACGGGCGCCATCTCCAACACGTTCTTGATCTCGCTCATCTTCAACCTGATCAACGTGGTGTCCACGCCGCTGTCCTTCTTCACCATTGAGCGCTTCGGCCGCCGGCCCATCCTCGTGTACGGTGCTCTGTCCATGCTGATTTGCGAGTTCATCGTCGGCATCATCGGTGTCACCGTCGGCTTCAACAAGACGCACCCCGCGCCGACGGCCGACGACCCGACCAACACCCTGGCCAACAACGTCTCCGCCGTCAACGCCCAGATTGCCTTTATCTGCATCTACATCTTCTCCTTTGCCTCCACCTGGGGCCCGGCTGCCTGGGTCGTCATTGGCGAGATCTTCCCGCTGCCCGTGCGCTCGCGTGGTGTCGCGCTGTCGACCGCCTCGAACTGGCTGTGGAACACCATCATCTCTGTCATCACGCCCTACATGGTCGGCGAGGACAAGGGCAACCTCAAGTCGTCCGTCTTCTTCATCTGGGGCGGCCTCTGCACGGCTGCGTTTGTGTACGCCTACTTCCTGGTGTCCGAGACCAAGGGCCTGACGCTCGAGCAGGTCGACAAGATGATGGAGGAGACCACCCCGCGCACGTCGGGCAAGTGGAAGCCGTCCACCACCTTTGCCGCTGACCTGGCCGACAACAACCTCGTTGGTGTCAAGAACGACAACATTGCCTAAGTTGTGTATGTCTCCTGCAGAACAACTCACTGTAAGCGTTGTCGCGTCTTTTCTTCATTCTCATGCCGTGTGCTTATACCACCTTGTCACGTACCCGTGCAGGTCGGCGGAGCAGACAAGAGCGTATTCTCTTTTTTTTGCTTGGCTTGATCCTGCATGTATTTTCCAAAATTTAATTTACTTGCCGTTTCGTCGTTAGGAAGGGGTGGCTTATCCACCTCTCTCTCGCTTCGAGCGGCAATATATACCACTTATACCACTTTGTTACCAATCTCTGATTGCCTCTTACGCCGTAATTGCTGTTATTTTTTGACTTGAAATAAAGTGTTTGACTCTGGATGCAAAGGCAAAGCGATGACAAGGATGCGATATCTTTGTCACTCGTTTCGCAGGCGCACAAAGCTGATTTATTTGTCTCCCTTATGACTACCGCTTACTACGCAGCCCCAAAATGGGATGTTATTCGAGCTGAGTGACATCCCATTCTGATGACTATTGACGGGGTAAACAAAACGTACTCCAGGACAACACGTTGTCACGTGACGTACAAAAAGAGGAAAGTGGACAGAGGCTTTTGATCTTGACCGAAAACGGGCAAGTCTCCTCTGGGGACTCTACCATATCTCCTCTCAGCAACTCTCCAGTACGGTGCCTTCATGACGATGACAAGTGCAACCGAACCGTTCACTAGCAGTATACCTTTGACGATATTGTTGTCAACAAGGAGACTGGCGTATTGTTTTCTTTTTTTTTTTTTTTTTGGAAAAAAAAACCCTCACGAAATTTTTCAGCAGCTGCCTGACACGCTGATAGGCTGGCATGCTCATATCTTCCTCACTTCATAGCACGAACTAAACTTTATTCATGGTACGACGTGCTTTCGATCAAAGAGCATACGACGGCTGGCCTGGCCGTAGCAGAGTTGACTCATGTGCCATCTTCAGGACTTGGGTGCTGACAAGGAAGGTAAAGACGCGTTGTACAAGGGGCTCTTGGATACACGCAGACCTATTCTTATTCTCCCTCTTAGGTACTGTCAAACTACTCAGACTACCAACGCAACAGCGATATTGCCGTATCAATCAGACGAGCTGATTGAACGCCGTAAAGTGTCATGTCGTCGTGGACGTTCAAAGTACCCACTTTTTCCACCGCCAGCGACCGCCAGCGAACACCAGCTCACCAGCTCACTAACTCACTAACTAGTAAAGGAACTCCACTAAAGCTGAAGCTGCTGGCGAGCGGAGCCAATCAATGTGCCTTGTTCGTTGCTCCCAGGGCCTAAAGGAGGCATCCCTTTGGGCGTTTTCCGGGGGCAATGCAATTTCCAGTGACTGTTTTGAGAATCACTTTTTTGTCGTCTCGCAATTTCATCATCCATCTCGACTTCTCTCGCGACGACTTGCATTTCCCTCTCAAGGTAGACTGACGAGCGATTGGTTTGCCAGCACGCGCCAATACTGCAACGTTGTCCGGGCAGCTGGACCAGACACGCTCCCTGCCGCGAGCATCTCCCTTGTCCCCTTTGTTGTCGTCATCGCCACCAGCATCGTCATCACACAAACACAGCGATACGTTCTCAGACTCTTGTTTTCAGTCGACACTCTTCGTCTCCTACACACACACATATACATCGGCGCCTGCGACCTGCTACCCATTGATCCTCCGTTCCGCCTCGGGAGAGCTGGCCTTGTTTTCGCGCCAGTTTTGAGGCGCAGTCGACAGACATTGGGAAAGAAAAACACAATAAAAAGGCGACGCCCAATCGCTACTCTCGTCTTCGGTAAGCACCACTGCCCGACAATACCACGCACCCTCTGTGGCTTTGCACCAGAACCACGTTGGTTGTGTCTCCTCGGCCACGTTGCACAGCGCTCAGCTAAGAAAGGCCAGGCACTGTTCCAAAACAGTCGCAGATAACAACAGACAAAAGGGAGAGGCTTTGTTCTTAACTGGGTCTCTCGATGCTCTGCTTGGAGACTGTTGCCTTTCGTATTTGCTCCCTATTTGGCATCCTCCCTTTGCACGTCTACATTGAGACCCGCCACTTGCCGGCAACGTCTTCGTTTATCTAACCTCGAACTCTGGTCCCTTCTAGTTATTCTGTCCATTCGACTTCCCTCGCTTTCCTCATTCCTCATTCTTCTCGTTCCTCTCCAGACATACCATCGACCATGAAGCCTAGAACAGCAACCACCGAGATCGGCCGCCGCCGCAGGCTCATTGCCGCGTCGACGGTCCTCTTCTTTGCCGCCTCGGCCTCGGCCGCCGATGCTACCACGCCGACCACCACGGGCGGCGACGGCACCGCCACCGGCACCTCCACGACCTCGGCCGGCACCATCAACGTCACCGGCACCACCGTGCCCCAGCTCGTCACCGAATCCGAGCCCTGCGCCCTCTTGTGCTACAACGCCGCCTGCCTCGACTCCGGCTGCTCGCCCGGCGACTTTGCCTGCGTCTGCGGCAACCCCCACTCGCTCGTCGTCAAGATGGGCCTCTGCGTCGGCAAGGACTGCGACGACGCGCGCCAGTTCGACTCGGGCCAGTGGATCGCCGACCTCTGCAGCGCGATCGACAAGCAGGACCAGCCCAGCAGCGTGCGCGCGGCCGACCTGGCGAGCGCGTCGTCGGTCATTGTGGCCGAGATCTCGTCCGCGGCGGCCACGGCGACCAACAACCCGGTGCCCTCGACGGGGACGATTTCCAACGGCGACAGCGGCGAGACGGCGGCGGCGGGAGCATCGGGCACGGCGTCGGCGGCGGCGGGGCGGCCGCGGCTGCTGCACATTGGTGCCGGCGGCCTTTTGGGGCTGACGTCGGTTGCAGTTGGTCTGGTGGGCGGCGCGGCCGTCCTTGCGGCGGCGGTACTTTAAATCCCGTGTGGTGTCGATCGTCTCCACGGACGTTTTGTCCTTGTCTCTGCTTTACGCTTGTTATACTCTGTACATACTATTTACATACCCATGACACTTGCATAGTCTCTTTGTAATATTTTGTTTTGGTTTCCGCTTTCCGACCTGCCACAGTCTTTGCATTCGTATTCGGCGGTATGTGTCGATGTGTTGTCCTTGCCGATACATCAAGCAGTGCACATCCTCTTCCCTACAATGGCTTCTGACCCAAGCACAATGCCACTATTTTAGAACCAACATTCACCAGCAAAGCACAGACGATTCAGGGTCGATTCGTGAGTTAGACCGTTCCCCTCATGATTCTTTTTTTTGTTTCGTTTTCGCAGTCAAGATCCACTCAACCTTGCAACACGACAAAAGATGTCTGCCCTTAGACGCAACGAAGACACCCGCCATTCTCAACTCTAAAAATTGATATAATAAGTTCCTGGTATGATTGGTGGAAGTACATGAAAATCGACGCCACGCACTTGGCCCACCACCACAACCGAGCATCCCGAGACCCGAGTCGCCGTTACAACACATGGCAGGCATATATCCCCTTCCAGGACAAACGTAGACAACTACACCAGTGGATATAATAAGCTTCCCGTCGATCGGTAGAGCAGACACGGGCATGTGCGCGTTGCCTGCTGGTCCTTTTTCTGACGTGGATCCTCCTTAGGGTGCAGGACCTGGAACCGGATGAGAGCCGTTGCCATGGGGGGCCGATGCGGTGCCATTGCCGGAGATGGGTGCTGGTTTGGCCGGCGTGGGAATCACGGTCTTGCTCGTGCAGTTGAGCGTCGGCATAAAATTGACCAGCTCCTGGCCGTTGCAGCCCCAGCAGCGGCAGAACTGGAAGTGTCAGTGACCGTGTACAGGTCATGCGCCTTCGTTTTCAATCGTCAAATTGGGTGTGGACTCACAATATCAATCGCTTTTGTCGGATCCGAATCAGCACAGCCCAGCACTCTAGCTGTGTCCGATGTATTCAAAAAGCAGCCGCTATTGTCCATAATCAGGTAGCATCCTGTGTCTTCACTCGACAAATCGCAAGGTCCAGCACCAGTACCGGCGTGGTAGCTATTGGGTTGGCTGAGCGCACGATCACGATCATGTGCGTCGTCGTGGCTGTGGCCATTTACGGACAACGGTGGCGCGGCGGCTGCAATGGCCGCCCAAGCTGTGACAATTGAAGACACGACGAACCCTTTCATGGAGAATCGGAGGTACCAAAGAAGGACCGAAAACTCATCGGAATTTGGCGAGACAACACTCGTGAAGATGGTGATGATGTCAAAAGCGAGGAAAACAAGTGTCAGGCTCAACTAACTGGGCAAAGTGCTTGATTTTTGCTCTGAGCTTGACCGGTAGTTACGAACGATTGCCAAATTGCCCAAGTTATCTTTCATTTATGCCGGAAGTATATCAAGACGGCAAATTCCATATTCTTCTGCTTAATATGGTTGTGTGTCGCCTGCTCTATCTCTCCGAGCGAACAATTACAGGAATTGTGGACAGAATGACAGAATCAAAACAAGGCCAAAAACACACGACTCGTTGGACATGGCCCGGCGCCACGGTATCTCCTCTTTTCTGTTTGTTTGTGCACATGGTCGTGATTCGGACGGTTTCTATGGCTTTACGTGAAACTATGGTACTTATCTCACCATGTTTCCAAAATCGGTGGTTGCTTATTTCCACTGATTCATCCAAACGCAGCGGCAAGGCTCCTCATAGCCGAGAAGAGAGGCACGGCTGGCAAGCAAAGTGTACACCCCTCCTCCTCACTCGTCCTGCTTCGCCTGCCACTCTTATCCATACCGCACCGCGGCTGCGCCCTCGTTGAACCAGTCTTCGGCCACGCGCGCCTCGTGGGGCCGCGCATAGTTGACCACCGTGCTCTTGGCCGCCGTGTAGGCCAAGTACGCCTCGCGGCCGTTTTCGCTGCCGACACCGCTGCCGCCGCCCGGGACCGACGTGGCGCCCCAGGGGCTGCTGGGGTCGTTTCGGTGGTGCGTGTTGACCCAGACGATGCCGGCGGCCACGCGCTCGGACACGCGGAACGCGCGCGACAGATCCTGGGTCCAGATGGCGGCACCCAGGCTGAACGCGGCGTCGTTGGCGAGCCGCACGGCCTCGTCTTCGTTGCCGTTGGCAAACGGAACGACCACGACGACGGGGCCGAATGCTTCGTCCCGCCAAAGGCGGGTGCCGAGAATCCTGGGTGTGGGTTCTCTGTTTTCTATGTTTTCTGCGTTTTCGCCGTTCGCCGCGTCGGTCGCCAATGGTGCGCTCACGAGGACGGTCGGCGGGTAAAAGTAGCCCTTGGACAGGTCGAACCCGTCCAGCGCACTGGTGGCCGGCAGTGTGCCGCCGCCCTCCGCCGCCGCCGCGCGCCCGCTCGACACGGCCGCGTCGACGAGCGCGCGCACGTGCCGCTGCTGGTGCGCCGACACCAGCGGGCCCATGCTGCTGTGCGGGTTGGCGGGGTCGCCGATGTGGGCCGCAATGAAGGCGGCCTTGCGCGCGAGGCCGGCCACCACGTCGTCGAAGACGCTCTGCTCCACGAGGATGCGCGTCGCCGCGACGCACGTCTGCCCGCTGGCCACAAACGCACCAAACGCGACGCCGTTGATGGCGGCCGGTAGGTCGGCGTCGGCAAAGACAAGGACGGGGGCTTTCCCGCCGAGCTCGGCATTGAAGCGCGCCAGGTTGTGGCCGGCGATGGCGCCGAGGGCGCGTCCGGCGGCGGTGCCGCCCGTGATGTCGATGGACCGCACGAGCGGGTGGGCGGCCAGGGCGGCGGCCACAACGGGGCCGGGACCGGGCAGGACGGACAAGACGCCGGCCGGCAGGCCAGCCCTGTGCAGCAGCTGGGCCAGCGCGAGGGACGTCAGCGGCGTCTGCTCCGACGGCTTGAGCACGACGCTGTTGCCGGCCGCCAGCGCGGGCGCCAGCTTCTTGACGGCAATCAGCAGCGGGTGGTTAAACGGCGTGACGAGCGTGACGACGCCCAGCGGCACGCGGTCGGCCCAGTTGTGCAGCTGGCCGGCCGTGGGGAAGACGGGCCGCTCGTCGGTGCGCAGCAGGGCCGCGTAGTAGCGGAACCAGCGGACGAGCGAGGGCACCTGGGCCTGCATTTCGCGGACGACACGGCCGGTCTGGCGGACTTCGAGCGCAATCAGGTCGGGGAGGGCGGCCGTCAGCAGATGAGCGGCTTCGTCGAGGACATCGGCGCGGACGTGGCGGGGCGCACGAGACCAGGTGCCGGCCACAAAGGCGGCATGGGCGGCCTGGACGGCAGCGTCGACATCTGCCTCGGAGGCGCTGTGGCATCTGGTGGGTGTGAGAGCGAGCAGTGGGAATGCAGACAACAAGAGGGACATACGATGCAAAGACTTCTCCTGTGGCTGGGCATTCAATGGGTATTCTGATTTGACGTGTCAGCAGGCAAAGCGCATCTGGAGGATAGGCACGATGGAGGTACTCACGGCTCGCCTGTTCCTCTGCACTCGGCGCCGTTCACCCAAAGGAGGTATGTTTCGGGAGCCGACATGGCTCAGATCAGCGAGAGAAGAACTAAATACTCGGAATTTCAATGTGAACACAGTCACGCGGTGCAATATATATGTTGTCCTCGGCGGACGAGATATCGGTGGTCGTTGATGCCAAAGATAAGAGCTGTCTGTTAGTGGGGCACTCTGTTGGTGTCCATTTGTCCGGTTTTGGTTATGTGCTTGTCCTCGAGCTTGGAGCGTGTTGAAAATGAAACGTAACGAGGCTGTGCTGTGACTAACGGTCTGGGAACCGGATTCCCGCCATTGGCCGCCGCAACAACTAGGTGTAAGAGAATCGCTCTCAACGACAATGCACTTGGTGTGTCCTCAACAGCCCTTGTCGGTTATAAGAAACGGCTTCCAAGTTCGAAAACAAAGCGTTTTCTGTAAACGGCTTATGGTTTTCTTGGAAGAACGCCTCCACCTTCTCACGCGTTTGATAGATGGGCTTGTTTCGGACAGTGCAGCCATCGTTAGAAACTGTCCACTTCTCTGGCCATTTGGCTTCGTGTGGTGACGGCCAATAACTTGTGGTGTGTATTTAACGACAACACGCGGTTGTTGATGCGGTCGTTTCGGGCAGTTTGGTCTGCGTATTCGCAAGACGCGCCGCCCTGGCGGCATCGTTCCTTTGTGTGGTTGTCGTCATTTCGTGTGGTACGGGGGGTTAGAAGGATTCTCGGGATAAAGAATCGAGAGGAGGAGGGCGGAATAAAAAAGAAGTGAAAAGAGGAGGGAAGAAAGATTCAGGGGTAATTACAAGAAACCGAATAAGAAGGAACGGTTAACTGAATGGTAACTGTCATCTCCTCCTTCCTTACACGAACCGAAAGTGCCTTCCTAAACTGGTATTGGAATAGCGATGAGATCGGAGCCGTTGCCAAGGCGCGTGGATGGACTGTTCTAGGCCCCTCGTTAGGCGCTACAGTGGGACGATGCTTAAATATAGAGGGCTATTAGAGCAAGTACTGTCTCGTTCAGAATGGCGATACTTTACGTCTAAGCTTAGCAGCGCTACAGAGCCGTGGAAACATGGAAATGTACAAAACAAAAAGAGAAAAAAAGAGAAGGAAAAAAAGAGAAGGAAAAAAAGAGAAGAAAAAAAATGATTCATTTTCGACACCGCCTCAACACTACCCATCACAGTGGCTTCTGTCCGTAAATGGCGACCCTGTCAGGTTGTCACGTTAGCCGTCTACTTTGCCAAAGCGACGTTACGGGCGGGGGCAGGACTTACACTGGCAGATATGCGTGGATGCGGCGGTCGTGCAGGTCCTGGCGCACCTTGGCCAAGAAGACCTCGACGGCCTCGACGGACCAGCCGAGCGCCTTGGTGAAGATGGCCATGGTGATGCCGTGCGCGACCTCGAGCAGGTTCGTCATCTCCATGGCGCCCAGCAGCTTGTTGTCGCGGCCGCGCGGCCACGGGCTGATGGGCAGGGCGTGCCGCCGCTCGGTAATGTCCTGGAACCCGGCGTCGGCCATCCAGGCGCGCAGGTTGAGCGCGGCCAGCGGGTCCCGGCCGACGCGCCGCACGCCCGCCATCATGTGGTCGTTCCACGCCTTGAGGGTGGTGCCCTCGAGGGAGCCGTCGACGGACTGGAAGAGCATGGGGCCCTCAAAGAGCTCAAAGTAGCCGCCGGGCTGCAGGTGGTCGTACGCGCTCTGGATGACGGCCGGCGCGTTCTTGAGAAACGGCACAATGTACCGCCCGTGGATGTAGTCAAACCGGTTCGCGCCGCCAAACGTCCACTCGTCCTCCATGTCGTCGATTTCGAACCGGCAGTTGGCCGGCACGTACTCGGGCTGGATGGGGCTGAGGTCGGTGCCGAGGACGTCGGCCGCGGGGTGGCGCTCGGCAAAGTCAATGGCCCAGATGCCCGTGCCCGTGCCGAGGTCGAGCACTCTGTGGGCCGGGTGCGACGGCCCGGTGGCTGCCCCGGTGGCTGCCCCAGTGGATGCCCCAGTGGATGCCCCAGTGGATGCCTCGTCCGTGGCCGACTGCGTGGCATCTGCACCCGCAGCACCGTCGTCGCCCGCCGTTTCAGATCCACCAAGCTCCTGGTTCGGCGGCGCCAGCCCCAGCTGCCCGCCCAGCACGTGCTTCGCAATCGCGTGCTGCAGGTCCAGCCGGTTCTGCTCTTGCTCGTCGTTGGGCAGATAGTACTTGCCCTCCTTGTAGCTGTGGAACGTGCGGCCAAACTCCTCGACAAAGCGGTACACGCTGGACGTGGCCGACCGGGTCGAGGACTGCGTGTCCATGTCGCCGAGGGACGAGTCGTTGTCCGTGTCGCGGCCGCGTGGGTCGTCGGTGTCGACGGACAGATTGACAGAGTAGCCGCTCATGGCGTTGACGGAGTGCGCGGAGTGGACGGAGGCGGCATCGGAGGCGGGGGCCGGTGCGGTGGACGGCGCTGCCGGGGTTGCCGGCGCTTCCGGGGCATCGGACGCCATGGGGGGCGGTCGTGCGAGACGGCGGACGCAGAGACAACGGAGGGAGGTCGGCCACTGGCGATGCGATCGTCCATGCAATGGGATATGCAGGCGATATGAGACGAGACGAGTGGATGCGCTGCGCGACGTGGGGCGCTGCACATGGAAAAACGAACAAGGGGACCGGACGTGTGAACAGAAAAGACAAAAAGACGAAAAACGGCGATCGTCAACTGGATGAGGATGGCGCGAAGGATGACGGGCGGAGCACGCGGACAAGACAAAGCACAGACGACTCCCTGCCGCCCTTCCAATGCAACGCTCGCTGAAGAAATGCAGGTCAGCGGAATAGGCCTAACCTGGCCAGAAAAGGGCAAAAGCGATGCGTGAGCAGGGAACCGGTCACAAAAGGGGTGCAAGTGCGCTCTGTGCGGGCAATTCCTGCTTTGGGTTTAGCTGCGCCGGTGCTGATGCAAAAGACGCAAAAGACGCAAAAGACGCTACTGCAGAAAGAGTGAGACGGTACGGTGATCCGAAACGGGCACGATCTGGCGTCAGGGGTGGCCGCCAACGCTGCCGGTGGACCTGTGCTGTCTACATTGGTATGTGGCATGGGTATTGTTTGTTCGGGTTCGTATTATGCATAATCTAAGGGACACTCGTTCTGTCCGCCCTCACTGACGTCATGCCGATCGGCGCTGGCTGTCCTCCACCCATTTGGCCACCGCCGCCCGCACTGCTGCTTCGGCGTTCTGCGGGTCGGTCCGGCCTTCGGGCCCCAGCCGCAGCAGCTTGCCCACCAGATACTGGAGCTTGCCGTGCGGGTACTTCTTCTGGGCCGCCGGGGATGCAAACTGCTTGAGCGTCTTTGCCTCGTCGGCAATGGCCTCTTGCGCGAGCGCGGCGTACTCGTCTGCGGAGATCTCGTCGAACCAGAGACGCTCGGCCGCAATGGCGTCGGTCACCGACGGCCCTCCGTCCGTGTCTGTGACGTCCCCCCGGAACACGGCAAAGAGCAGCTCCTTGGCCACGCCGGCCGTGATGCGGCCCTGGTAGCGGTAGGCCAGGATGTCGGCCAGACACGCCACGGGGATGCGGCAGCGGCCTTCGGGGGTCATGTCGAGCGAGGTGGTGGTGGCGGTGGCGGTGGCGGCGGCAGCAGCAGCGTCGTCGCCGATGTTGAAGCTGGCGTTGCGGTCCGACGTCAGACGCCCCAGCTGGTGCAGCACCCAGTTGGCCACAAACGCGCGGACCTCCACCCCAGGGGCGGCCCCTGTCGCCGCCGCCGCCAGCCGCTGCTCCACCGCCTCCACCACGTCGTAATAGTACTGCGCCCGCCCGCCGCCGTCCAGCGCCATCAGCGCCGCCGCGTCCGTCGGCGACAGCCCAAAGTTGTCGATCAAGTCGTCCATTTCTGCGTCCGGTGACGCGCCCAGCGTCAGCTGCAGAAACTGGACCAGGGCCTCGTCAATCACCACGGGCCCCAAGTCGGGGTCCGGCATGTAGCGGTAGTCCACCTCGCCCTCTTTGCCGCGCAGCCGGTGCGTCTTGCCCTCGTCGCCGGCAAACGCCGGCGGGGTCCAGCCGCGTGTTTCGCTGACAATGGCGTCGCGGGGGGACGCGTGGCCCGCGGCTTCGGCCGCCACGATGGCTGCGATTTGGCGGTTGCGCTCGGCAATGATGGCGTCCTCGACCGCGCGGAAGCTGTTGAGGTTCTTGATCTCGGTGCGGACCCCGAGACGTGCTGTGTCTGCCTTGTCCTCGCTGCGCTCGCTGTCGCCGCCGGCGACCCTTCGGACCGACACATTCACGTCCGCCCGCAGCCCGCCCGCCTCCAGCCCCGACGTGCACGCATCCGCCGCCACAAGCAGCTGCTGCACCTTGCGCACAAACGCCGCCGCCGTCGCCGGGTGGTGCAGCTGCGGCGCCGTGATAATCTCCACCAGCGGCATGCCCACCCGGTTGTAGTCGAGCCAGTGCACCCCGCCGGGCTGCGCCACCGTCTTGGCCGTGTCCTGCTCCATCTGCACCTGCACAATCGCCACCCGCACGTGGTCGCCGTCCTCGGCCGCGATCCCGTCGCGGTCCCTGTACAGGTCGACGTGCCCGTCGCGCGCCAGCGGCTCGTAGTACTGCGTCAGCTGGTACCCGGCCGGCTGGTCCCAGTGGAAGTAGTGCTTGCGGTCGAACCGGCTGACCGGCTGGATGGTGCACCCGAGCGCAAGCGCCGCGCGGATCGCCGGGATCAGCGTCGCCGGCTGGAAGATGGGCTGGGCGCCGGGCAGCGCCACGTCAAAGAAGGCCACGTGCGCCGGCGCGTTCGGCTCGCTCTCCGACAGCGGGCTCGTGGCCTGCGCGCTCGAAAACAGCTTGTGCGCCGTGTTCAGCTGCGCGTGGATCTCGATGCCCACCGTCAGCTCCCAGCCGGGCACCGTCTGGCCGCGGTGGGACAGCTCGCTGCCACTGGCAGATCCCTTTTGTTGGGCAGCCTTGGCCTTGCGCGCCTTGGCTTCGTCTTTGATCTGTTTTCGGAGTGAGACGGGGAGGGCTCTTGTCGGCGGCGTTGTTGTGGTTGTTGACGTCGTCGACGTCGACGAGAATCGATCTTGTCGAAAGGCAAGCAATGGGCGACATTGTGGGCAGCTACCGGCCCAGAGAAGTGTGCGCCGGGCACTCCGACCCCGAAAGAGGCGCTGCCCCAGTTGTCGTGCCGGCAGTCCAGCCATTGAGCCGTGTGTGGTGGTGGACGGCTGGGTGTGGTTGACTCTGGCGACGCCCCAAAAAGCTCTGTGGGGGAGCTCAGAGAGCTACTTCCCGCTCGTGGTGGACCCCACTTTGCTTACATAATATCGCCAACGTCGGTTTTGCCATCGTCAACCTTCATCAGGACCGTTTTCTATTTGTGGGTTTGACGTACATCTCCCGATCAGGTGTTCATTAGTGGAGCGGAATATTGGCTTAGACGACTGACTCGCGTAGTGCAGGACGTGCCTTGGCAGGCGTGCTATATCCATCCCGCGCCAAAGTCGTTGCATTTTGCCGTCTCCGATTTTCCCGCCAGTTCGTGTACATTATACCAGAATGGCTATTAAAATTAGAACATATATGGAGACGGTCACTAGAATTGTATTACGGACTTCCGAGGTGTGGTGGGCATACAATGTTTATTGGAAAGAGGGGAGCACCAGACCGACCCCAACGACTTTGCTTAACCGATCAAACTGACTCGTCATGACTCTCGCGGAAGAAGCACATGGAGAAGCTTAGTCCGATTACTCCATTGAATCTCCCCGTGTAGACCCGGCTATGCAGGGAAACGCATTCCTCCCTGATATGGGGTCTGCCCTCGCCACCACCGAGTTTAGCCAATGCAGGACCATGATGCAAGTGAGAGGCGCCGTCAATTTTGGTGATGCTGGCGTCGGTCTCGATCCTACCAAAAAATAAAAATAAGAAGTAGAAAACAAAAGCAAAAACAAATCAATGGATTTGTCCAGTAGCAAAATCAGTCATAAACCAGGCACCAGATTGGACGGCGTTTACCTCCTCGCTCTTTACAATCCGGCCCATCGTCCTATCCCGTCCATTGGTCCTTCTCTTGATAGGATCTGCATATGCTGTAAACGACGGTTTTGTCCCCCGGTTTCGGACAATTTGGGCATTCCCTGTGAATTCAAAGGCTTGTTGTTTGTATCCCCTCTTGCAACAAACGATCAATATCATTTAGAAGGTGGCCGAGGATACTCGGAGGAATCCCGCAAGTTGCACTGCCCAAAGTTCCTTGACGGACAAAGTGGCAAAGCTACGTAAGAGGCAATATATGTACCCCGTCTCCGCCGAGGACAAGCGGAATGATCAATCTATATGTCCAGCATGCAAATAGAACAAAACCTGTACAGAAGTGTACTCATTTGCGGATTGACGAGCCGTCTTTGGACGCCCCAAGTCCAGTCTCTACTTCTATTTAAGACGGCCAGCTGTCCAGATCTCGAGACTCGAACGCAACGCAAACAGCACCTCACAAAACCACACAAAACCACACAAAACCACACAAACCACACAGCATCACACATCCGCTATAATGAAGCTTTCCCTGATCTTCTCCGTCGTCGCCGGCGCCGTTGCCGTCTCGGCCGCGTGCGCCCCTGATCCGGCGCATCCTTTCCCGGCGTGTGCGGTAAGTCTTCACCCATAGTACTCCAGCATTTCCCATTGGCACAGCCCGTGACACACTGGTGGTCATACGGCCACGACGCACGGCTGACACAGTACTCTCCAACAGGCCGACTGCATGGCCACCGCCATTACCGCCATCGGGTGCACCAGCGCGACCGACTACGAGTGCCAGTGCAAGAACTTTGACAAGCTGCACAGCTCGGCCGGCGACTGCATTACCAAGGCCTGCGGTGCAGCGGCGGCTGATGTGGCCACCGCCGCCGAGGCCCTGTGCAAGTCGTGTGGTCCGCCGCCTGCTGGTGCGTCTCCGTAAGGCAGAAGTGGTTGGGAGGACAGTCGAAAAAAAAAGGGTTGTCGCAGTTCGTGGACACTCAGCTTGATGTAACTCCATAGGAAACACTCGAAATACATAAACTATCGCCTCAAACTAATTCGTACACCTTTGTGTCGGCTGCTCTTCCTCGTGTCCCGCTCGCTGTTTGCTGTCTCCGTTTTCCCATTCCCAGTTCCGTTTCCTCTGCTTTAACTCACATCCCATACCGTACACTATCTTACACTCGATCCGTCCTTGGTTTATCGTCCCATGTGCTACCCCTAAGCTACATAATAATTATTATAATGATAATATGAGGAACAATAAGACGAAAGAAGAAAGCAAAACAGATAAAAAATGTTTTTCTTAAAAATTGAAGGAAATAGAAAGAAAGCCACCGTTATATGTCAACCGTCATTGGTCGAGACTGAACCATTCGTTATCCTTGTATTACCGACGAGTCGACGGAAGGACAGTCTCACCAGTGCCCATGCACTTGTGCATTCTTGGGCGTGAGATGAACAGTCCGCACTGGCAGCACTGCTGCATACCACAGTTGCAGAGACCAACGCTGCCACCACCACCACTTTCTCCTCCACCTCCGCCTTCTCCTCCAGACGTGGACTCGTAGTCGGCGACTTGCGTCTCCATAACACGGTGCCGGTGCCGCGACTGGATCGGGTCAGTCTCAGAAGTTGTGTACCACTCGTCCGACGACGACGACAAAAGGCGGCCCTTGGTGTTGGTCGTGTCGTCCGAGTAATTTGTTTCGATCGAGTGGATGTGGTCCTGCAGAAACTGCTCGAGGCTGTTCTCTGGTCCGGGTGGAGCCACGCACGTGTCTGTATACGGGCCTGTGTACGTTTCGGTATACGAATCTGTTGTCATGGACACGCCCGTGGTGGCTGAGGTGGCCATGGTGGCCGTGATGGCGGTAGCACGGTCGCCACCCACGTTGGCTGCGGCCAGTGTACAAACATGTTTGGGTGTGCGCGGAACAAACGGCATGCGCATCCGTGCTCGGATCCTGGCATGGGCCTCGGAACCCAGGGGGGAGGTACTGTATGACGATCCGCCGCCGTCGTACTCACGGTCGGAACCCACAGGTGTGACCGACACCGCGATGGGTATGGCACCAGTAGATACACTACTCACAGGCTTGCGACGGAGCGCCGCGGACTGTGACGGTAGTTGATGGGGCTGGTCGTCATGGCCAACCCGATGGCCGTCAACGTGGCCTCCATCTCCGTTATCATCGTCTGGATGCGGCTGGAGATGGGTTGTCTTTAGCGCCAATGGCTTGGGCTTGTTGGGGCGATGATTCGTAAACGAAGTGCTATGTCGAGTGGCCAGGCGAGGCAAAGGTGCTGGGCCGGGAGGGTGGTCGACAAAGACGTTTGCATTTGCCTGGTTCTTGGCCGGCGTCACTGGTTGAGGTGCCGCAAAGAACATGTCGGGTGGGTACAGCTGTGGGGCCCTATTGTAGATAATGGGCCATGTTAGTGTACGATGGTTTCAAAGAAATGGTAAAGCAAGTCACTCAACAAGGACAAAACAAAATACAAAAAGGGGAAAAAAAACTGTGATATTGTACCTGCATATAGGGCTGAGGTGAAAGGCCCTGGGTACCTCTGGGCTGCCGGGAAGGCCATGGCTAGACATGACTGGTATGGACTGCGAGCGCTGAAGCTGGTGGTGGCGCTGCTGGGTCCGCGACAGCAGCTGGTAGAACGGCTGGTACTGTTGTTGCGTCGGCTGTTGCGTCGACTGTTGCGGTGGCTGTTGCGGTAACTGTTGCTGGACCGGTATACTCGAGTATGACTGGAACCGTGGCGGCGATGGCTGGTAGAAGCTGCCGCTGCTGCACGACGGATGACGACGGGTGGGACTCTAGCCACTCCCGGCAGGCGTCATTGGCGTCAGCGGCGTAATGGGCGACATGTGTGGCATGGACGGCATGTGTTGCAGCTGTGGCATTTGTGACATGGGTGTCAGCGGCGTCCCATGCGGCATTGGTATGTTTGGCATATTCTGGTGGAACGCGTAGAGTGCAGCCTGCTGCTGTTGCCGTTGTGGCATCTGTTGTGGCATATGTTGATACAGCGGTTGGGTCGGAGTTTGGTGTGCAGCAAGAGGCGGACATCCGCCACAAGCACCACCACTGCCACCACCTCCCTCCAAGGACACTAGCTGGTACGTCGTGATAGGCTGAGTGGTCCATTGAACAAGGGATGGATGACGCTGGTGGAGATGGCGTTGCGAAGGCTGTTGCTGTTGTTGTTGCTGCTGCTGTGCTTGCATGTTGATACCATACTGCGAAGCATGGTTGAGGTCATCCACCCCGAAGCTCTGACTGTGGTCCATGCTGGGAACGAAAACGTGTAACGTGCAGTAAGAAAGAAAACGAGATTGATTTACATATAAAACACAAAGATGCAAAGACTCGGAGCGCGTTGCTATCACAGCCCTCTCGTAGAAAGAAAGCTGACAGATCAGACAGAAGAGAATTAAAAAAAATGAGAGATGCAAAGAACACGAAATTGAATAAACGCCAAAAACACGCGAGATCGAAAGCGATCGCAGAGAAAAGAGGACGGCCGGCTGTCCAAAGAGGTAGAGGCGAAGTCAGGGGTAAAAGGGGACAAGGGGAGAGCCTCACGATGGTCACACGCCGCAAAGGGCAGGGCACGCTCCACCCAGCCAGTGAACGAAAATTCTTCGGAACACCCTGCAACGCGGAATATTTTCGAAGGGGGAAGGCACTCTGTTTGGGCACGTTTATATCTCTTGTGTTAGCGGGGATGGTGTGTGGCTGACGACATTGTATCTGCCAAAAGTGGAAGGAACGATGGACCACTCTTGCACAGATGGGTTGGTTCAGGACAAAGGCACATTTTGTGGTCAGAAACGGAAAGAGCACCTGAGACGGCGCTGTGTGGTATTGTACTCCCTTACGCTATGAAAAGAGACAGACGAAACGCCAAAAGGAAAAGAAACAGAAAAAGAAAACGCCAAAAATGCAACTCATGGCTTTCGTCCTAGCCGTGCCTCAATCGACCACCCCAATCGACCACCCCCATCTCTACTTCTCTTCCCGTAGATCAGCCACGGCAAAGTCAATGCCCGGCACAACAAAGACGTGGCCCGGCGGGTTCTTCGCCTCCGTGTAAATCTCGTGCGGGCGCAAATCGTGCTCGTGGAACGCGCCCGCTTTGCGACAGCCGCCAATGTACGGCAAGCCCGGCGGGTTCGTGAGCCGGAAGATGCCCCAGCTGGGCTCGTGCGCGGGCGCGCAGACAATGGCGATGCTCTCGTCCATCATGATCTGGTAGCCGGCGTGGGTGTGCATGTCGAGGGAGCTCATGAAGCAGGTCTGCGTGGGGTGGGTGTGGATCCAGCCGATCTGGATGAGGTCGTGCTCGGAGCAGTACTCGAGCGTCGCGACCTCGCCGGTGGTCTCGCAGGAGTCGCGGGTGCCAATCTGCTGGGGGATGAGCAGACACGTAATGAACAGGGCGTTGTTGGCCGTTTTGCCGCACAGGATGCCGCAGGTCTCGATGCCCTTGTCGGTGTTGGGCTGGGCCACGCGCAGAAAGTCGCGGCGCAGCGTGTCGGGCAAGAAGACGCTGCGGATGGGCGCGCCGCTCTCGAGGTACGCGGCGGGCTTGAACGTGTACTGGGACGTTTTGCCCGGCTGGGCGGCTGCCTCCACAGAGTCAAGCTCCACGGTCTTGGGCGGCAGCCGTGGCGGCGGTGGCGGCGTCGAGGCCGTCGAAGGAGGCTCGCTCGACTGGTGAAGCGAGACGAGGTCGTCATTGTAGCGGGACGACAAGGGCTCGCCGCGGGACGGGACTGGTGGTGGCCGTGCTGCGGGCGCGAGGGACGCGGCCGCAGGCTGTTTTGGGGGGCGTGGTGGCCCGCTGGCCGACGTTGTGGCGGCGTCTCGTCTCTGGTCAAACCGCATCGAGTCGTACGACACGGGCGTCGACTTGTGTATGGACGGGTAGCTGTAGGACACAGGGACGACGGGGTCCTGGGGCTGTCGGTAGCTGTGGCCGGCGTTGGCCGTATGGCTGTCGTCGTAGCTCGGCGGCGGTCGAGACATCTCGTCGAGCTGCCACCGAGCCCGCTCCATGGCCCGGCTGACGTCCTCGGCGTCTCGCCGAGTGTCCTTCCCAGGCGTGGTTGAGGCATGTGTCTTTGCACCACGGCTGCCACCTTCTTGGCCCCGCTTGTTTGCCAGAGCAATTGCCAGCTCGACATGGTCCGCCGCATCGAGCAGCTCCGCCTGCGCGTACGGATTCCACGACAGCGCAGGGTCCAGCTCCGCAAACGTCGTAGTCTTCTTCCTCTCCTTTCCGACCCTGCTTTCTCTGCGGTCGAGTCGCCGCTCGTACTCGTCTTGCGGGTGCTGGTCCACCCACCGCTGCCGCGCCACGTCCAGCTGCTCCTTGGTCGACTCCAGCAGCGCCATCACCGTCTTGAGCCGCCGCGTCACCGTCCGCACCATGCGCCGGCCCTCGGGCGTGTTCGCCTCGGGGTGCGTCGGCACCTTGTCCACGCAGATGATGGTGAAGCGCATCAGTAGCACAAAGGCCTTGGCGTAGTTGTGTTCGGCCAGGTACGTCCGGCCTTCGCGGTACATGGCGTCGAGCGAGCCGATGTGGAACTTGAGTGGGATCTGTGGGCGCCACTCGAACATTTCGGCAGACCGGGCGAGGTCTTTGGAGGACAGGGGGGCGTAGGCGGAGGTCGAGATCGAAATCGACGAGGAGGAGGTCGACCGTCCTGGGCCGGACCCGGACCCAGACCCAGACGAGTACTGAGATCGCGGCATTGTGTCCTCTGTTAGCTGTGACAGAAGTATGACGCACTGAGGTGTAAATCGATCAATATAGGTGTTGGTCGTGGTATCTGGCAACAATCACAGACCCAGACGCCTTCGTCGTAACTTAGGAGCGACACTCGAAGACAGGCTGCATCTTCGGGTTGTTGTAGCTGCTGCGTGCGTCGGCCTGCGGGACAATGACGTGAGTGAGCCGTAGACAGACGTGTCTTGGGCGTGTTTGGGAACAGGCTGCCGCATTGGAACTGGCTGGAATTGGCTGGAACAGGTGGATCAGCCGCATTTGCCCCTCCAAGGGTTCCCCGGTCCAGTCACGTGGAGGCTGTTGGATTGGTTGCAGTACCTGAATGGTCCAACATCGAGGCCTAAACGGGTCGGTCTACGGGTAGTAATGCGCTAAAAGGGTATCAATATTCACCACATGTTATGTCTGACGATGTTGAGTAGCAGGGTTCTGTAGGCAGCAGTGGTATGGTATTTGTATCTTTTTTTTTCTGAAAAGTTAATTTTGTTATTTTAAATATTTTCTGATTTATTCCACATGTTAAATTTTATTGCGAGAATGACATCTGGAATTCGTGGACTTCTGTTGTTTCGGGCTCGACGTTAGTTTTATTACGCGCCAGTAAACTGCTTCGTTTGGCCGTTGCCTGCTTGAGATATGTTGCCTTAATAAATAATTCTTATATATGCCTTTTAATATTTACACTGATGTCAATGAGAACAGTTCGAGCTTAATTAAAAGCAGGAGAGTAAGCGTACAGTGTTGCTACATGTCAATATGTGCCACTGTATCTGGTGACGGCCCGACGATGGTATATCCCGAGGAAGCGGTCAGTAATGATAAACGAATATGTGAACTAAGCACACTTCTGTTTGGGGAGCATCTAATGGTGAGCCAAATTCTGGACCTAATCATGGACGTGGTGCATGGTTGCTATCCCCGCCCACGCCGGAAGATCGTCTTGTTTGACAATACAACGCCGTTGTCTTTTGTTCTGAGCGGGAGCGGGCGCCGGTTCACAATATGGATCTGCCGTGGGGATTGGGAGTTTATGCCACCGGACCGAGATGATGTTAATGTTCCTGCCGTTTGGATTTATGAGTTGTTTAATACTGATATTGACTTGGTTTGATTGTTTCTTTTTGTGCATCACCACTCTGGGTATCGACTTGGCGTTTTAATTTCCCCCTTTCTTCATCCACACCACCCACTGCGAAAATCTACTGTGCTGGTTGTGCGCTTGTCTGTGTGGCCATGATCTTGTCCTTGATCTCGTCCATCTTGGTGTTGGACTCTTTGATCTCGTCCTCCAGCCGGCCGCTTTCACTTCAGTTAACAAATGCATCATATATATATATATAAGGGGGTTTCCACGTACATCTCCTTGTCAATAAAGTCCAGACGGCCCTTGACTGTACTGTCTGCCTCGAACTTTTCCTGCTTCAACAGGACGGGGCCGACGAGCTTGTAAATGGTCTCGCCGTCCTTGAGGTCCTCAAATTGCTGGGGAGGGGGGACGTTAGATGTACATCTCAGAATACAAGAGGGGACACATATGCCTACCTTCTTGACACCCTCGTTCTCTGTCTTCTGCGCATTCAGCCGTTGTTGAGATACAATCAATGTCTGTTGCTCTGAGGAGGTTGTCAGCCATACACATGCATCAACTGCAATAATTCTACCTCATCTCCGTATCATCTCATCTTACCTTGCTGCAGCTTCGTGTACTGGTCCGTCAGCTCCTGGAGCTTCCCCTGTGCGTCGCTTGCCGGTGCAGCCATGGCGTCGGTAGAAATGTATATGTGAAAAGATCAAAAGGAGAGACAATGAAGAAAAGAACGAAAGTATGACAGTTTGAAATGCGCAATTTGGAATCTGAGAGGCGCACAAGCAACAGCGCAAAAACTAGCACCAGCTGCTGCGCGTCGTCCAAATCGGCAATGCAAGATGATATGTCAAAATAAGATGATCCGTAGTGATGTTGGACTGCGTAAGTCTGGTCGTCGATTTGCTTCGTTTTGTGCTGTCGTCTCAACTCGAAGCTTGCTTCGCTGGTGCTCTGCAACGCTCTTTCCTCCCCTCGTTTTCTGCCGCCTTCCAGAACCACCACCAAAAAGCTCCACAAAATTGGTCTAGCCTTGTTGTGCCTCCTTTTACCCAATGACGCTGAAGCCGCCCCCTGTCTACCGATCTCTCGCTGAATCTTTAGCGCTGTCGAGGCACTCGGGGCACCTATGCGCAATTCACGCTGGCCTTTTGGTGGCGGATCCGCTTCCTTCAGTTGGGATTTGGGTGCCTTCCTTCTCGTGGCGTCACCCGGTTACCCCGCCAAACACAAGCGCACACAGGACTGGCAGGAACGACCACTGTCACTCAGAACAGGGAAAACTCACATTGTCACTGCGTCCTCCGCAGCCTTTGGTCTTTTCGTCCCATTTTCCCATTTGTCTCGCAAACTCGACGCTCGACGAACGACTGCACCTTGCCTCTTTTCTTTTCGTCGTCTCGCGACAGTTGCATCCCCTCTTCGGCGGGCACACATTTTGACCTCGGCGGCATTCTTTTGTCGGTGGTCCGCCTCCCAATTGACCACGACCGGCCTCCGACCAGCCTCCTCCTTGTCCTCCTGTCCTCCTGTCCTCCTTTTCCTCCCTTTCCGCCTCTCTCCGTTCTTCATTGCTCTCGACGCCGATCACAGCCTTGTGCTGACTCCAGACGACCATTTCGACATCCCGCCCTCCTCCTACAATCCAACACCCACCATCGCCTTCCACAATGTCGAATACAGACTTCCTCGGCCGCGCCATTGAGCAGGTCCGCAAGGCCATCGAGGCCGACAACGCCGCCCAGTACGAAAAGGCCTACCAACTCTACTATGCCTCCCTCGAAATGTTCATGCTCGCCCTCAAGTGGGAAAAGAACCCCAAGTCCAAAGAGATGATCCGCCAAAAGACCGCCGAGTACATGGAGCGCGCCGAGAAGCTCAAGGCCCACCTGTCCGACGCCGAAGCAAAACGCAAAAAGCCAGGGTTGGTCGGCGCCAACGGCTCGTCGACGGGCGGCACGGGCAAGGGCAAGCAAGGCGACGGCAGCGGCGCCGAGGACGGGCTCGACGAGGACAGCAAGAAACTGCGCAGCGCGCTGGCGGGCGCCATCATGGGCGACCGGCCGAATGTCAAGTGGGACGACGTGGCCGGGCTGGAGGGTGCCAAGGAGGCCTTGAAGGAGGCCGTGCTGCTGCCCATCAAGTTCCCGCACCTGTTCCAGGGCAAGCGCCAGCCCTGGAAGGGCATCCTGCTGTACGGCCCGCCCGGTACCGGCAAGAGCTACCTGGCCAAGGCGGTGGCCACCGAGGCCAAGAGCACCTTTTTCAGTGTCAGCAGTTCGGATCTGGTCAGCAAGTGGATGGGCGAGAGCGAGCGGCTGGTCAAGCAGCTCTTCAACATGGCGCGCGAGAACAAGCCGTCCATTATCTTTATCGACGAGCTCGACGCCCTGGCCGGTCCCCGCGGCGAGGGCGAGTCCGAGGCGTCGCGGCGCATCAAGACGGAAATGCTCGTGCAGATGGACGGTGTCGGCAAGGACAGCACCGGCGTCCTCGTGCTGGGCGCCACCAACATCCCCTGGCAGCTCGACACGGCCATCCGCCGCCGCTTCCAGCGCCGCGTCCACATCAGCCTGCCCGACGTCGCCGCCCGCACCACCATGTTCAAGATTTCCATTGGCGAGACCCCGACCACCCTGCAGAGCAACGATTATCGCGAGCTGGCCAAGCTGGCCGAGGGCTACTCGGGCTCCGACATCAGCATCGCCGTCCAGGACGCCCTGATGCAGCCCGTGCGCAAGATCCAGCAGGCCACGCACTTCCACGCCGTCACCGACAAGGACGGCAACAAAAAGCTGACACCCTGCTCGCCCGGCGCACCCGACGCACAAGAAATGACGTGGGACGATGTCGACTCCGAGCAGCTGTTGGAACCGTTGGTGGACTTTAAGGACTTTGTCAAGGCCATCAAGGGCAGCCGACCGACCGTGTCCAAGGAGGACCTGAAGCGGAACGAGGAATGGACACGCGAGTTTGGTAGCGAAGGCGCGTAGGTCGGAGAGGGACGCTCATATATGGTGTGGTTATTCAGCAGAAGCACGGCGTTTACGGCGTTTTGCCATTTCAGTCCATTATTTTCCCATACTTTTTGTTTTTCGTGTATGTTCATGTCTCATTTACGACGAGCGCCATTTTACACAGTTACTTGTATTTTGTATCTTATTGTACATGTTTTACGTCTTGAAATATATGTCCTTGAAATGACACTACTGAGGCTGCGCAGTCGCATGTAACCAGATCATTTTATACGATCATGTAGAAGTGCTCCTATTATTTTGTCCTGTCAAGAAAGGAAAGAAGTAACTCCATGCCAAGGAATCCCACCAAGAAAAACTCCAAAAAAAAGATACAAGGAAAAGAAGAAAGCAAAAAGATATAACAGACAGAGAAGAAGGCAGAAGATGAAACAAATGACAGACAAATGAGTAAAACTCAAGAGATATGCCGCAAAACAAATCGATGCCCAAAACGAAAGCAAAGGAAAAATCCAAGACAAGACGCAGTGTCCCAAACAGCTGTAACAAAAGGCAAAAGACTCAAACAAGGATCAGAATACAAGAAGATGCGACGACACAGGATACGGATCCTACGCAGTCGACTTCTTCTTCTTCTTCTTGGGCTCGTCGAGGTCCATGGCACTTGCGTCCAGCGACTTGCGCTTCTCCTTCTTGTCCTTCTTCTCCTTCTTCTCCTTTTTTTCCTTCTTTTCCTTCTTGTCCTTCTTGTCCTTCTTGCTGGCCTTCTTCTCGGCCTCGGCCTCCTCGTCGTCGTCCGACACGTCGTTCATGTCAATGTCCGCATCGGCCGACGCGCCGCTGCCGCCGGCGTCCGCCAGCACCTTGGCCATGGCCTCCTCCATCGCGTCCGCATTGGTCATGGGCTTCTTGCCTGACGCAAAGAACTCGAGGCGGTCCTCGAGCTGCTGGCGCATCACCTCGCCGAACCGCGACGTCGGCTGCTCGCTGAAGCTGTCCACGCGGGCCGCAATGCTACACTTGTTGGCGAGGTAGCGCGAGATGCGGCCCTTGTGGCGCGGGCCCGAGCGGCCGATAAAGGAGCTCTGGTAGATGAGGCCGTACTTGGGCGTGTTGCCCTTGGTCTTGAGGGCGCGGAACAGCGCCTTCTCGGCGCCCAGGATCTGCAGCGTCGAGGCCGGGTACTTGGCCAAGCTGGTCAGCGAGCCGGCGTGCGAGATGAGGCGGGCCGCGACGGGCGTGCCCAGGATCACCTGCAGGTTGGGCGCCACGATGCCCATCTTGGCCTCGAGCGACGAGGCCAGCACCTGGCGGTAGGCGGCCAGCTTGGACACGGCCGTGGCAAACGACTTGACCATCTCGAGGTCCTCGGCGTTGATGTCCTGGCCCATGGACACCTTGGCGGCGTCCAGAATGGCCTGGGCGCGACCGCCGTCCTCGCTGAGCACAGCAGCCACGTCGTGCAGCCTGTCGTCGGTCAGGGTATTCTTGTTGCCAATGACCAGCACGAGGTTGGCGTAGGTGACGTTGTCCGACACAATCTTGATGAGCTCGGGGAAGTGCCAGCCGTACCACTCGCGCACGCGCATGCAGCCGCTGTTGATGGTCTTGTCGAGGGCGTCGAGCGTGGCGATCTGCTGGATGATGTGGTTGTCGTTCTTGTGGATGTTGAACTTGACGCCGGAGCGCGAGAAGGCGTGGCCCATGCCCAGGTGGGCGCGGCTCATGTCGCCGTCGTGCAGACCCTTGAGCAGCTTTTCGGCGTACTGGCGGATGCCGCGCAGCAGCGCCGCCACGACCTCGGACGTCTCAATCGTCTCGCACTCGACGCCGGGGAAGCGGCTGCTGATGTCGCTGGCCAGGTTCTTGTCCGGCACGCCCAGCACGACCTTGCTCTTCTTGCCGCTCGTCTTGGGCAGGCTCAGCTCGAGGACGGACGCCAGGTACTCGGAGACGATGCCCTCGGACAGCTCGTTGAGGTTCTCGAGACCCTCGGCGTGGTTTCTAGACAGGGTCAGCGGATAATCAACGACATGCGGGGCCGGTGACCAGATACACACCTCCACGGCGAAAAGTTCACCAGCTTGACCATCTTGCCAAACTTGGACAGGTCCGACATGGAGTCCTGCACCTCTTTGAGGCGCACGCCCACACTGTCGGCCTGGTGCACCACCTCGAAGATGCCATAGCCGACCGCCGAGTCGTAGAGGATGTAGTTGACGCTCGCCATTGTTCAGGCCGTGCGACGGAAAACGGGCGACGCTTTTGGTGGTTGGGGAGGGGGACTTGTCGATTGGGGTCAAACAACAAGAAAGTCGAGTGTGAACAGTGCAAAAAAGGAAGCTTTTTTTTCTTTGGTGGTCGGGGCCGCTCCTTCTGCCAGTCCAACAACTTTTTTTTCCTTAGCGTCAATCCAGAGAATATAAGTGGGCCTTATCATCTTCTACTTCACACGTGACACGTGACTGTTCCCGTGATGTTATATAACGCGGATAATACTAGCCCCGGTACCCGTGTAAGCCAGCCAGAAATCAGGGAATAGCAGGCGATGCTCCTTTTGCTGTCAGTGGAGCTGTCCAGTGAGGCTTGGGTGAGAGTGGGATGTCGGAGCTCTTGGCTCTTGATATGAGGGGACGACATGCCCGCTGGGCGGTGTATTGCGTGGCAAGGTGGCCGCATGCCTCCTGAGCAAAGCTGAGAGCTGAATATTAAGACACAGCTTGAATTCAGTCCCATTGTTATTGATATCATCCCTCGTTGAAAGTTCAGTAGTGTCGCTGGACTCAATACAGCTGATTCCCGCCCGGTTTGTTGCATCATTGACCCCTGAGCGCTCCTTCTCGTTGAGCTCCTACCGCTTTGTGCTTCCACACGGCCGATCTACCAGACAGCCCGCAGTTACCTGTCACGTCCTACAGCATCAATCCACATCAATCCACATCAATCTGCATCAGTCTGTATCACCACCATGGCCACGCCTCGCGGCTACCGTTCGGTGGTCTACTTTGCCAACTGGTCCGTGTACGTCCGTGCCTATAAGCCCCAAGATCTGCCCGCCGAGCACATCACCCACATCCTCTATGCCTTTGCCAATATCCGGCCCGAGTCCGGCGAGGTCATCCTGACCGACACATGGGCAGACACCGGCATTCACTGGGAAGGAGACACCTGGGACCAGCCAGGCAACAACATGTTTGGTTGCATGAAGCAGATCAACATCCTCAAAAAGCGCAACCGCAACCTCAAGGTGCTGCTGTCCATTGGTGGCTACACCAGCTCGGTTAACTTTGTCAAGCCGGCCTCGCGCCCTGAGCTCCGCGCGGTCTTTGCCGAGACCGCCGCCAAGCACGTCAAGGAGCTCGGCTTTGACGGCATCGACCTGGACTGGGAGTACCCGCAGAATGCAGAAGAGGCCGCCAACTACGTGCAGCTGCTGTACGAGTGCCGCAAGGCGCTGGATGCCTACGGCGACTCGCTCGGCCCCAACCGGTACCACTTTGAGCTGACGGTGGCCTGCCCCGCCGGGCCGCAAAACTATGAGATTCTCGATGTGCCGGCCATGGACCGCTACCTCGACTTCTGGAACCTCATGAGCTACGACTACGCGGGCTCCTGGAGCAGCGTCTCGGGCCACCAGGCCAACGTCTACCCGCACCAGACCAACCCCGCCATCACGCCCGCGAGCACCGCTGTCGCCCTGCACTACTACCAGTCGCGCGGTGTGGCCACGAACAAGATTGTGATGGGCTTGCCGCTGTATGGTCGCGCGTTTACCAACACCGACGGTCTTGGCCGGCCGTTTGAGGGCACGGGTCCCGGGTCGTTTGAGGCCGGTGTCTGGGATTTCAAGGCCCTGCCGCCACCGGACGCACAAGAGCACTACGACCCAGAGATTATTGCGTCGTCGTGCTACGATCCCAAGTCACGCACGTTCATCACCTACGACAGCCAGCCGTCCACGCTGGCCAAGGCCATCTTCATCAAGGACCGAGGACTGGGCGGTGCCATGTGGTGGGAAGCCAGCGGCGACCGCGAGGGTCCCGCCAGCTTGGTACGGATCATGTCGAACGCTCTGGGAGGCCCGGCGAATCTCCAGCAGCAGCCCAACTGCATCACGTACCCGGAGTCGCCCTACGACAACCTGCGGAATGGACACCTATAGTCATGGACCCGACAAGAATGTGAGCACGGGACACGATGTGCTGGATACATGAATGGGGAGCAACGTAGCCGTGGACGGCAAGCATCTTCTACATCAACATAGTGTGACATAGTAACGACAGTATGAATGCATTGGATAACAACAAATCAGGAATAACCGTTGCACAGCACAGATATACACAGTCGAGCACACAAGGCATCACTTGCAAAAGTGCAACATCAAGACAACGGCGATCAGAACGAACTTGTATTTTAGATCAACCCAACGCCGTTGGAGAAGGCGGTTCCATGGTTAACCTTTCCATGCACCGCACGTAACAAAAATATATAAAAGATTTTGTGTTAAGCGTTTCACAATTCCTCAAGGTATCATTCCATGAGTGCGCTACTCAAGTTTTATTGCTTTCCGTTTCCCGTTTATTTTGTTTTCATGTTCCCATGATTCCACCCAAGACGGCACGCTCAGTTGTTCTCGCCGAAGACGTAGGTCAGGTGGCAGCGGCCGCAGTACTGGCGGTCCTGCATGGCAGCCATGAAGACACCGGCACCGCACTGGTACATGTTAGTAGGTGGTTGAGGTACAAGAAACGCAGCAGTCATGGCCAACTTACAGTCTCGTTGGGGCACTCGCGGCGGAGGCGCTCAATCTTGCCATCGCCATCGACCTTGTAGTACTTGAGCACAGCCAACTTGGTCTTCTTGCGCTTGTGCTTGATCTTCTTGGGGGTGGTGTACACCTTCTTCTTGCGCTTCTTGGCACCACCACGCAGGCGCAGGACCAGGTGCAGGGTGCTCTCCTTCTGGATGTTGTAGTCCGACAGGGTGCGGCCGTCCTCGAGCTGCTTGCCAGCAAAGATCAGGCGCTGCTGGTCAGGCGGGATGCCCTCCTTGTCCTGGATCTTCGACTTGACATTGTCGATGGTGTCGGAGCTTTCCACCTCAAGGGTGATGGTTTTGCCCGTGAGGGTCTTGACGAAAATCTGCATCTTGCCTGCTTTACAGGGTTAGTGGACGGCGATGGGGCGAGGGACACGGAAAATAGAAAGATGAGCTCCCGCGGACTCTCGCATCGTTAGATCATCGATGTCGTCTTCTCCGAGTTTGTCTGATGTCGGGAATACCGCGCGCTCCGACGGGAAAACGTCAAAAATCCAAAGTCCAAAACGCCGCGGGTATCGTCAAGTCGTAAATGCGCCGAAAAACACCGAAAACTCGAATCAAACAAGGATGATCATGATGGAAAGCCTCACAGAAAGCATCTTGAGCGGCTTACCTAGCAATAGGAATTGCGTCCTAGGCAAACTTCAGATTCTTTTGGAGGGGGTTGACGAGAGGAAGAAGAACAAGATGAGAGAAGTTTTTCGGCGTCCCATATCGCTAGAAAAGGACTTGGGCTGGGGCGAAAAAGAGTGGGACCCGCTGATGTGAAAGCACGAAAATTATTTGGCTTCTGTTTCCATGCATTTGTGGCAAGGGCTGGTGCCACTGTATTATTAATACGGCCCTGGTGGAATTGGGGCAAAATTAGCACTCATTTGCTGTGGGAAGACAGTGATAGTTTTACTTTGCCCGTGTCCGCACTGTCCTGTCACAAATAGCACTCTCACGTGCCATCTAGGGCTGTTCGTTAGCGCGGGTTTGGCCCTCTATGAAAATTTTGGAGGGGTGAGAAGCGAAAGCGTGCACCACTTTATGTGCTGTGCGCATTTATTGTGGAGAACCGGCGAGAAACGCAAAATTACTTTTCTCGTGTGCTATTTGACGTTGGTCTCCGTTCCCTCTCTCCTCTCTTTTCTTTGCACAACCACCACCACCCAACAAACCCTTTTTGAGATCCCATACCGACCTCAAATCGCCAAGATGGTTAAGAAGAGAAAGAACAAGTACGTCGACGACATCGATTCGATCTGCGAATAATCCTTTCCTGCGCTGTTGCGTTCCTGCGATATTGCGACCGAACATTTGGCTAACTTGGTTTTTTTCCTTTCTCCAGCGGCCGCAACAAGAAGGGCCGCGGCCACGTCAAGCCCATCCGCTGCTCCAACTGCTCGCGGTGCACGCCCAAGGACAAGGCCATCAAGCGGTTCACCATCCGCAACATGGTCGAGTCTGCTGCTATTCGTATGTTTTTGGTCCTCGCATCTCGCTCGTTTTCGTCGAGGATATCTTTTGGTTTTGGACTCTGGACTCGGGCTAACAAAACAGGTGATATCTCGGACGCCTCGGTCTTCGCCGACTACACCGTTCCCAAGATGTACCTTAAGCTGCAGTACTGTGTCTCTTGCGCCATTCACGGCAAGATTGTTCGGTACGTTTGTCTCCGGGAGAGACAACCGCGTTTCGGTCGTGGCAGTCAACACACGTTGTTGTCGGCCACTCGGCCTGGCGTGAGCGGCTGAAAGAAGAACCTTGGACGGCTCGCGTGTCTCTCCCAGACGGCGGATCTCTTTTTGTTGCTCCTCTTCTGGAAAAATAATTTGAGGTCACGTCGTAATGTTGCTCTTGCATACCAAACCATACAGCCCCAGTATGGCCGTGTGCGTATAGGGCGCCCACCCAGAACCCAGATTTGCTAACATTTGTGAACAGTGTCCGCTCCCGTGTCGGCCGTCGCAACCGCGCTCCCCCGCCGCGTGTTCGGTACAACAAGGACGGCAAGAAGGTCGTCCCCACCCAGGCCAAGACCCCCACTGCTTAAATCATCCTCGACTAAAATTTCGACGACTGTTGCTCTTTCTCTCTCTTTGATGTAAATGAAAAGGGCGAAAGGAAAGCTGGCGTTTATTTTTAACGGTTTTTGATTTGGGCAAACACAAAAAAGGGATCATGGCAAAACTGGGTGCGGATGTTGGTTGCTTGTGACGTTGGCCAGGATGTTCCGGCAAGGGAGGTGTTGTTTTACATTTTAACTAGAATGAGGCACGCCCTCTTGCCGGACTCTGCTTCTGGGATAGTTTGCCTGTGAAAGGGTATATTGTTCCGGGGCCGGCTTGCAAAATCCAACTATGACGAAACTTGATGACAAGGCAATTTGAAAAACGTAAATATTTCTAGTGCAGATATGTTTATTTGAATGACCTTTTCGATGACCGGTATCGTTGTCTAAATTATATTTTATTTATTCTTTGACCCAGGATATTAGCTTGGTAGCACTGCCCAGCATATCGAACATCGTAGTTTGTGGACATCGCCATCTCGACGTCGATGTAAATCGGATCACGTGACTGCACATCCAACATAGGTTTCAACTCCCACCGGCTAGTCTTTGCGAGTCAGATGCAGCAGCTTCTTAATTCGGTATTGTGCGGTATGCATCTTGGCACACACCGTTTCATCGATCGATGACCCTTATCAGTGCCCGGAGCTACGGCGGTCTATCTACCACGCAAGTCTATCATCCGATGGTCATGTATACGGGTGCCGTTTGGTGGCCGGCGAGTCGTACGAGTTAGCAAAGGGTGGTAGTGTTGGCGGGTTGTCTTGAATGGAGAAGAGTGAGCTCCATAGATACGTTTGATGTACGCCTCTGTGATATGTGAGTTGGTATTGGAGCTCAAGAGTCCAATATTGTTTTTCGTTAAGTAAAATTTAAGAAGAAATTACTTCAAAAAATCTAGAAGAGCAAAAATTGCTCAGCTAAAATAGACACGAAATTCTAACAAAATACCCAAAACGTCTCATTAACGTCGATATAATGCAGCAGGGAAGAATTGCATCATCTGCCACGGTTTGGCTGTTTGCGGGGAAACAAGACCGCCACCCTTGTGTTTGTTTGGCCTGAGGTCATCATCAAAGCGGCATACTCACATTGTACTGATGTTTCGGTGTGCCTGTTTAGCGCATTTTTACAGGGAATGCAACGCTCGTACGTTACCGTTTGTTACCCCATCTGGGGTAAGATCGGGCGGCGCGGTTTAACTTGAGCCGCTGAAAGCCGAAGTGATACCCCTCTGTAAGCCGCACCTGAACCAACCACGACTGTTCATCCCTTGTTGTTGGCCCATTTCCCTCTCCAACACGACTGCGGAACAGTCTGCGCGTTGTTGGTGGTAGAATCCCGCGCCGGGCGGATGCGTCTAAGTGGTCGAACCACGACAGTACGACAAGGCTAAACACGGGAGGAATTTGGAGGGAGACGAAGCCATGGTTTCTTTATGCTGGCGTCCGTCGGTACGAACGGAGAGCTGTGCTTACCTACACCGTCCTCCGTCTTGTAGTTCTTTTGCGGGCATGTGCCGTCCCACTACGTAGACTTGAGTGAAAGGGAGGGAAGAACGGTTCGAACACGAGGGAAGCAGGGAAGCCGCGAGCGAGACGGGAATTTAAGATGTAGTTTTCTGTCGCTCGTTCGTGCCTCCTTTCCCTCTTGCTCTCCCCATCGTTTTGGTCTACTTGTTTCGTCATTGTGAAGATTCCTATTTGGAACCAAGGAACATCTCCAACTCGCCTACGGGAGCAAACACCACTCTCAGCATCTCCTAATGGATTTCAACTTTAGCCATCTCGTCGCCTGGGGCGGGATGCTGCTCGCAGCAGCTGCAGCCTATGTAACTTCGCCCCCAGATTCTTCCTGTCAACCTCTGTCATATCCTTCACATCCTTCTTTTTTTACTGACCAGCCCTTCCTCTAGATCGCCGGCTTCATCATCTACCGTCTGTACTTCCACCCGCTCGCCAAGTACCCGGGCCCTTTCCTGGCCAAGATCACCGATGCGTACATGCTCTACTTTGCCTGGAAGGGCGACCGGCACCTCCAGTTCTGGCGGCTGCACGAGACGTACGGCCCGATTGTGCGCTGGGGCCCCAACAGCGTGTCGTTCAACAGCAACACGGCCCTCAAGGAGATTTACGGGTTCAAGGCCAACGTGGGCAAGTCGTCGTTTTACGACGCGTTTGTGCACCCGGCCCACAACACGCACAACGCGCGCGACAAGGCGCAGCATGCGCGCAAGCGGCGGGTGCTGTCGCACGCCTTTTCGGACAGTGCCGTCAAGGAGGCCGAAAAGTACATTCTGGCCAACGTGCGTTCCTTTTGCAATGTCCTGGGGGGCAACGGAGGCCCAGGCAATGCTGTGGCAGCCACCGGCGACAAATGGTCGGGCCCCGTCAGCATGAGCGACCAGTGCAACTACCTGGCCATGGACATTCTGGGCGACCTGTGCTTTGGCAAGGCCTTCCACATGCTCGAGGCGCCCGACAACCGGTACGCCGTTGACCTGGTCGGCGTGGCCGCGCGGCGCCACCTCATCTGCGGCACCATGCGCTCCGTCGAGCAGACGGGCATCGAGAAGGTGCTGTTCCGCGAGATTGCCGCCGGCCGCGCGCGCTACATGCAGTACAGCCGCGGCCAGCTGGCCGAGCGCATGGCCCTCGGCGACGACACGGACCGCCGCGATTTCTTTTACTATCTGCTCAAGGCGCGCGACCCGGAAACCGGCGAGGGGTTCAGCAAGCCCGAGCTGTGGGGCGAGTCCAACCTGCTCATCATTGCCGGCTCCGACACGACGTCGACGGGCATGGCCGCCACGTTCTTTTATCTGGTGCGCCACCCCGCGGCCCTGGCAAAGGCAACGCGCGAGGTCCGCTCGACGTTTTCTGATGTCGAGGAGATCCAGCAGGGTACCGCGCTGACGGGCTGCACGTACCTGCGCGCCTGCATCGACGAGGCCATGCGGCTGTCCCCGGCCGTGGGCGGCCTGCTGCCGCGCGAGGTGCTGGCGGGCGGCATGCAGATCGACGGGCACACGATCCCGGCGGGCATGGTGGTCGGCACGCCGCACTACACGATCCACCACAACGCAGCGTACTACCCGCAGCCGTGGGCGTACACGCCGGAGCGGTGGATTGCGGGCAGCACGTTGCCGAGCGGTGCGGTTGTCAGCGAGGACGATGTGCGCTGCGCGCAGTCAGCCTTCTGTCCGTTCAGCATCGGCCCGCGCGGCTGCATCGGCAAGGGCCTGGCATACACGGAGATGATGACGACACTCGCGCGGACGCTGTTTTTGTATGATGTGCGGCGGGCCCAGGGTGTGGTGGACCCGGGCGAGGGCCGTGTAGGTGCCGAATGGGGCCGCGACCGGCCGGGTGAGCTGCAGATGATGGACACATTTACGAGTGTCAAGAAGGGCGTGATGGTGGACTTTAAGCCGCGGGCGTAGGGAGGGTACACGGGAGGTTGGTACGTAGACGCATGTGGTGAAATGATCCGCGTGACGTCTGGAGTTCATAGGCCTTGGAATATAATGGAAAAGAGACTGCATTTGGACAAACAATTGAGAAACAGTATAGCCAATGCAATGCAAGTTTGATTAACGACTACGTGTACTATTGTGCAGCTAAGAGAGCTTGGATGACATGAAATGCAGGCGTCATATGGAGGATGTGTATGAGGTGTGGTGACGGGCTCCAGATAAAAAAGGAAAGAACGAACGCGCACGAGAGCGAGGCCAAAAACGGGTCGGCCCGTCACACCCGTCCGTCGTCGACCATCTGCGCCTTGGTATCGGGCGTGTGGCCACCAAAAGCGGCGTCACCGTCGAAAATGACGGCAATCTCCTCGAGAGTGCGGCCCTTGGTCTCGGGGAAGAAGAACCAGACAACGACAATCTCAATGGCGATGATGACAATGTAGACAATGTAGTACTTCCAGGTAATGGCCTCCATGGCGACGGGGTTGGCGTAGCCGTTGAAAATGAGGCAGCAGGTGCCGGCAATCTGCATAATGTTGGTGCCCTTGGCGCGCAGGTGCGTGGGCAGGACCTCGGTGACGTAGACCCAGGGCACGCCGTTGAGGCCGGCGTTGTAGGCGGCGTTGTACAGGAAGATCATGGCGACGACGCCGGTGCCGAGGCTGCCGTTGACAAAGTTCTGCTGCTGGTTGATGGCGGACAGGATGGTCCAGATGATGTAGGTGACGAGCATGCCGACGGTGGAGAAGAGGAACAGACGGCGGCGGCCGAGAAGGTCGATGAAGGAGGCCAGGATGACGCTGATGACAAAGTTGAAGACGTTGAGGCCGCCGTTGATGCGCAGCTGCTGCGGCGCCGACGTCAAGCCGATGGAATTGAGGATGAGATGCAGGTAATAGGAGGTCAAGCCGTTTCCTGAGAGCTGCATCATGCACGGCACGAAGATGATGATGAAGAGACGGTGGCGGTTGCCCTTGCCGTTGAGGAACTCGCGGTAGTTGGTGGAGCTCGAGACCTTGGCCGTCTCGATGTGGGCAATGATCTCCTTCATCTCAAAGTCCACGAGCGGCGAGGCCTCGTCGCCGCCGGCGTGGTACTTGACGAGCACCTTGCGGGCCTCCTCGTGGCGGTCCTTTTGCACCAAGTACCGCGGCGACTCGGGCATGAGGTAGACGAGAAACACCTGCAGCAGCGGGAAGAAGCCCTGCAGCAGCGACGGGATGCGCCAGGCCCACGACTGGCCGGGGCCCATAAAGTAGGTGCCGTACGTGACCCAGGCGGCCAGCAGCGACCCCAGGTACCACAGGTTGTTGTAGTAGCCCGTCAGGACGGCGCGGTGCGTCGGGTACGCCAGCTCGGCAATGAACATGGGCGACGCCTCGACGGCAATGAGGCCGCCAAATCCGATAATCATGCGGGACGCCAGGAACATGCCGTAGTTCTGCGCCGCGCACTGCAGAGCGGCGCCCAGGACGAGCAGCAGCGAGCCGATGAAGATGGGGAACCGACGGCCGGTGTGGTCGCAGAGCCAGGGGGCAATGGGGAACGCGAGGATCTGGCCAAAGACGACGCCGTTGGACAGGGAGCCGAGACGCGAGCCGGTAGGCGTGCCGAAGAAGTTCTGCCACTGGTCCATGGACTGCAGGCCGTTGAGCATGGAGCCGTCGTAGCCGTTGGTGGTGGACGAGAAGTAGGGGATGATGATGAGCAGGTTGAGCATGACCAGGTGACGCTGCTTGTACCAGGGCGGTGCGTCCTGGGGCAGGACCTGGCGGATGTCCCACTCGGCTTGGTTCTCCGGGAGGCGGGAGGTCGGCGAGACATCATGCGGACTGTCGAGGTCGGCGTGCGCGGCCGAGACTGTCGGCTTTTCGTCCATGATGGGAGATTGAAGGGAGTTGGGGGGGGGGGGGGAGTGATAGAAACCAAACGGATGAGTATAGAAAGCGGATGGAATATCAGAAAACTGAAGGCAGGGCCAAGACAAATATAATGACAAAATGCAGGAGACGATCGACAGCGCAGTCGGTGGCTGTATTTGCTGTCACTGCTCTGGATGCGAGGTCCGGTGGCGATGGAAACAAGATCAACAACAAGAACTCATGATCAACACGACAGCCACATGGTCAATATATATATCTCTGCCAATGGCACGTCATGTCGAGAGTGCGGGGCAGGGTAAAGTGAAGAGTGAAAATTAAGTAAAATCAGTTGACAAGGATCGCGGTCCGCTAAAGCCATCTGTCGGGGATGGTCGTTGTCTGTTGTCTCTGGTGCATTGGACGATCAGTCGACCAAGGTAGTGACCGCGATGTCGCACCCCAGACTAGAAAACGCGAAAATACGGAAAACGGAAGACGGAACACGGGAGACGCAGAGCCAGAAAGGCTGCAGACTGGGGATGTGGAGAAGAGGAAAACGCTGAATGGCAGGGAGGCACAGACAACGTCTGGCAGTGAACCGAAACTCCGCGTGGTATTTGGGAGAACCGGCAGGCTGGGGTGAATTTTGCGTAAGGCTGTCTTATTTGATTGTACTTTTTGTCGGTTGTTCTCTTTTTCTTCTCACGTTTTGTGGTTCCGCACCCTCGGCTGTTGACCCCAGGGGGCAGAAGCGAGGAGAGCGTGAGAAGGAGGGTGAGGTGAGACGAGAAAACCTGGAGAACAACGCGAAAAAAAGAAGAAAAAAATGGAGAATGGGGCGGGAGAAAGTGGAGGACGGAGGAGAAAATGAAGAAACGAGACCGAGCAAAAAAGAAAAAATACGAAAATGACACGAGAGATGGGAGAGTATGGAGAGTGGAAGAGTCACATAATTGCCCCGGAAATACAAAAGGGTAACAGGCCACAGTCGGTGAAGCACCAAAATGCAGGCGGAAAGGCTGATGCGACTACAACACGCACTGGCAGTGAACACCCGACTTGACATTCACATTCACCCGGCAAAAAGGCCGTCTTCGGCCCTATCCAGTCACACTCCGCAGGCAAGCAAACAAGAGGGGAAACATGGCCGGGGGACAAACGGCGGAGAATAGGAGGATCGGCAGGCCGAGCGACCAGACCCCAGGTTTCGATTGCTGGAGAGGAGGAGGGGGCCAGGGAATAAGGCCGAGTGGCTTGTGAGCGACTTGAGGAACTACGACTAAAGAAAAGAAAAAGTCTTAAAAAATGAACAAAATTAAGGAGTTAAAACTAGGACCCAAATAAGCAGAACATCCACACCTAGATGGCTCCAAAAAGAGTAGCGATACTTACCAAAGAATCCTTCATAATACGGCACAATCCACCCAGAACGTAAAGACGATGTTTTCGTCCCTTTCCTCTGTGCGAACCACATGTTTGAAAGGCAGATTGTGTCTGTGGAGAAGTTGGGGACTTGGAAAGACTAACACGCAGAGTGGAGATCGTCGACGGGCACCAGCCAATCACAGCCTCGAGTCGAGCACAATTCAAACGGTCTGCTGGTACGCCCGATACTCCGCGCCTTCCTCTTCGGTTGTCTCCTGGTTCGCATCCTCCAAGGACCCTCTTTCCGTTTCCGCTGCCCCACGCGCTGTGTCGTTCCTGCCCCAGCATCCCCATACTTTTCCGCACCTTCCCCAGTTTCGTTTCTCCCCTCCAGCCTTTCTCCCGTATCTGCCGTCGCGCCTTCCTTCGCTTCCCCAGCTTCCCCTATCTCTGCCTTGCTCCTATCTTCCGCGCCATCGCGAGGTTGTCATCTTCTAAGATTTCGATTGCGCTTTGGCCAAGACAGCCGTTCACGGCGTACGGGCTGACCCACGCCTCAACCGTATCGTCGACAGTCTTCCATACTCGCGGAGTTTCGGATCTCGATTCGTCTCGTATATTCTGACCTCATGTCGTCCTCGTACACGAGTCCTGGTGCGGTGGAGGCCCACGGACATGGACATGGCCTCGCTCACTCTTTCAGCCACAATCTTGGACACGGCCAACAGCAGCAGCAGCAGCAGCAGCAGCAGCAGCAGCAGCAGCAGCAGCAGCAGCAGCAGCAGCATGCACACGCACATGCCCACGCCCACAATACGACGAGTCCCGTCGCGTACTACAGTGGCCACACATCCCACGGATATGCGCCGGTCGTCGCCGACCCCGTTCTGACGTCCCCCTATTCCGTCGCTGCGACCACGCCCTCGGCCACAGCCACGACCACGTCCACGAGCCCACCTTCTCTGCTTCTTCCTCCTCCACCACCGCCGTCGGTCCCGGTCATGCGACCCCCACAGCACATGTCCTCGTCGCCCAGCCCGTCGGCGTCGTCTGCCGACCCTTCTCTTCCTCTTCCCCCACTCTCTTCTGCGGCATCAGCCACAGCAACGAAGCGCCGTCTTCCGCGCGCCGCCGCGACGTACCCGCGCAAGCGCGCCACGCAGGCGTGCCTGACGTGCCGGTTCCGGCGCACCAAATGCGACAATGCCCGGCCGGCGTGCGCGGCATGTGTGCGGCTGGGCGCGGACTGCTCGTACCGCGAGGCCGACCACTCGACGTTTGACCCGGCGAGTTTGACCATCTTGCACCGGCTGGACGATTTGGAGCGCTTGTTCCGGGAGAGGAGCACAGGGACGGCGCCAGCTGTCCCGGGGCCACCCATGGTACCGGCGATGGCCCCCAACGCCGTCAACGGTCACGGCCACGGCCACGGTCACGGCCGAAGCCTTGACGCCACCAGCCCCGCGTCCCAAATTTCCCAAGCCCAGAGCGACCTGAGCTATGCCGTCGACGTGTGGTCGCGCGACAAGCGGCCGCAAGTCAGCATCGACGCCGTGCTGCAGTGGGCGCCGCTCAAGGACGAGGGGTTCACGACACGCATGTTTCCGTCGCCGCGGCGGGACGATGCAACGTCGCCGGAGGCGAACGGTGCCTTGAGTAGCAGCAACGGCGGCAACTGGCGCGGCGCCATTGACCTCGACCTGCCGGCGGCCGACGCGGTGCTGCGCAGCTTCTTTGACAATGTGCACGTCTTCAACCCGATCCTCGAGGAGGAAGACGTCCAGGACTATGTCAAGATGGTCCGGTTCCAGGGCATCGGCTGGGACGCGGTGTCGTGCTTGACGCTGCTCATCTACGCACTGGGCACGGCGTGCACGACGTTTGGGCGCGACTACGCCGGCGAGGTGGGGCTGCCGTCGGCGTTCCGGCAGTCGCCCGAGTTCCACGAGGCCGAGGCGTACTTTGTGGCGGCGCAGAAGCGCATGGGCATGCTGCTGTGCCGCAGCGGCGTGATTGATGCGCAGTGCTTCTTTCTGGCGGGCGTCTACCTGATGACGACGCTGCGGCCCGTCGAGGCGTGGAAGATGTTTGTGCAGGCGCTGGCGTGCTGCCAGGGGTTCCTGGTGCCGGACGCGGAGGAGGGCCCCGCGCCATCGCCGGCCACCGAGGCAGCGGCAGGTGCTGCTGCTGCTGCTGCTTCAGCTGCCGCTGGAACAGAAGACGGCTCCAACCCCAAGCGGCGCATCTACTGGGCGTGCTACAAGTCGGAGCTGGAGCTGCGGCTCGAGCTCAACCCGTACCAAAAGGACGTGTGGGACCTGACGTACCCGACCTTTTTCCCCTCGCCGCCCGACGCCCTCAAGGCCCGCGACGAGACGGCGTGGTACTTTTACCTGGCGGAGATCGCCCTGACGCGGCTCAAGAACCGCATTCTGAGCCACCTCTACCAGTCCGACACGCACGCCACGCGGGAGAACAACATTGAATACATTCTGGACTTTGAAGAGCAGATCCAGGCGTGGCTTGGGTCACTGCCGCCACCGCTGGAGCTGACAGCCTTGTACGGCGGCGGCGCAGACGACGACCGCGATGGCGACGGCGACGATGACGGCGATGGCGACGGGAGCGGAGCAGCGGTTGCCGAGGATCGGCGCCGCGACCAAAACGAGGCGTTCCGGTATGTCTTGAACGGCCACCTTCTCGACTGCAAGGAAATCATGTACTGGCCGTTTGTCGTCGATGCCGTGCACGGGCGGTCGACAACAGCAACGGCAGCGAGCAAGAGCCGGTCCTACACAGCGGCCGGGCGGCACCACATCGCGTCGTTTGTCCGCAAAGGGCTGCGCGTCTGCGTCGACCGCATCCGGCAGAGCCACCAGGGGTTCCGGCACCGGCACCACGGCACGTGGCTGATGCTGCGGTCGAGCACGCGGAGTGCACTGGTGCTGCTGGCGGTGGCGCGGTGTCCATCGCTTGCGTCGCAAGGGCCACACGGGCTCCAAGGGTTGGACCAAACAGTGCCTGCAGTACCTTCACTGCCCACACGACCGATATTGCCCGCCGGCTGGGACGAGAGGGTGGCGGATGTGGCCGACATGCTGCAGCTGTGGCAGGACGAGTCGTCGGACGTGCGGGCGATGTTGACGGCGGTGGAGGCGCTCTTGAGAACATCGCCGATGCGGACGGCGTAGGGAGATGCGGAATTGAGACAACGACAAGGCGAGCCGGGGTACAAGTCTGATTACGCTTTGTATGGCTGCTCTGACTGCAGCTTGCTGTATATTATTGATTATTTGATGGTACATATTTCATATTCGTACAGACGACACGACGCACGCGACAGCAAGTGACGTCGCATTGGACACAATGCTGCGAACTCGCGGTGTACTGCAAGCATGGCCAAGACGGTGGGTGTTCCGATGCATCGAACAAAGCTTGTCAGCTCCGAGCGGACTCAAAGTTGCCATTGACTCTACGCGGCGTCAATTCTGTGCGCGTCTGTCTCGCTCGGATTGCCTCGTGGCTGTTAGATCATATGCCGATCCCGGGACGCGGAGTCGAATATAATAAAACGGCCATGCCCCGCGGATTGTCGGATAAAGCTGGCCGTCACTCGCTGCGGAATTGCGGACCTCAGACTGCCCACTTACAGCAGTTGTCCCCTCGCAAAGGACCGATTCAGCAGCTCGGCATGCACTAGACGAGCCGGGGTTTTGCCGATACTCCGCACTGCGCGAAAAGAAGTGCATCTAAACGACAGAGAAGAGAGATCGAGCAATGTCGACGTTGCTGTTACAGGAGACAGTCGCTGGGTTCTCCGTTTATTTATTGTGGATTTCCAACCCGTCCAGTCGTCTTTGCGCTGTTTTCCGTCTTCGTCCCGACATTCCGGCCGATGAAGACACGAACCGGACCACAAATCGTCCCACATTTACGGAGAACTTGTGCCAGCTCTGACCTCTGTTTGCTCCACAGGAGATCCAGCTATCCGTCTCTTGTCCACGCCCTAGCGGACCGGCGGACCACCGTGGATGTCCGTGTCAAGCAAGTTCAGCAGGAGAAGGGCGGCAAGCATTAATGGATAGACGGCTGCTGTCTATGTGCTCGTCAACTGTGCCTATTTCCATATTTCCACAGTACCATATTTCCACAGTACCATATTCCCACACTCCATACTCCCGTTTTCCACGACGCAAAGACTGGGCAGCTATAAAAGAGACAGCGTGCGTCGGTAAAACATCGGAAGAATCACGGGACGACGTGCGCCGACTGACAACGCGCCAAGCTGCTCACGACGTGCGTTGACGTTTCTTCTTGGCTGTATCGATTATAAGACGGCCAGCTCGTTGTCGTTTCGTTTTCTGCCAACAGCAACCGCACAGCAACACCACCACCACCTCCTCCACTGAGCACACAACCACATCACAACCCCACGCCTCCCACCACGATGAAACCCTCGCAGCTCGACGTCGAGGCGGTCCTCGAGCAGCTGTCGCTCGACGAAAAGGTGGCGCTGCTGGCGGGCATCGACGGCTGGCACACCAAGGCGATCCCGCGGCTGGGCGTGCCGTCGGTGCGCATGTCGGACGGCCCCAACGGCGTGCGCGGCACGCGCTTCTTCAACGGCGTGCCGGCGGCCTGCCTGCCGTGCGAGACGGCGCTGGGCGCGACCTTTGACCAGGCGCTCGTCCGGGAGCTGGGCGCGCTGCTGGCCGACGAGTGCCGCGCAAAGGGCGCGCACGTGCTGCTGGGCCCGACCATCAACATCCAGCGCGGGCCGCTGGGCGGCCGCGGCTTCGAGTCGTTCAGCGAGGACCCCGTGCTGTCGGGCACGCTGGCGGCACGCTACTGCGAGGGCGTGGAGGCCGGCGGGGACGTGCTGGCGACGCCCAAGCACCTCGTGTGCAACGACCAGGAGCACGCGCGCGTGGCCGTCAACGCCATTGTCACGGAGCGCGCGCTGCGCGAGATCTACCTGCTGCCGTTCCAGCTCGCCCTGGGCCAGGCGCGCCCGGGCGCGCTCATGACGTCGTACAACAAGCTCAACGGCACGCACGCGAGCGAGAACCCGCGCCTGCTGCAGGACATTGTGCGGCGCGAGTGGGGGTACGACGGGCTGATTGTGAGCGACTGGTTCGGCACGTACAGCGTCAGCGAGGCCGTCAACGCCGGGCTGGACCTGGAGATGCCGGGCATGTCCGGCTTCCGCGGCCCCGCGCTGATCCACGCCGTCACCTCCAACAAGGTCAAGGAGACCACGATCGACGAGCGCGTGCGCCGCGTGCTGCAGATGGCCAGCAAGGCGCTGGCGTCGGGCATCCCCGAGATGCTGGCGCCCGAGCAGACGCGCGACACGCCCGCGACGCGCGCGCTGCTGCGGCGGGCGGCCGCCGAGTCGGTCGTCCTGCTCAAGAACGAGGACGGCGTCCTGCCGCTGAGCCCCGCCAAGCGCACCCTCGTCCTCGGGCCCAACGCCAACACGGCCACCTACTGCGGCGGCGGCTCGGCGGCGCTGCCGGCCTACTACACCACGACGCCGCTGCAGGGCATCCGCGGCAAGGCGGCGTCGCCCGACCTCGTGGCGTTCACGCAGGGCGCGTACGGCCACAAGGAGCTGCCGCTGCTGGGCGAGCATCTGACGACCGGCGACGGCCGCGTGGGCTACACGTTCCGCGTGTACACGGAGTCGCGCGAGCAGAATCCACAGCGCCAGGCCGTCGACGAGCTGCACATGACCAGCAGCTCGGCCTTCTTGATGGACTACATGCACCCGCAGGTCAAAGGCGACACCTACTACGTGACCATGGACGGCACCTTTACGCCCGCCGAGACGGGCCTCTACGACTTCGGCCTGACCGTCGCCGGCACCGGCCTACTGTACGTCGACGGCCAGCTCGTCGTCGACAACAAGACGAGCCAGCGCCAGGGCACGTCCTTCTTCGGCATCGGCACGCCCGAAGAGCGCGGGTCCATCGAGCTGACGGCCGGCCGCGCCTACGCGGTGCACGTCGACTACGGCACGGCGCCCACGTCGTCGCTCAAGGTCAAGAACGTCGTGTCGTTCGGCCCCGGCGGCCTGCGGCTCGGCGGCGCCAAGCGCATCGACCCGGCCAAGGGCATCGCGGAGGCCGTCGCGCTGGCCGCCGACACGCGCCAATTCGACCAGGTCGTCGTCTGCGTCGGCCTCAACAGCGACTGGGAGTCCGAGGGCTTCGACCGCCCCCACATGGACCTGCCCGCCGGCTCCGACGAGCTCGTGCAGCGCGTGCTGGCCGCGCGCCCGGATGCCGTCGTCGTCGTCCAGAGCGGCACGCCCGTCACCATGAACGCGTGGGCGTCGTCGGCCAAGGGCCTGCTGCAGGCCTGGTACGGCGGCAACGAGGCCGGCAATGGCATCGCCGACGTGCTGTTCGGCGACGTCAACCCGGCGGCCAAGCTGCCGCTGAGCTTCCCCGCGACGCTGCAGCAGAACCCCAGCTACCTCAACTACCGCTCCGAGGGCGGCCGCGTCCTCTACGGCGAGGACGTCTATGTCGGCTACCGCTACTACGACGCCACCGGCGTGCAGCCGCTCTTCCGCTTCGGCCACGGCCTGTCGTACACCAGCTTCGCCAGCAGCGACTTGACCGCCGCCGTGTCCGCGTCGGACGCCGCCATCAAAGCGTCCTCCATCCGCCTGTCGCTGTCCGTCACCAACACGGGCGACCGCGCCGGCGCCGAGGTCCTGCAAGTCTTTGTCGCGCCGCCCGCGACCGCCAGCATCCGCCGTCCCCCGCGCGAGCTCAAGGCGTTCCACAAGGTGCCGTCCCTCGCCCCCGGCGAGACGCGTGCCGTCACGCTCGACCCCGTGTCGCTCGCGCTGGCGACGAGCTTCTGGGACGAGAACCGCGACGCCTGGCTCAGCGAGGCCGGCGAGTACACCCTGCACGTCGTCGGCACCGGCAGCGACAACACTGTGTCGACAACCTTTTCCGTGGCCAAGTCGCGCTGGTGGACCGGTCTGCTCGGCAAGCTCGACGCTGCGTCGAACGGCACCAGCGGCGTCAACGGGCATGCGTAGACATGCTGTTTATGTGGAGAGTGTTTTTGTTTTCGATTATAGAATGAATAGAATGTGTTCTTTCACGTGAATGGCAATGGTGAGGTGACGTGCGCTACCTCGGCCGTGACATTGAACTTGATCAGTCAGCAACGGTACAAATATACCCGGTACACTGTGACGACGCGACACGGCTGGGCGGCGTACGTCCCGCGATGACCGCCTTTGTCCCGTTGTTAATATCGACGCCGCAGCAATGTGACGTACTCTGCAGACGGGCACATATTTTACCACTTCTCCCGCAGAGCGGGACAAAACTGACACAAATGCGATCTGGCGTCGTGACTTTGGCATTTTCCCGCTTCAATCAAGCGGCGTCGTAACAGTGGCTGCTACCCGTGCACGGTGTAGAACGTACATTGTAGTCATCATCGGATGTAGTCAGCGAAAGAATAGTGGTGGTCGATTACCGGTTCTCGTTTTGTCCCTGGCATCTTGTCAGCTCAACTCATCATCGTCACCACGTCACAACCGCATCCTCTCACCACGATGCGCCTCGTCCATCTCGTGTCGTCCGCCGCCCTGGCTGCCGCCGGGACTGTCAGTGCCGCCTGGCCAAACGGCCCCCTCGTCACATCTGGCCGCTGGATCCACGATGCTGCCGGCAACAACGTCACCTATGCCGGCGCCAACTGGCCCGGCGCCGCCGACACGATGCTGCCCGAGGGTCTGCAGTTCCAGAGCATCGACGCCATTGTCGACAAGATCAAGGGCATCGGCATGAACGCAGTGCGCCTGACGTACGCCATCCAGATGATTGACGAGATCTACGACAACGGCGGCCAAGACGTGGCCATCGCGACGGCCCTCACCAAGGCGCTGGGTGCGACCAACGGCCCTAAAGTCTTGGCCCAGATCCTGGCGAAGAACCCGTCGTTCACGGCCAGCACCACCCGCCTGCAAGTGTTTGACGCCGTCGCCGCCGCCCTGCACAAGGCCCACATCTACGTCCACCTCGACAACCACATCTCGCGCGCCGAATGGTGCTGCTCGACGACCGACGGCAACGCCTGGTGGGGCGACACCGACTTTGACGTGGCCAAGTGGGTGCGCGGCCTGTCGTACATGGCGACGCACGCGGGGGGCGGCCACTGGCCCAACCTCGTGTCCATGTCGCTGCGCAACGAGCCGCGGTCGCCCGACGGCAAGGGCAGCGCGTCGGCCGCCGCGAAGAAGACGTACAACTGGCAGGGGTGGTACCGGTACGTGCGGCAGGGCGCCGACGCCATCCACGCCGCCAACCCGGACGTCTTGATTTTCCTGTCGGGCCTGGGCTACGACACCGACCTGTCGGCCGTCACCAGGGGATCGGCCCTGTCGCCGGGATCCGCCAAGTTCTCGCTCGGCGACTTTACCGGGTACGGCAACAAGATCGTCCTCGAGCTGCACAACTACCAGAACAGCGCCACCTCGTGCAGCAGCCTCGAGAGCGGTCTGGCCAGCAGCGGCTTCAGCGCGATGACGTCGACGTCCAGCAGCAGCAGCAGCGGCGGCGGCCTCCAGATCCCCGTGCTCATGACCGAGTTCGGCTTCCAGATGGACGCGTCCACGTACAAGGGCGTCTACGCCACCTGCCTGGCCAGCTACCTGCCCCGGATCCACGCCGGCTGGACCATCTGGGTGCTGTCGGGCAGCTACTACATCCGCTCGGGCAAGCAAGACTTTGACGAGACCTGGGGCCTGCTGAACCACGACTGGAGCGCCTGGCGCAACCCGACCTACGTCAAGGAGCAGCTGGAGCCGATGATCAAGGCGAGCCTGGCATAGGGCGCGTAGTGGGAGAGATGGCGTGGACTTGGCACAGCTGGCAGTTGGAGTCGCGTCTGAAGCGCGCAGATGAGTGCCTTGCAGAAGGACTAGACGGGAACTGTAGACGTAGTTAGCACGGTAGCGGACATGTACATAGTCAATTGACGAAAAACCCACATGTTGGATTGAACTACAGGTGACAATCGGGACGCCGGCGAGTGATGCATTGTTTGCATGTTGTCACGTGTATTGAAGCCATTCCAAATGTCAGGGGCTGTTGCGATGCAGCCATTGGCGCTTTGGTTGGCGAGGCTGTTGGTCGCACCTGCCAGAGACGTGCACCTGCAAGGACCCACTTTAATCCACGCGCGTTTGTACTTTTCGGCCAGCAAAGGAAAGCGCAACTCTGAACGTCAACATCGCTGTCGTCAATTTTCAGGACCATCACAACCATCGCGACGACAACAGTCCCCCTCGCATCGCCATACGACCCCTCGCCGCTTCCAACAGTGCGACGATGGTGGTGTGCAAGTTTTGGCTGCAAGGCAATTGCCGCTTTGGCAGTGCGTCTCCCCTGCTCCATTCTCCTTGATCGATGCAGTCGTTGAATCGTCGCGATCCTCGACCAACTCCAACTCTCGGATCCCTTTTGCCTCTTGTGTCTTGCTAACGTTCCCAGACAACTGCCGCTATGAGCACCCGCCGCAGAATCAGAACCGCTTCGGCGCCTTTGGCCAGCCCAGCACCGGCGGCTCGTCGCCCTTTGGCAGCAGCACCACCACCACCGCCGCCACCACGACGCCTGCCACCGCCTCGACACCCTCCACAGCCAACGCCTTCAATGTCTCGTCGGCCAGCATCGTCAAGGACCTGACCGAGGACCGCCCCTCGTGGGTCTTCTCCGCCTACGGGCCCGGCCGCAACGCCCCCGCCCAGCTCTTTGGCGGGCCGCAGACTGAGCAGTCGTTTGAGGAGCTGCGGCTGCACTACTACAAGGCCCAGGCCGCCGGCAACCCGCAGGCGGCCATCAACGACATGGACACGCTGTACCGGCAGATCGAGCAGCAGATGCAGACGGCCGTCAAGAACCCGGACGCGGCCGCGCAGTACGTGCTGCAGGCCGCGCAGCAGCACCCGAACCGGCTGGACCAGTGCGCCCGAAACACCCTGACGCCGTCGCCGGGTGTCTTTGATGAGGGCAAACAGAGGGGCACCCAGCCGCAGTCGACTCCGTTTGGCGGCGGCGGCACGTTTGGTGCGCCGTCACAGCCGGCCGCCGCAAACCCCTTTGGACAAGCCCCGAGAACGGCCACAACGACGACACCCGCCAACCCATTTGGCGCACCACCGTCGACGTCCACCACAACGACGTCGCCCTTTGGCGCCAAGCCCGCGTTTGGTCAGCCTGCAGGTGGCGCGGCCTTTGGACAGCCGTCGCAAATGGGCGGCGGCAGCGCATTCGGTCAGCCGTCGGCTCTGGGCGGCACCGCCTCGGCCTTTGGCAAGCCAGCGGCCCCTGCGTTTGGTCAGCCGGGCGGCGGCGCCTTTGGCCAGCCGTCGCAGCTGGGCAGCACGACGTCACCCTTTGCGAAACCGGCGGCGCCCGCCTTTGGTCAGCCTGGGGGCGGTGCTTTTGGTGCACCGTCGGCCGGCACGCCAGCCGCATCCGGCGGTGGCTTCTCCAAGTTTGCGTCCTCGACCCCGGCGGGCGGCGGCAGTGCTTTTGGCCAGCCGTCGCAGATGGGCGGCATGACCTCGGCGTTTGGTAAACCGTCGGCGCTCGGTGGCGGTGGCGGTGGCGGCCCGTCGCCGTTTGGAGCCGCCGCCTCGAGCGGAGCATCGCCGAGTCCCTTTGGCGCCGCCCCCTCGACCACGACGGCACCGCCTTCCAATCCATTTGGCGCCGCGTCGGGTGGTGCAGCGGCCTCGCCCAGTCCATTTGGCCAACCGGCCGCAGCAGGCTCCACGACGACGACTACGACTACGCCAGCCAACCCGTTCGGCCAACCTGCGGCGGCAGCGTCATCTGCGCCTGCCAATCCATTTGGCCAGCCGTCCACAGCCTCGGCCACTCCAGCAGCCAACCCGTTCGCAGCGGCTACTAAAGCACCTGCAGCGGCTTCGCCGTTTGGCCAGCCGTCGGGTGGATCTGGTGGGTTCCAACAAACCGGTCAAACACCATCACCATTCGGCCAGCCTCAACCTGCGGCTGCCACCGCCGCCACCGCAAACCCCGCCACCAACGCCTACGGCCCTCATGCCTCCAAACAGCACCCGCCCATTGACGCCTACGCCCAGCGCGACCCGTCCAACCCGTCGCGGCTGGTCGCCTTCCAGGGCCGCCGCGTCGTGTACGAATCACAAAAGGACTCGGCCGACAACGTCATCGAAGTCCCCATGGTCCAGCGCCCCTCGGACGGCAAGCCTGCCAAGGTCTGGTTCCCGCAGGGCGCGCCGCCCTTCAACGAGGACACGGAGTGCAAGCCAAGGAGCATGTACACGGATGCCGGCAGTCCCGTGCCGGCGCAGTACCAGACGTTCCTCAATACAGGGAGGTTTGCGGTGGGCATGATGCCGGAAGTGCCACCATTGCGTGAGTGGTGCCTGTGGAATTTCTAAGGGCGCGTGCAGGCCGTTGGGCGAGCAGGGTCGACCAAACACGACGGCGAGAAGAGAAAAGGGCATTTTGTATATATACACCAGCGATATTTGTATCAACCTGGATGGCGTTTTGGGGCGTTGGGATAGGAATACGTACTTGGGGGCGGCATGACAGACGCGTCTGTGGAACCATTTCGGACCGAGGACGCAATTGGTCGGGTCACACATCGGCAGCCAACAGCAGCTAGAAAATATCAGTGTTTACACAGAGGGTGAAGCTCGCAATGGCAACGTTGATGGGATATTGCTCCTGTCGCATATCGGCTCACTCACCGTTTCGTAAATGGCTTTCCGCCCCAACAACCCATGCCAGCGACAGTGACTACCTCCAAGTTCATAGAGGCCCGTTGCCCTTGTTTTTCACGCGGCTAGCTAGGATGTTGTCGCCAAATTTACGTTTTGTGCAGCTTGTAGAGAGCCAGGAGACAGGTCAAATATGAGGTCATAGTGAGACATGAGAATTGGTAGGAGGCTCAAATTACAGTGGATGCCCGCTGTAGCTGTGCCTCGCTGGGTCCTCCTCAGCCCTGACCGCCAAATAAGGGACGCGGGGCTAAACTCAATCGTAGCTTCCATTTAGCGCTAAACCTCCCATATATGGAAGGTGCAGACTTTCCACCAAAACCGACATCACCACTGGTTGCTTGAGCTTCACTTTCGCGCGAGCTCGACTTCGTCTCTGTCGATACGCCCCCAGCGTCCCTCTCCCATCCGTCCCCACCTCGCAAGACCACCCCGCACCCGTCAATGGACTCGGCGCTGCCCCCCTTTGCGCCGTTTCCCGACTCGGCGGCCCGGCGGCAGCAAATCGGCCCCGACGACTGGGCGCTATATCTGGCCTCATGGCGCGCTCTTACGGCCGCCTACCTGGCGCTGCCCGACGCCAAGTTTGCCGCTGCTCTCGCCAAGGACGAGCAGACCGGCGTGTCCTCGTTTCTCGTCTCCTTTGCACGCGCCCTCGCCGAGTCGGGGCCTGCCGCTCTCGCCCCGTTCTCGCCCCCGCCCTCACCTGCACAAGAAGAGACTGCCACCTCTCTGAAAAAGACTGTCTTCCTCCTCACCGCACGCGCTCTCCGCCTGCCGAAACCACCACCAGCGGCCCTCCTTGCATGGGAGCACCTGGCCGATCTCAGCCGCGTCTACGGCCGCCGACGGACAGGGCACGTCTTGGGGACGCTGCCACCAGCGTCGGTCGGCGCCGCAGAAGCCTCCCTATCCGCCCTCAAGAAGTTTCTGATCAGGAACATGGAGGACGGCCCCTCTGGTAAAGGTGACACCCGCGCCGTCGAGGCCCGCCTGCTGCGTGTCAACTACCTCGTGAGCGCCTGGCCCGCAGCCGGTGCGCTGCTTCTGACAGGCAGCGACTATCTGGATGCACTCTGCGCCTGTTTTGTCATTATGAACCCGCCATTGCGGCGCGCCATTGTCACGAACCTCTACGTCTGCCTGATTGGCTTGACGGAACCGCCCACGCCGCGGTACTCGCTGCTGTCGGACCTGTTGTACGCCGTGCGGGGCGCCGCCGAGGAGCACAAAAAGGGCCCCTTGCGGCCGTCGGACTCTCTGGCCGCTGAGCTGGTCAGCGTGACGCCTCTGCTCCAGCAGATACGGCAGCGCGCAGAAGCGCCGTCGTCGTCGGGAGCCACGGGTGCAGGAACCTCCACGAACCGGATCCTCCCCATCCTGGAGGACTTGGTGAAGTTCCGCAAACCTGGCAGCGGACTGTCTCTGCCGCCTGGTCGGTTAAAACGCAAGATCAACAAGGGGAAGGCGGCGGCGCAGACATCGGCACCGACAGCAGCTGCGACAGACACCGCCGCCACCCAGCAACTCCACCCTCACAAACTCAGCCAGATCGCCGTCGTCCAGGACCTTTTCCCCGACTTGGGCTCCGCCTTCGTCGCCAAACTGCTCGACGCCTACGACGACGACACCGAGCAGGTCGTCGCCCACCTCTTGGAGGGCACGCTGCCGGCACACCTCGACAGCGCAGACCGCTCCGAGAACCTGCGCGACGCAGCCACCACCATCGACAGTCAGCACGCCGCAACAGCCATGGCGCCCCGTGCCACGCCGCCGCTGCCGCCCGCCCGCCGCAACATCTTTGACGGCGACGAGCTCGACGAGCTGTCTCTGCAGACATCCAAGCTGCATTTCGGCAAGTCCGCCGCCAGCACCACGGCCGACGATCTCCTGGCCGACGGCTCGTCCGCCAAAGCCCCCAACAAGGCCGCCATCTGGTCCGCCCTGGCCGCGTTCGACTCGGACGACGACGAGCGCGACGACACGTACGATGCGGCGGACGTGGGGGGCACGGTCGACGCCAGCGCGCCCGGCGGCACGACCGGTGCCGACGGCGACGACCTGCACGCCGCCAACGACCAGACCCTGTACGCCGCCTACATGGCCACCCCCAACGCCGCCGTCTTCCAGCGCGACGCCGCCACCCGCCGCAGCGCTGCCCGCGCCCGCCTGCGCGACGAGACGGGCATGACCGACGAGGCCATTGAAGGGTGGGCCGTCATGCTGGCGCGGAACCCGCAGCAGCGGCGGCGCCTGGAGCTGCAGTCGAGCGCGTTTGGTGGCGAGCAGACCCAGCTGGCGCGGACGTCGTGGCGGGCGAGCGACCAGGACGACGACAACGACGACGGAGAGGCGCCGTCGCGGGGTGGCTACCGTGGTGGCCATCGGGGGGGTGGGCGAGGACGAGGAGGCGGCAGCGGTCGCGGCCGCGGCAATGTGGCCGGCCCGACGGGCGACAAGGATACGCAGCAAGCCCGCAACCGCAAGGAGGCCAACAAGGGCAGCCGTGCGAATCACAACCGGCGCGACCAGCGGGCAAAGAAGATGGCCCGCGGCGGGTTCCCGGGGTAGGCCAAGCATCATAGACGCGTAGAAACAATGAAAATAAAATAAAAAGCATAGACAGGCGCAAAGCGAATGCAAAAAAATAGGTATATTTGAAATGCCACGAGAAGAAAACGAAAGCAAGGCCGCCGCCCGCCCGTGTATACGATGTAGACCATGTAAAGAGGTATTGTATGCAAAAGCACATGCGATATATACAGAAAGACAAATAAAAACACAATCGACGGATGACACAACCGCACCAGCAGCGACCGGTCAGGCCACCGCCGTCGGCTTGACACAGACTGGACAACCGTCTCGGACGTGGTCCCTGAGCAACCGGGCATGCATGATCTTGGTCGCCGTAATGTTGTGCCGGCTGATCAGCTCGTCGTCCACGCCGAAACCGAGCTCCTCGACCTCGGCTGTCGACTTGCCCAACAGATGCGTCAGGTGGAACACGTGGCCGCACGCAAAGCCCACCAGCGTGTCCCTGTCCCACTCGGTAAAGGCTTCGAGGCAGCGCGCACAGTGGCCGGGCGTCCAGGCCGGCTGCTCTTTTTCGTCGCCGTCGGCAGCATCGATGGTGGCCGTCGCCACCGGGGAGGACACGGCCGGGGCGACCTTGCTGGGCGCCACCACCTCGAACCGGATGCCCTTGCGCTGTCCATTCCGCAGCGTGGCCTGGGCCGTCGCCACCTCGCTGCGCAGCACCCGCGCCACGCCCGAGCTGATGCTGTGCTGGATCTCGTGCTCTTTCATAATGTGCTGCAGCCCGTCCCGCAGCCCTTCCACCGCCAGGCCCTCGGGGATCCGCCGCACCAGCGTGATCGGGTCAATGGCCGTGCCCACCTCTTCCAGCAGACCCCGGATGAACCGCGGCTTGTCCATGCTGTAGTTGAGCAGGTCCTCCCACAGGTCTGGGTCGTCCTGCTCCTTGGCAAACGCAATCGCCTGGCTGACGTCGCCGAGCCGGTCGATGATGAGGTAGAGCGCGCGCTTCATCTGGCCCGTCTTGGAGTACAGGTACACCAGCTCGTCGATGTACTTGTGGCGCTCGCACGCCGCCGCCGCCTGCTCAAACGAATACGACGTCGACGCCTTCAAGAACTCCATCAGCAGCGCGCGGTCCCCAAACTGCGCAAACAGCTGCACCGCCAGGTCCGCAAACCCGTCCAGCTGCGCCTTGCTCTCGAGCGCCAGCCGGTCGTGCGACTCGCGCTGGTGCTCCCGCAGACCCTCGCCCTGCCACAGCCCGCGGAAGTACAGAAAGATGTACAGGTTCAGGTCCTGCGCCTGCAGCTGCGCCACCACCGACGCCGGCTGCACCAGCCCGTGCTGTGCCTCGTCCACGAGCAGCGCCATCGCCTCGGCCGTCGCCTCTTCGAGCTCGGCGCGCGTCATCTTGTCGGCGCGGCCGGCGGGCACGCGCAGCGCAATGAAGCTGGGGATGTCGTCAATCACCGCGTCGGCCAGGTGGTTGTCGCGGATCAGTCGGAACGCCGAGTCCGCGTCCTGCAGCCGGATGTACGCCTTCAGCGCCTCGCGGTACCGCCCATTGGCCTCGTGCAGCCGGGCCAGCGACTCCATCACGATGCGCCAGTCGCGCCCGCGCTCGCCGTCCTCGACGCTGTCCTCGCGCACGTCGCGGTAGTTGAGCTGGTTCTCGAGCGCCGTCACAATCGTGTTGATGTCAAACAGCTCGGTCGGCCACCGCTCCAGCAGCTCGCGGAACCGCGGCTTGTCCTGCTTCAAGTAGTGGCCCAGCACAATCTCGTAGATGGTCCGCGGGATCGGCGGGTGCAGCGGCTCCGTTGGAATGTAGTTGGTGATGGCGTCGAACTGGTCTGCGCCCGCAAACGTCCACACCCACTTCTCCCACCGGTCCGAGCTGCGCAGCACTTTGCCCGCGACCTGCCCCGCCCGCTCCCAGTCGCCCGTGTCGACAATCTCCTTGATCCACAGCTCGCCGATGCGCCGCTTCTCGCGCTCCGCCGGCGCATTGGCCTCCCGGCTGAGGGCATCGAGCACCGCGTCGGGGTAAAAGTCGACCGACGCCTGCGTCGGCTGCGTCGACTGGTCGGGCGTCATCGTGCCCAGGTCAGACGATCGGTCGGCATACGAAGGCACCGCATCCGGGTTCTCGTTGACCAGTTCCCACGCCTGCTGGAACTCCTGGTGCTCCAGAAGCCAAGCAAGGTGGTCGGACAGGTCACGCCTCGTCGCGAGAATGCAGTCGTACGGACTGTGCATAAAAATCTTGATGCCGGTTGTCGCCAGCGACGGATGCACGCTCGGCCCGCCCAAGCCGCCCAGGCGGGACTGCACCCGCAATGTGCTGGCCATGCTGGCCGCCTTGGAGCTCCCCGTTGTCGTGCCTTCGTTGCTGTCCTTGCTCTTGACGCTCTGGCCCGAGCTGAAGAGCATCCTGCTGGGGTTGAGTGCTGCGTTCCACATGTCCGCGCCGAGTCCGGCAATCGCCTCGAGCGCGCCCTTGGACGAAACTGCTGCTGCTGCCGCCGTCTGTGCGGGCAACACGCTCAAGTGGTAGTCGCCTGCCGACAGCCGCTCGTATCGGCTCACACTCAGCACGTCCTTGTCCACCTCCGTCTGCGAAGTCAGGTCGATGAGTCGCAGTTCTGGCGGGTTGTTGTTCTGTCGTCGCCGGATGCCGCCCGTGGGCTCGCTGCTGCTCGACGCCGTCGATTTGTTCGCCTTGTGCCCGCGTGTGTACGTTGATTTGGATTTACCTGCCGCCTGGTGCCCCCCTTCGTCCTCGTCCTCCTCAGGATCGGCAGGCGTGTAGGCAAGGACAAGTAATAAGTTTTGCGTGTAAAGGGAGATACCAGATATAATGCAGTCCATTCGGAGGCTGTGCTGTTAGTCGACAATTCACACTGACACATATCCCAACACGCTTTTGGGGGGAAGGGAGGGGGGGATACGCACATCTTGACAATCTCGGCGTGGCCAACGGACCGCTCGCCGGCATGCTTGCCGGTTTTGACTCGACCGGCGTGGACATGCACCATCCAGATAGTGCTGCCCCAGCCGACAAGAAGCCGCTCAATAGCCTTACTATCGCGGGCTTGCTGCTGCCTCAGCACCTCAGCTGCGGGCGACGAGATGCCCGGCTCGGCAGACGCGCCGATCTCTTGTCCGGCCACGTCGTCGTCGGCATCGATCATTGTCTCGTCAATCCACTGCGCGCGGCCCTTCCACACGCTTGCCATCGTGTCCCACTCCTCCGTCTGTGGCCGGTCCACGTGCCCAATGCGCTTCCACGCGCCCTCGGCATCGGCGCTGTCTAGATGCAGGCGCGTACGCATAATCTTGATGCCGTGCTCGTTCAGCCACGCCACGTATCGCCCAGACACCGACCACTGGATGTTGTTGACTGTGCCCTCGCCCGAGTGCAGCACCGTGTCGCGGCCCGCGTTGTTGCCGAGGCCCATGCTGCCGAGCCAGCCCGACGCCGTCGCCGCCGCCGTGCCCACCGTCGTCGATGTGCTGCGCCCGGATTGCCCGCAGACCGTCACGATCAGGTTGCCCGCAAGACCACCCGAGAGATACGTCCGGTCCTGCCGGTACTCGGGGGAGAGGGCCACGGCCTGCACGGGGCGGCCAAAGTTGCGCAGCTGCACGTCCTTGATGTCGATGAGTGACTGGATGCAAACGTTGCCGTCCGTCGACGCGGTGGCAATGTGGATGTTGTTGGAAGGGATGTTGAGGATCGGTGGCGGCTCGCGCGCCTTGCGTGGCGATGCGTTGGGCGAAGGCGACGCGTGCGACGAGCCAGGCCGTGAAGCGCCGCCACCGGCGCCGCCCTCAGCCACGATGCGGTTGATCTGCTCGATCTTGAGGGTCGGAAGCGGCGGCGTAAAGGGTGAGATGGAGATGGCGGTGACGGATGCCGAGTGGGCATGGTAGACGCGCAAAGGTTGAAAGGTCGGCAGTTGGAAAACGTGCTGTGGGGGTTAGCGACAAGATCGTGCGACGCACAGGAGCATGAAGAGTGTATAGTAGCTTACGATATTGCCATTGTGTGTTCCAACGATCTGCAGTCCAGTTAGCAAAAGAGATACGAGCCTACCAAGCGTCGTCAGTACAAGTGACACTCACCATCTTGTCGCCGGCGACGAGAAAAGCGCTTGTCGCATCGCCGTTGCGATACAGGCCGCCGAGGTTCGTCGTCAGACGGGCATACTTGAGCCGCGGCTCTTCGTCCTCGTCATCGCTGTCGTCTTCATCGTCCTCGTCTTCATCCTCGTCATTCTCGTCATCTTCTTCGGCGTCGGCGTCCTCCTCCTCATCCTCCTCGGCAGCCGTCCCCTTGCCCTTATCGTTTCGGCTGGTATTCGCTTCGTCGTCAGTCGCGTCGCTGCCGCTGCCGGCCAAGCTGCCACCCTCAGACGTCGTGTCGTCGTCACCACTCCTCCGATCCTTCAATGCACCACCTCTTGCGTCATCGTCTCGCTCTGTGTGCGCTGCAAGCATGGTGGCAGACGTTGCAGGCATGTGCTCGCTGTGTACATGGTGCTGCGAATGCCGTTCCGAGAGGTAACAGGCCCGTGCTGTACAGCATCCAAGGTAGTGGTCGTCGTTCGCGTGCTGTGAGGTGTGTAAATGGGACGTTGAGGTCAGTTGTGGCTATTGGGGCCAGGCTTCCTCGTTGCTCGTGCCTTCCCAATGTCGGCTATCGAAGCTTGTTGGGGGAAGCTGCGCTGCTGCTGCTGGGCGGCCGCTGGGCAGTGATGCAGGGGCGGACCTGCCTAAGCCTGAGACAGCTGGCTTTTAGCGTGGTTTACGTCAGAGGAGTTCGACGCCACACGCTCCAGCCACATGAGCTTCTTGGCTTCAAAGCTTGTCGCTGCCCCTGTCGCGTTCCCCGCAACGCGGCGCGTCTCCCGCCAAAAGTGCAGGAGCATTCAGTGGGCGCCAGTGGCAGCTGCCATGAACGACAGTGTGGCTATTGCCAAAACAGGCACATCGCCAAAACCAGACGAGCCCAAACAAGAAGGAAGCTCAGCCGGACATCTTAGAAACAATAAGGCCCCCATTCAGCTCTTTTCCTAGACACTCTCGACCTCTCCCCCCCCTCCCTCTCATGTATATGGCCTCCAGCAGAACCAACAATGGCGTCCGTGACATCCCTCGGGGTGCATGAGCCAGCCGGACTGCGCTTTGCAATCGCCGAGGGGCTGCTGCCGCCCAACCCCTCGCCCGACCTGTACGAGTGGAAGATCTTCTCAGACGAAAACGGCGAGGATGAGCTGCTTAGCACAGAGACCTGCGCCATCTGGTCGCGCGGCGGCGAGGTCGGCCGGTGCCTTCGCTTCGACATGGAGAAGGAGCCGATCTCGACCGCCCTGCTGGCCTACTTCCCCACCAGCGAGGACGACGTCCAGAATGCCGGACAGTTGTCCAACTTGTCAAACGCTGCTCCCAAATCCCACCACAAGACATCACCGCACAGCAAACGAGAGCCTCCGCCGCTGGCCAAAGCCCTCGTCGTGTTCCTCAAGACCCAGGCACACGTCATGTCCTTCTCCGGCGGCGACCATGTGCTGCACATGCCCTTTGAGGTCGACTCGGCCATTGCAGCGCCTTGCGGCGTCATCATCCAGCGCAAGTCCAAGGTCGACACCACTGTGCCCATGACACTCAAGTTCCCCCGTGCGCCGCCGAACTCGTTCGTGTCGTCACAGATTTTGCCTCGCTCAAGCGTGGCCACCGCCTCCAGCACCACACCGGCCGCCTCCTCGCAAACCTTCTCCACCGCCGCACTGGGCAAGCCCAAGCCCTTGCCGCTCCGCCTCAGCTCTACACTCGAAACAATGTGGGACACGCCGCTCGAAGCAAGCAGCAACTCGGGGTGGCCACGGCTGGTGTGCCTCACAGACCCTATGTCGGAGATTGGCCTGGTTGTGACACAGCCGGACAAGTCCGGCAAAGACCGCTATCCGAAGAGCAGCACCTCCAAAACTCCATTTCTCGACCCGGCCGAGGAAATTCTACACATTGAGACCATCCGGCAGGGCAGCAAACCTCTCGGTGCCAGCCAGAGTGACGGCAACCCGCGCGACAACCTCATCCTCGCCGTCACAGTGAATCGAGAAACCAGCATGTACAGCGTGTGGCGGATGACATACCTGAGCGGCGAGGACCAGCTCGCGCGCCGGCGGCGAGCACCGAAAACAAAAGCCGGCACACACAGCAACAACAACCGGCGGCGTACCTCAGTCGCACCCGGCCTTGCAAGCGGGGCCACGACGCCCCACCACCCAAGCTTCCGCGAAAGCGCGGGCGCAGCACTTCCCTTGAAGCGGACCAGGAAAAGCGAGCGTCTCGAGAAGGGCGACACTGCGGCGCTGGAGAAGGCGCTGTCGATCGAGGCAAGTAGAGTCACAGAGGTGTCCCGGCGCCAGTCCCGCCGTGTTAGCTCCTTGTTGGCTCGTGCCGATCTGTCAGCATCCCATGAGCGGCCACTCTTTACAGAGCAGCCGGCGGTGCCATCCACGGGCGGGAGACGAGTCGACTCCCACGGTATGCAACGTGGCCGCCATAGCTCAGGCTACGGCCTGGGCGGCGCAAATCTACAGTTCAACCAAACACTGAACAGCCTGCACGAGGCGGATGGCGTGTTGGAAGAGCTGCGCCTAGGCGGTGATTTTGAAGGCTTCCACAACATGGGCCTTGACGACACCGAGTTTGAGGGCCTCTCCAAGGAGATTCTCTTTACCAAGATCCACAGCATGTCCATGGACACGACCAACTTGCGGTACTCCATGTCCAACAAGCCAGCGACACAGCTGTGCAAGGTTTTTATTATTGTCGGCACGCCGTACTCGGTCGATGAGCAGGACCGCAACTACCTCCTCGTGTGCATTCAGGACGCCATTGACAAGCGCCTTCAGCTCCTGACTCTCCACGTCCAAATGCGAGACGACGCAGCCACGAGCACACCAAGTGCCGCCGCTACGTCCATTACCTGGGGGCAGCATAGACGTGCGCAAAACGTTGCCGACTCGTGCATGATCTATGATGGTGACCAGGCCATGATTTTTATTCTGTCCGAGGGCGACCAAGGACACCGTCAGCTGAGCATCCAGGCGCCGTGGAGCGAGCTCACGACCATCGCCATCCCCCCTCTGTCCCTTCACAATCGCAACAACTACGCCTCTTCTGAGACCGGCGACAGCGTGGACAGCATTTTCCAAACAGCCAGAGCCGGCACCTTTGGTGTTTCCATTGGAAAGCTGAGCCGGCCACGCGGCAAAGGCGTGGTTGACGTGGTAGACGACAACGGGCAGTCGTATCAGGTCCAGATCCAGCTCGAGCCAAAATCGGACCGGGTACGTCAAATCCTAAACTGTCTACGCAGCGTCCTCCCCGCCTCGCACGCAGAGAAGATGGTCCTTGGCTGGTGGCAGGTCATGCAGTGGCTTTCAACCCAGACAAGCGTCGCGTCCAAGAACCGAGAATGGACGGCCCTGGTCACGGAATTATGCGTCATCTTCTCTGCCGCACTGTACCCGGGCCGCCAAACGTCGACCTCGTCTCTCACCACCATCTCTGGCAACCGCCGTGGAGCGTCCTCTACTGCTCTCGGTAATCAAGCATGGGCCAAGTCAAAAGCATGGAACTGGATATCAGACGTCTCGGGCCTCGCTTCTGGCAGCGTCGGTGGCAACCCGCAAAACGGGGGTCTCGGCGCCTCAAGTGGCCCACTAGCCGAACACGTCCGCCTTGCGGAAGCTTTCATGGCTTCCGAGGCCGGCGTCCAAGCCGTCGGCCAAGCAGGGTATCTGCCGACGGCACTGTCCGTATCCGAGACAGCGAGGAAGAAAGCCGTCTGGGGCATCACCATGGCGCTGCATCTTCTCCTCGAGGAAGACAAGCTGGACATTATGGCGGCTAAAAGTGGCAGCTCAGCCTCTACGGATCTCAAGGCCATTGTCTACCAAATGTGCTTGTGGCTCAACTGGCCAGCTTTTGCAGCATGGTATGCGGTCGAGCTACCTGGTATCATACCTCAGCATGACATTGGGACTCCCCCCTTAAGTATCCCAGAGCCAGAAACCATACCTAATATCTCGGACTGGGTCCGGCTGCGGCTGATTGGCGCCCAATCCTACGTGTTCCCTTCGCTGCGGGACGTTTTTGCTGTCCTCGCACAGCACATCCAAAAGGATGCGATCCGGGGCGATGCTGTCTGGAACGAGATCACGCCACGGACACTCATGTTCCGCCGCTTCTTTGAATCGACAAGACCGGCCGACTCCAGCGCTCGCGTGGTCGAGGCCATGCACAAGTGCGGCTTCACGCTCGGCATCCTCGACTCGCTTCCCGAGGGCATGGCCACGCCGTTCCAGGATGCCATTGCGCGGTGCCAGCAGCGCCCACCAAGCCACTGGACAAAGGAACTTTACGAGCTGGTCGGTCGGGGCGATGTGACGACGGTCCTGAAGAACGACTCGCAAGCCGCGCTCGGCGTGAGCAGCCTGCTGGCTCTGCACAGAATGGCGCCCAACTACAGCTCTCAGGACGTGGACGATGCCAAGGAAGACATGGCCATTCAGGCGGCCGAGGAACCGGAGAGCGAGGAGCGCCAGGTCGTCATCCAAGCCCTCTTCCGCGACGACAAGCGTCTTATCGAGGCGCAGAACCTGCTCTCGTCGTCCAAACCACGCGTCATACGTCTCAACCCGGAACCTCAGTGGTCGGAGCCCGAGTACCTCGAACGCCAAAAGGAGCTTGTGACGACGATTGCGACCAGCACACTGGCCACCTCAGCCGGTCGCGGCATGCTCAACTACGGCTTCCGGTTCCCCCTCCTGACACAGAAATTCAACGTGCAGGGCTTCAACCTCACATGCATTGTGAAGCCAAACAATGTGGCCGTTGGCGTCGACAAGGCCATGTTTACCGAGGAAAGGGTCAACTGGGCGTTCTTCCACCAGGGCGTGGCCTATGGACTGGCCATCTCGGCGCGTGCCAAGGGCATCGACACGTCGTGGATCGTCTTCAACAAGCCGGGCACGGACCTCAGCCACCGCCATGCTGGGTTCCTGCTGGCGCTCGGCCTCAACGGGCATCTCAAGTCGGTTGCCAAGTGGGTGGCGTTCAAGTACCTGACCCCCAAGCACATGATGACGTCCATTGGCCTGCTCCTGGGCCTGGCCGTGTCGCACCTGGGCACCATGGACTCGCTCATCACCCGGCTGCTCTCGGTCCATGTTACACGCATGCTTCCGCGCGGCGCGGCCGAGCTGAACTTGTCGCACCAAATCCAGACGACGGGCATCATGGGCATCGGCCTGCTGTACTACAACAGCCAGCATCGGCGTATGAGCGAGATTATGATGTCGGAGATTGAATACATGGAGGACGAGGACGAAGAGGACCCTCTGCGCAACGAGGGCTACCGTCTCGCGGCCGCATTTGCTCTCGGCTTCATCAACTTGGGCCGTGGCAACGACCGCAAGGGTCTGCTCGACATGCAGATTACGGAGCAGCTGCTCAGCTTGTCGTCGTCTACGAAAAAGGTCGAGCTGGTGAACGTGCTGGACCGGTCCGCGGCCGCCGCCACGGTCGCCATTGCCCTCATGTACATAAAGTCGGAGGACCCCATTGTGGCGCGCAAGATCGATATCCCCGACTCCGTGCTGCAGTACGATTACGTCCGGCCCGACATTCTGCTGCTGCGCACCCTCGCCAAGAACCTCATACTTTGGAGCCAGATCGAGGCCACGTTCGATTGGGTGCGCCAGAGCCTGCCGGCCGAATACCGCGGCAAGTCCCTGCTGGCGCACGTGGAGACGCTCAGCAGCCTGGACCTGCCGCTGTTCGCCATCCTGGCTGGTCTCTGCTTTGCCGCCGCGCTGCGGTTTGCGGGCTCGGGCAACGTGCGCGTGCGCGACGTGCTCGTGCACTACCTCGACCGCTTCCGTGCGATTGTGCAGGACTTGCCCGCAACGACGTTCGACGCCCAGATGGCTCGCAGCGGCGCGCGCATGTGCCTCGATGTTCTGGCTCTGTCGAGTGCGACGGTCATGGCGGGCACCGGCGACCTGGTCGTCCTGCGGCGGCTGCGTGCGCTGCACGGCGGAGACGACGCGCACACGACGTACGGCAGCCATCTGGCGGCACATCTCGCCATCGGCACGTTGTTTTTGGGGTCCGGCACGACGACGTTTGGCAACAGCAACTTGGCCGTGGCGGCGCTGCTTGTGGCCTTTTACCCCATCTTCCCCAAGAGCATCCAGGACAACGGCTCCCACCTGCAAGCGTTCCGGCACTTTTGGGTGCTGGCTACGGAGCCCCGCTGCCTCGTGACCAAAGACATGGCCACGGGCCAGCCCATCTCGGTGCCGATTCTGATCTACCTGCGCCCCTCGGCGCTCTCGCTGAACCGCCCGTCTGCGTCGGGGGCGCCGTCGACGGCGCCGCCCAGCGAGACGATTCTGCGCCGACAGACGCCGTGTCTGCTGCCGCCGCTCGACGACATTCTGACGATCCGCACCGATGCCTCGGCGCAAGGCTTCTGGGACCTGGAGGTCGCGTTTGCAAAGGATCCCTCGCTCAAGGCCGCCTTCCAGGCCGACCAGAATCTGTACTTGCGCCGCCGGCCCGCGCACCAAAACGCGTTTTCCACGACGCTGCAAGCATTGGCCAACGCGCCCTCCACATCGTCCGCCACGTCGCGCAACCTGTTCCGCGCGCTCAGCAGCCAGGGCATCAGCGACCCGGTCGAGTGGATCCTGCGTCTCGACCTGTTCAAGGGCCTGAGCCGCGCTGAGTGCGCCCTGTTGCTGGGTACGGCGGGTGCCAGCGTGGACAGTGCGGCCAATGGCAGCAGCCATGGCGGCGGCGGCGGCGGCAGTGGTGGCAGTGGTGTCAGCGGTGGCGGTGGCGGCGGTGGCGGTGCGGTCAGCGGCAGCCGCGCACTCAGTAGCACCATCGATGCGCGCCTGGCCCTCGAGCGCGGTCTGGGCGCGACGTGGGGCCGCGACGTCCTGCTGGACCTCCGGCTGCTCTTTGACTGGGCGGACCACAGGGAGCGGCTGCGCAAGGCGGACGGCGAGACCCGTGGGGCGGACGACAAGAACGAGGGCACGTCGGTGTCGGACAATGACATGCTGCCGCCGTGGACGAGCAAACTGGATGGGAACATGGACTGGTGGATGAGCGACCGGGCGGTGGACATGCTCAAGGGCAAAGTGTGGCTCATTGGGCAGGACGGAGACGAGCACGAGTAGACGAGGGATGCCAGGAACAGGGGAGGCCGTGCCATATGCATTCAATGGAGTTTCGAGGGCATATTGATCATTGTTGCAGGCATTGGGCCACAGACAGATATGACACCGTGGCGGCGCTATGCTTATATGAATACTATAATGAGCAAGCCGCTCTTTTGTTTTCTTCGATGCTTCTTATGATCGTAATTCGACGCGTCCAGACACGTCCTGCCGCAACACATGCGACCGTAAAAGTAATCGAGTAATCGAGTAATCGAGTAATCCGAATTTTGAAGGTGGATTATTCAGAAATTTTAAGTACGAAGAGCTCGTCCTCCAGTGCAGGGAGTGACTAGGCAACAGTTGCTTTGCAGTGTGTTGTACTTCGTAGAAAGACGTGACCGGTTTGTCAGGTAGTTTTAAGTCAGCCCCGCCATTCGTCGTGGAATTTCGACACGCCATCAAAAACTGAATCGCGATCCTTTTGCCATTCACCAGCCTAGGTCCTTTTTTTTTTTTTTTTGCTCCAGTTCAGCGATGTTGTACGCATAACTGCACCAGTCACATACACAGCCCAACAACCACCCGTCATGACTACCAATCCTTACGGTCGGCTACTTGCACGCGATGTGTTTTTGGCAGATCTCAGAGATCCTGGTGCCGTGCTTGGTGGTCTGGTGCGTACGCCCGGTGTGACGAATAAAGTCCTTCACACAGTCGTTTGCATTGCCTTCGACATGCCGGACGACTATGCCATCCAGGACTCGGACGGACGGACCGTGGACAACGATGACAGCCAGCTGGCTACCGGCCACTACCTCCTCGTGTCGGACAGGCCGGTACGCGTCAGTCAGCAACAATATTTTACCAGGTCTTTGTCCATAGCAACTGGCCCTCGACTCGAGTCATTCAAGCAACAAGTCCGCGCACGAGATGGGCGGTGTGTTGTTTCCAAGGTGCCGTCTCCCGGGCCGCAACTCGACATCTGGGTTGGTTTTGAAACGGCACACATTGTCCCGCTCGCATACAACAGCGAATGGAACCGCCGTGGGTTTCCGGACCTCGTCTCCATCCCGCCGCCGCCGCCGCGGCACAACGACACCATCAACTCTGTTCAGAACGGGTTGCTACTGCAGAGCAGCTTTCACGCTCTTTTTGACTCTTACAATTTTTCAATCTTGCCCGATGTACGTCGACAGCCGGCATATTTCAGGTGCCAATATTGTATTGCCAATGTTGTTTACTTAGGCTAATGAATCTTAACAGGATAATTATAAGATTGTGTTTTTCACGCCGGACGTGTACGGCCTGGCCGGTACATATCTCGACCGTGAGCTCCTGGACGACGAGCGCAGACCCCTGGACGCCTTTTTGCGCTGGCATTTCGAGCAAGCAGTACTCTGCAATGTACGAGGCTCAGGCGAGCCCGCGTTTGACCAAGATTTCCCGCCTCAGTCGGATATGATGGCAGACATTATGGCGTCGCCAAAGGCGGCTGAACGGATGGAGTTTGAACTGTTTACAAGACTAGGTGCATCGCAGATCCTTTCCGAATGAAGTGGGATGCAGAGACAGCGTGAGAGGCGATGTTTTAGAGAAGTTATTCACGGCGTTTTATTTTGTTTTATATACCCAGCCAGCTTTTGTATCCCTTCGTATCCAGCTCTTTCCCTCGACTTGAGATGTCCTTTTTATATTTTATTTTGTCCGTTTACGTATGTTATTTACGTCGGCAATCAAGATTCGGGCATATGGACTCGGACGCATCGATCATCCAATTAACAAAGATGTACCCATATAACAACATGGCCAGCATAAGAAGACAAACAACAGTACAATGTAAAGGTATGAAATACCAACATACAGTATGTCCAGCAACGCTGCGAAATAATAATATACAAAGGTAGCAGAAGATATGTAGGCTACTTTCACGCAATGCTATACATCATGAAGCATCTCAGCCACGTTCATTTCGTCCTGTATTTCGTTCCCTCCTTGATTCTCACGTTCAGATCACAAACCCTTCTCCGTCAACCACTTGACCACCTTTTCCCGATGGAAGCCCTATTTTGTTAGCCCGGCGATCAAGACGGTCCAAAAAGGCTTAACCAGCCATCGGGACGGCAGCACCACCTACCTTGACAATAACGTGGTTTGTCCGCGGGTTGATCTTGGTCTCCAGGCTCAGCTCCGTCGCCAGCTGCTGCGACAGCACGCGTGCATCGCCCTCGACCTTTTTGACCTCGGTCGTGCGGTTTGTGCCGCCGGACTTGATGCGGTGGTAGACGGGGAAGTTGAGCGAGTTGCTGCGGCCGATGCGGAAGGGTAGAGGTGCGCCGGTGGCCGGTATTGGCGCTTTTGATGCCGAGGTGGACGCTTGCTCTCGTGATGCGGTCGACGGAGTCGTTGAGAGGAACATGCGCTGCAGCAGCGGCGGCATGACAGTGGTGGTTGGGCGGGCGTGTGCGCAGCGCATGACAGCGCGCGACGAGTGTGCTAGTGATTGCGACATTGTGCGGTGGTGGTCAATGGACGTGAAGACGGACACAGGACGCGTAGCTAAACATTCGAGATCGTCGTCCATCTTCAATCGTCGTCCGTCGTTCGCTGAAGCTCGCTTCACCGCCCGGCAGAAAATTCGCGCTTGCGGCCCCGGAGAAACCATGGGCCCGTGCTATCCCACATTTTACAGTGCAAATTTTTGCCGTTGTTCTGTCGGCTGTGCCTATGGGCGGCCAGGGAGGCATGATCGCCCCAAAACTGTAGCCCAACCAGCCCACCTGAATGGGGCAGTAGCGACAAGCCCGCGCCAAACCCTCCTGGCAAAAAAAATACACCAACGTACCGCGAAAAATCAGAACCCCTCCTACGCTTGACGATTGACGCTTTTGACGCTCGACGGCCCTCCCCCTATCTCCCGCATCACGACCCGACAACCCCCCTCTCCCTTCCCTCCTACTCACGACGCTTCCTCCCCATCCACCGCAATCATGGCGTCCGCGGCCGAGTACGACCTCATGCCGCAGCTGGTGCTGCGGCTCGACCGCCACCTCATCTTCCCGCTCGTCGAATTCGCGGCCAGCCAGCTCGAGGAGGAGGACGGCAGCAGCAAGGACGAGGCCAAGTCGCGCGAGATCACCAAGGCCAAGTTCGAGCTGCTCAAGAAGACCAACATGACCGACTACGTCGCCAACCTATACTGCGAGATCGAGAACCTAGACACGCCGCCGCCCGAGTACGCCGAGTCACGAAAGAAGGTCCTGGCCAAGCTCGAGCAGTTTGAGGCCGAGACCACGCGGCTGCGCGACCTGCTGGGCGACGAGGACGTGGTCGGCAACCTCCGGAGCGACAAGGTGGCCAACTTGGAGTTTCTGAAGAAGGAGCACGATGTAAGTCGCACTGGACGACATGAAGCAAAGATGTGATAGACACGAGGAGACACGCGACAATGCGCCCATGACACAATACTAATTTGTTGTTTCCCACCCCCCCCCCCCCCCCCACGGTCACCGTCGACATGGTCAACGCCCTCTACGACTTCGGCAACTTCCAGTACAGCTGCGGCAACTACGGCGGCGCTGCCGAGCTGCTGTACCAGTTCCGCGTGCTGTCCACGGATAACGACCGCGTCGCCGCCGCCACCTGGGGCAAGCTCGCCTCCGAGATCCTGACCACCAACTGGGAGTCGGCCCTCGAGGAGATCACCAAGGTCAAGGAGACCATCGACACCAAGCTCTTCAACAACCCGCTCGCCCAGCTGCAGCAGCGCACCTGGCTCCTGCACTGGGCCCTGTTCCCCCTCTTTAACTTTGAGGGCGCCCGCGAGCCCGTCCTCGAGCTCGTCTTCTCCCCCAACTACATCAACACCGTCCAGACCGCCTGCCCCTGGATCCTGCGCTACGTCGCCGCCTCCGTCATCGCCGGCCGCGGCCGCTTCCGCAACGCCGGCCTCCAGCAGAAGCAGCTCAAGGACATTGTCCGCGTCATCAAGCAGGAGGCCTACGAGTACACCGACCCCGTCACCGACTTTGTCCGCGCCCTGTTCTTGGACTTTGACTTTGAGGAGGCCCAGCGCCAGCTGCCCCGCGCCGAGGACGTCCTGCGCCAGGACTTTTTTCTCGCCGGCGTCGCTGACGCCTTTGTCGACGCCGCCCGCCACCTCTTCTTCGAGTCCTACTGCAAGATCCACGCCCGCATCGACCTCAAGCGCGTCAGCGAGCAGCTCGGCCTCAACGTCGACGACGGCGAGAAGTGGATCGTCAACCTCATCCGCGACACCCGCCTCGACGCCAAGATCGACTTCAAGGAGGGCACCGTCATCATGAACCACCCCAACAGCTCCGTCTACCAGCAGGTCATTGAGCGGACCAAGGGCGGCTTCTTCCGGACACAGGTCCTGACCGCCGCCGTGACCCGGTAAGACGCGGCGTTCTTTGTGCTGGGGGTGTCGTATGGACAAGGAAAGGCAATATTGTGGATGTGCATGGTTGCCGGTCAGGAAATGGGCGCAAGTCTTGTAAGACGGCTCTGGCTGGTTTCCTTTTTTTTTGTGACGCGGTTATCTCTTTGTGTCTCGTTTTGCTTTGTTTTATGTTCTGGCGTTCTGTAGGGAAAAAAAGACATTTTCTTCACGACGATTTAGTTTCTCTTTTCCTCATTACAAATTTATTACCTCTATAATGGGAACGTCCTGTGACAGACAAGTCAGTGTACTAGAGTGATAAAATGTAATTTTTTCTAACAGTTTCATATTTCATTGGGTATTTTGATTTTTGTAGATATATGTTTCGCCTTAATTTAATTTACTTTTTATTTTTATACATATATAAATGTCTATAAAGTCGAATAATATTATTCAATTATGTCACACATATTGACGATTTTCAATCTACTGTTCAGTACTATATGATTTTGCCAATATGAACAATCCCTGATAACATGGAAGAGACGACGGTATATGTCGACGAGGGAGACAGATGCAGTAGGACTGAGTCGCAAACATAAATATTTCATGTTTCTCAAGATATGCCACTGTCAATCTAGCTCAAGCAACACGATTATCTAAAATTCAATGGAGAATCGTCGATTCAAGACAAGGTATGAAAACCAATACAGATTATATATAAGGAAAATAGAGCAAAGACCAGTCGATGTAAAGAAAACAATGAAATGTAGCAATGTAAGAGACAGGAAATGAGAAAAACCCGACAATGAAACACAATAAACAAATGAAAACATGAAAAAGTACAAAAGTCCCAGCGTACACAAAAGGGAGGACGACAATAAAAAAACAATAACCAAAATGGGGGTATATCCATCATAGTTTTATGTTTTTTTGTAACTCTCCTTGTCTTTTTCCATTTTCTTCCCAATTTTCTTTTCGTTCCCATGAAATGATATTGTTTTGTTCGCCGTTCGCCGTTCGCCGTGCCGTCATGCTTTCCGGTCCGGTGTATTCTCCCCCTTACTACCCAAGTGTCTCTCCCCTACTTCTCCCCCAGAGAAGCATACGCCACAAAGTTGTGCAGGAAGCCGTCGCGGCTCCACTCGCCGCTCAGCATCTCCAGCGCCTCGAGCAGCCCTTGCTCGGACGGCAGCACCGATGGCGGCAGGCTGGACACGGGGTCCGCGGGGTCAATCGCCTTTTCGCTGAGCTTGCGCAGCATGGACATGGCCAGGACGACAATGTACATAATCTCTGCGTCCTTGACAAGCCGGTCGCGCGTGCGGTAGTGGCGCATCTGGTGCTCGACCATTTCGTAGTCGCGGCACAGGTCGCGCACGGAGCGGTGCAGGTTCTGGACGAAGCCGTTCTGGGCCGTCAGCCAGGTGCGCGTGACGCCCGTCTCAAAGCCGGGGGCGAGCGACGCGACGATGTCGGCGGCCAGCAGCCCTTGCATGAGCATGGGCTTGCGGACTTCCTGGACGGGCGGCAGGTGCGGCGGGCGCATCTCGCGCAGGTGGAGGTACTCGGGGATGGGCGAAATGGCGAGGGCAAACGTTTGCGTCAGCAAATCGTAGGGCATGGCACCGCTGGGGTCGGCCGTGAACACGTTGCGGAAGTGGGTGCGGTTGGGCTCGTCGCGGGCCAGTAGCTTGGCGAGGGCGTCGACAGCAGAGGGCAGGTACGGCTGCAGCGTGGCGTGGTAGGTGGGGAAATACAGATGCTCGTCGGCGAGGCTGGGCAGGGGTGCGGGCGCGAAGGCGAGCAGGAACTGCAGGAAGCAAAACGCCTCCTGCTGGTCGGGAATCTCAATCGACCCGCTAATGTTGGACAAGAGCGTGATGATGTCCTTCATAAAATCAAGCATGTTGAGCTGGGTACGCAGCAGCATGTTGCGCGTGCCGACGTATCGTATGAACTGGCACAGGAACTTGACGGCCGACTCGTCGGCCAGGCTGGCCTGATTGCGCGGGTTGAACGACAGGTTGCGGAAGATCGTCGTGATGCACAGCAGGTACTCGACAGCACGGTCCATCTCTTCGTCCTCTGAGCCCAGCTCAGGCTCGTCGCGAATCGACAACCGCTCAATCTGACAGGCGCGCGCAATGTCTTCGTAGGGCGGGATGAGGATTTCGTCCGAGACCTCGACGGTGTTCTCAGCAAGCACCTCGAGGAGCTCGTCGGCGTAGTCGATCAGCGTTTCGAGCAGGTCGTCGCACTTTTCCAGATCCATCTCGAGCCCCGGCATGTTGGTGACCGTGACCGTTGCCAGCGTGTCCAGAGCGAGCCGCACCTCGCCGTGGATGCCCGACTGGATGCTCTTGGTGAGTGCGTGGACGTCAATGTTGCCGAGCTCGTTGGGCGCAGGGACTTCGGGGCGGAACCGCAGGATGTCGGTGACCACGTTGGCCGGCGCATGCACATCGACGCCACCAAACGTATGCGTGTCACGGCTGCACGGCTTGTACTCGTCCGTGTCGCCAAAGGGCGGCCCTTGCATGTGACCCGGCATAAAGGCACCCTGCATGTGGCCTGGCGGCATCTGTCCCGGTGGGAACTGGCCCGGCATGGGAACAAAGCCGTTGGCAGGGTGGCCGGGGCCGTCCATAAAGGGAGGACCACGCATACCCGGGCCGCCCATAGGCATGCCCTGGGCCGGGGACGGCGGCGGGAACTCTTCGTGTGTGGATGCGTTGCGAGCGTTTTTGCCCTTGCCCTTACGCGAGGAGGGCGGTGGCGGCTGCTGGTTGGGAGGGTGGGGTGTCGAAAAGCCGTTCATCTGGCCATTGGAGGCCGCGTGCTTAAGGGCGGCCGGCTGCTGGCCCGATGCCGAGCGCTTGTTGGGACGGGTCGCCGATTTCGGGGTGCTGGGCATGCCGACGGGGCCGCCCTGGTCGAGCGGTTGTGGCGGCTGCTGCAGCTGCTGCTGTTGCGGTGTCGGCGGTTGGATGGCCTGTGGCTGTTGTTGCGGTGGCGGCGGCTGCAGCGGTTGTTGCTGGCCTGGTTGCGGCGGCTGCTGGCCTCCCTGGCCACCCTGCTGCTGGGGAAAGCCCTGCTGGGCCTTCATCTGGGCTTGGTGCTGTGCGTTCGCCTTGGCGCGACTCTGCGTGACCACAAACTCCTCAAACTTGAGCAGGTTGCGCTCGTAGATGGCCTTGATCTGGCCGGCAACGGCGGGTATTTGCGCGGGCGGGAAGCCGAGGGCGTTTGAAACTTGCGGCCAGCCGTTGTTCTGCATGACGTTGCGGTAGCCGCTAAACTTCTGCACCGTTTGGAACAATTGCATTAGGTGTATTGGCCGGTCGCCTGCCACCGGGTTCGGGTCCAGAGGCATGTTGATCCGTTGCATGAACACCGTCAGCTGCGATAGGAACTGGTCACTGGGCCGCTGGGGCCCATTTGGCTGCTGGCCAGGCGCACCGCCGGGGCCTTGTGCGGTCTTGGGTGTGTCGAGTGGGGCCTGTCCGTTCGGACCGCCTTGCTGTGGCGGCAGAGGCGATTGTTGCTGCTGGCCCTGAGGTGACTGCTGTTGCTGGTGGTGGTGGTGGTGCTGCTGTTGCGCTTGTTGCGCCTGTTGCTGCTGCTGTGCTTGCTGCTGCTGCTGCTGTCTCGCAATCATGCTGCGCTGCTGGGCCGTGATGGACTGGCCCGGCATCTGTCCGGCGGCACCCTGCATGTTGCCCTGCTGCAGCTGGCGCTGCAGTTGCATCTGGTACATGAGCTTCTGCTGCTCGAGCGGGTTCCGCGCCTGGGCCAGCTGCTGCTGCATCTGCGGCGTGAACATGGCGGCATTCGGCACCTGACCCATCTGTGCGGCCATTGGGTTCATCTGGCCCATGGCGCCACCGGGTCCCATGCCGGCCATCTGCGGGTTCATCTGCGGGTTCATCTGCCCCATCTGCCCCATCGGCCCCATCGGCCCCATCTGCCCCATCTGGCCCATCTGCGGCGGCATCTGGCCCATGTGCTGCGGCATCATCTGGCCGCCGGCTTGTTGGGGGTTGGGTGATGGACGACCGGGTGGCGGTGTTGGGGTGAAGTTGGGGTTGAGGCCGGGCGGGAAGTTGCCGCCGCCACCGGGCTGGCCGTAGGGACTCGGCTGCTGCTGCGATGCCGTGTTAGGGTCGGAGGGCGCAGGAGATGCTTGCGGCGCAAAGCTCTGGGTCGCGGGCGAGAAGGGGTGGGGCGAGGTGGTGGCGACGCGTTGGGGGACGGCGCTGCCGGCGCGGATCTGGTTGGCCATGATGGGCGAAGGCGTCGCGTCGGCCGAGCCGTTGTGCGGGAGATGGGGATAGGAGGGCGGCTGCGGCGTGCCGTGTGGTTGACCACCAGGCTGGCCAGGTGGCTGGGCGTGCTGTGGGAACTGCGACTGGTTCGGCGTCTCGGCGCGCGTTGTCGGCAGCATGCCGGCGTTCTGGCGCGGCGACGCGGCCATGCTGTCCTCGCGTGGGCGAGGCCGTTTTGATGGAATAACCGAGTTGGTCTGATACATGGGGTTCTGGAAGGAGGGTGACGCGTTGCGCATCGGTCCGCCATTGGGGGTGCCGCCCTGTTGCTGCTGCTGCTGCATCGCCATCAACTGTTGTGGGCTGGCGTACGGGTTGCCCGCAACGGGATTGAACTGTGCCTGATTCGCGGCCATGAACGCGGCCGGGTCCATTGTCATGCCGCCGACACCGACGCCAACGGGCGGCGCATTCGGGTTGTTGATGTGCGGGAAGCCGTTGCCATTGTGGTTCTGCACGGCGGCCTCGTTCATCCAGGAACTCATGGTGAGATAACGGAGGCCCCACGACCGAGAGATAGAGAGACGGAGACGGAGAGATGGGAGAATGCGAGGATAGATGGGCTAGGCGAGAGAGACGAAGACGCGATGGCCACCGTCGCGCACGAGGTCGGGCAGGCGGTCGAGGATGGCGGAGGGGGCGGAGGGGGCCGTCGGCGATGGGCCCATCTGCCGGGCGTGTCTATCGATGGGTGTCTTGTTCTTGTCGTTCTGTCGTTCTGCCGTTGTTAATCATGCGTTTTCGTCGTTTGCCCTTCGTGTATTTCTTTTTTTGCGCAAGGAGGTCAGCAAAGCACGGCGACGGGGGAGGACGACGGGGACGGCGACGCGGACGGCGACAACACGCGCGATGTCATCCAGACACACAAGCACAAGGTAAAAAAGAAATGTCTGATATAATCGAGATGGGCAGTGACACGGCAGAGTGTGTTCGCGATGCGGAGGGGGGGGGGGGGACTGAGGAGAAGAGTCGCGTCAGGTCGCGGCTGTGTCAGGGTATGGGGCTCTGTGTGGGCTTTGGAGCGAAGAGGTGTGTGAGATCGGATTTTGTGTGGTGGCAGGCACGATGGGCAGCTTTGGCGTTTTGGGGGGTGATGAGGAAGGTGCAGCCGGTTTTTGGTGGACTAAGGGGGCTTCTGGTCCTGAGTTGCGCGCTGTATTTTTTTGTTCAGATTTTTCCTGGTCTGCTGGGACGCTGGTCGCTCTTGCAGGCCTCTGTTCGTTTTGCTCTTCCACCATATTGTGGCTTGCAGTCCGCCAATGGGGAAAGCGAAATGCAGGGGAGGAAAAGTATTTTACAGGCGGTTGAGCGTCAATGAGGGCAGGCGCAGGCACAGTTTTCGGCAGGAACCATAGCAAACCAAAGGCACAAAGCGTGTTCGAAAGGTGGATGGCGGTGGAATACAGGGGAGAGGGCTTGAAAGTCTAGTGCGCTGGAGCGCTATTTGCGCTGTTTGGGGCGCTCCTTCCCTATTGGAAAGTTTCTTCAGGGGGGTCTTCGACTTCCGAGGCCAGGCCAACGTGGCTGGAGTGGCGGGTGCGAACGCGAAAACGGAAATACAGAGGGATAGCAAATAGGAAGGAGGCTGGCCAGTGGAAAGGAGACCAGGGGAAATAGGGCATACTAAAGTAACAGTTTGGGAAGGTCTCTCCGGTCTGTGGCAAGAGTCTCCGCAATGTCACCTTCGTTCCCGCCTTCTGAAAGGCAGAAGGTGCGAAGGGGAAAGTGGGCAGAGCAGGCAGGAGCGAGGGTCGCAAGAAGCAGGCAGACCGGAGACACACAACAACGGGCTGCGTGTCACTGGATGCAAGGCCAGAACAAGTGCCGGGAAGGGCTGAAATGCAAAAACGGGGAACGAACGACGAAATGGAAATGGAAATGGACAATGGACAATGGACTGGCAAACGTACCTCGAAATGCGCGCGCGCAATGTTGGTGCTGTGCTTTGTTGCCTTTTGGTATGTGTGTTCGGTCGGGGCGGTTGGGGATTTCAGTGGGAAAAGGGCGAGGAAGGCACGAACGAGAGACTTGCGAGAGCTGGGGGGCAGGAGGACTGGGTAAATTGGGGTCGCCCTTTTTTTCGACCTTTTCTCAGGTTTCATCGCGGCGCTAGTCTGAAAGCGGGGCACAGTTGGCCTTAGCGAGTACACTTGGCCAATAAAAAGACAGACATGGAGATAGTGGTTAAGTACCCATTGTTCCTCTATTGCTAAAGATACATTACTCCAAGTGCTTATTGCATGTCGTACAAATGTACATCGTTTTACCGGTACTCGGCTTCTTAACAGCTGACAGGAAAAAGTCAGGAGACAGGACGACGACGCGCCAACATCGTCAGCGAGGAAGAGGACGCTGGAAGGTGGTGGCAATAAACGACTTTGCTGCTGCTTTTGGGAAACAAGAGCTCCGGTTTACGAGAGCCAGAGGTCTACGGTGTGCGTTGAGACTGCCTTCAAAATAGAGGAAAGAGACGAGGATCGGGAGATCGGTGCCACGTCTCGGTACGATACGTCTCCAAACCTAATCTTGACAAGGCTGAACATAAAGACGATCATATGAGATCTGGATCGTATCTTACTCCGCACGGAACACAAAGGCGGGTGGGGTGGGAGTAAGAGAGGGAGGACGGAGGGTGGGAAGTGGCAGAAAGGAAGAGAGCGGCGCGATACAGAGGTCAGAGGCCAGAGGCCAGAGGCGAGAGGGACAAGAGACCCATGTTGGCTGCAGGTACAAATGTACAGCAGGGTCAGATCGACAGACTATGGAAGAAAGAGAGCGAGAAACGGCAGACGACGAGAGCCAACTGAGGACCAAGGCAGGACCAACTGGGAACTGGGAAGGCCAACTGGAAACGGCTTCGTTCTCCCGCGTCGGCCCTTGCCGAGCACAGGAGTAAAGGGGTCCAGTCGAGTCGGGCTAGTCTGGAGACCTGGAGTTGTGGATGCAACGGAAAAGACGGAGCACAATTACACGAACAGGAAGAAGATTTTTATTGTTCGTAGCCATGCTTGGCAGGTCTATCGGAGGATTTGGCGGCCAGCTCTCTCGGCTGATGGGCTCTGTGTCTCTGCTGGTCCCTTGGGGGCGAATGAAGGGCGCCGCAAGTCGTTATTGGGCAATCCGGGGAGCATATGAGAAAGATAAGCACAGGTGATACGCCGTTGAAGTCAGTGTTGCTGAAGAAAGGAGACAGATAATGGACAAAGGGCTGGGAGAGGGGATCGGAGATTGCGTACTGTCTTGTATATGGATTATGAGAGGCAACCATAGGAGACCAAGCAACCACGGGAATCATAACGTACTGCCATAATAAGGTAAGTCTTGACGTGTTAAGGCTTCATTCAGATGAAAACGCTCGGAAGAAGAGACTGAGGAGAAACACAACATCAGAAAGTACCCACAGAAAATGTCGTATGTCGGGGTCTGGACAGGCTCAATGAGTTCCTAAAACGGACTAGCGCTTTGCTTGCTGCTAGGAACGCGTCTCGGGAGCAGAGACAGATATTGCGACGAACGGAGAAGGAGCGAGCGACAGCGCAGGCCTTCCATGAATCGGTGATATTTTTAATTGGGACTGCATTTTTGTTGTCGATCTAGTTAGTTGTCAAAGAATCCTCCGCAGTCAACACCCCCCCCCTCCCCTCACTCCAACCATGCCGCCCAAGCGAAAGAGCACGGCGGCCACGGCCAAGGCAGAGCCGAGCACGCCAGCCCGGCGGTCTTCACGGAGAGCTGCGCCAATCGAAGAGTCTGAGACGAAACCGACGAAACCGACGAAACCGACGAAACCGACGAAACCGACGAAACCGACGAAACCGACGAAACCGACGAAATCGACACCACCAGCAAAGAGAGCGCCGACAGGAAAGACAGCAGCAGAAGCAGAAGTGACCCCGGGACCGTCAACGAAGCGAAAGGCAGCATCAACACCGGCACCGGCACAAGCACCACCTGCGAAGAAAGCCAAGGGCAAGGGAAGGGCTGTTGCGGCAGCTAAAGATGCGGTCAAGGACGAACCAGTCGCAGAAGAGGGAGCCGCCGCCGCGCAAGACCAAGACGACGACACGTCTGCCTCCACGGCCGCCCGGCAGTATTGGCTCCTCAAGGCCGAGCCCGAGTCCCGCTTCGAGAACGGCGTCGACGTCCGCTTCTCCATTGACGACTTGGCCGCGTGCACCGCGCCCGAGCCCTGGGACGGCATCCGCAACTACACGGCGCGCAACAACCTGCGCAAGATGAAGAAGGGCGACCTCGCCTTCTTTTACCACTCCAACACCAAGGAACCGGGCATCGTCGGCACCATGACGATTGTGCGCGAGCACTCGCCCGACCTGGGCGCACACGACCCCAAGACGGCCTACTACGATCCGAAAGCGGCGGCAGACCTAGCCGCGGGCAAAGAGCCCAAGTGGAGTGTGGTGCACGTGCAGTTCCGGAGCAAGTTTGCGCGGCCCATTTCCCTCAAGGAACTCAAGGACATGAGCGCGCCGGGGCAGCCGCTGGACAAGATGCAGATGCTCAAGCAGTCGCGGCTCAGCGTGAGCCAGGTGAGCGCCGACGAGTGGAAGCACTTGCTGCGTGTGGCGGGGGAATCGTAGGGCGCGTGACGAAGATGACAGCAGATGGCATGGTACGAATAAGGCACACGGCAACGTGGTAATGGCATAGTAATACATAGTGTATATAGTGTAACATATATCGAATGGGAATCATACAGAGCGCTATAATGCATTCTACTTTGGTCTTTTTTTTTTTTTTTTTCACTCCCGGCTCCTCTCTCACAACAACAGCTTCTTGGCTTCGGCGGCCGCCTCGCCTGCCCGCTCGACTTTGCGCCGCGTGTCTTCCAGAATGGCCCGCAGACTGGGGTCCAGCTCGTCCTCCTTGCGCGCCAGCAGCACATCGATCCACGCCGCGCTCTTGGCTGCAAACTTGGCCTTGTTGGTGGCCTTATCCAGGCCCTCGCGCAGCGTTGTTAACGCGGTCCGCAGCGCCCGCGGGAACGTTGGCGCGTCGGGATTGAGGCCCAGCACGCAGTTCTTGACGCGGCAGTTCCACGTGGCGGCGTCTTGTTTGTACTTTGCGTCGAGAGTCGACAGGACGTGCGCCGCGAGCATCGGCTGCGCGGTAGGCACGGACGCGGCAAAAAGGGCAAACAGGTCGAAAAAGGACTCGGCAGCGTCCGCGCTGAAAAAGGCCTGCTTGGCAGCCTCGTCGAAAATGGCCCGAGGGATGGCGCCCTCGAGCGCTGGCGTGGCCTGCAGCTTCTCGAGGGTCTCGTCGCTGAACACGGCGGCCTTCTTGTTCTTGGCCAGCGGGTCGTCGATCATCGACTTTGGTAGGATGGCGTTGTTGCTAAAATCGCCCTCGTCGTCGTCAGACTCGTCGTCGGTGTCGCCTTCGTGCAGGGCCATGCCCTCGCCTTCTTCGTAGACATTCCGCTCTTTGCTCGTTGCCGAGCCAGCGGCGGCGTCGGCCGCAATGGCCGCCACGCTCGCGTTGTACAGCGGCGTCCCCCGCTTCTTCTCGAGCTTCGCCAGCCACTCCATCTCCAGCCGCGCGTATTCGAGCCAAACCAGCGGCTCGCTCGTGCAGAACCGGCACCCGCGCATAAACAGGCCCCGCGCGCCCTCCATGTCGCCGTCCTGCCACGCCTTGCGGCCGGCCACCACCCACAGCCCGCCCTCGCTCGGCAGCATGCGCAGCGCCCGCGTCATGATGCGCCGCCAGCGCTTGGTGGCCTTGGCGGCCGCCGCATACTCGAGGTACTTGCGCCACAGCAGCAAGCTGCCCGGGTGTTTGGTCACGCCGCGCTCAAACGTCTGGAAGATGCGGCCCTGGCTGGTAAAGCTGGTCGACTGCTTGATCTTGAGGCGGCGGCAGCGCTTGGCCCGCAAATCGTCGAGGGACTGGTCCCAGGCAATGTAGGCGAGGACGTCGGCGGGGCTGGACCCGGGAGACAGGATGAGGCGTTCGTATTCCGTGCGTTTCTGGACCAGTGTCCGGATTTCGTCCTGGCAAGAAAGAGTTGGTTAGTGCTCTGGTACTGGACGTGGTCACAGCATCGGGTCGAGGCGAGCTCACCTTTGAGAAAATCTCCTTGGCTTCAAACTCGCGGAGCTGGGGCACCGCCCGCTCCAGGTAGTACCGGGCCTTGTCGTCGACGTGGGCCATGGCGTTGTATGGCGATGTGAGGTGGTTGGAGTGGAAGAGAATGGAGATCCCAGACGGAAGAAACGAGATGCCCGTCGACCATCCAATTGGAGAGATGCTTTTTTTTGTCCTTTTTCTGCCACTATTTTTTGGCGGTGAGCGTATCTAATCGCTAACAATGATGGTCACGTGCAAGAGACACAAAGCGCCCGCGACGAAAAGCACCTGCGACAACAAGGCTGCCCATCCCCAGACTGATGCATCGTTACATGATTGCTTCACTGAATGTGCATACCGAAGTGTGCTCGATTTGGTAGTTCTATGCCATCTACGGGGATCGGTTACGTCGACCGGTGCGTCCTGTCGAGACATCGGCGACCCTCGCCGACATTAATGGACCCACTTTAACCTTCTGGGCGCTGTGGAGCGTCGTGGCCTTCCACTGCGGCCCGCTAACTCAGCACCTTCCTCCCCACCCCCCCGCTGTTCGAGTCGGACCTTCCCACGTCACACAGCCCTGTGCATTATCGTGAAAGCCAATATTGATTTCCGCCAAGATGTGAGGCTGAACTCCAACTGCTATCTCGATACAGTCACAGTCACAGTCTCAGCTTCCGGATCAACCACAGCCAAACCCGTTATTCGCCAAGCTCGTGAAGACGAGGATTAAAAGGTCCTGGCCATGCTGCCTTTCACGGCTCTCGTGCCGATGACTCTCCATCTCCGGAACCCCTTTGGATGAGCGACGAGAGGGTTCTATCCATTCAACAGCAACGGACAGACGTCAACGGATAATGTCAACGGACAAAAAAACAACGCACAACGGATAGTTGCATAGCCAGGCATCCAACATGGTGCGCGCGCGGAAGCCGTCAGCCGCGCCGGTGCGCCGGGCCAGGGTGCCGCCCCCGGAGCCCAAGCCGAGAGCGTGAGTTCATGAGGAGAAAAGGAGACCAATGGGAGACCAATGAGAGACCAAGAGAGATCTACACGGTCTACACGGATCGACGGAGACCATGGCCGGCTGCTAACCTGCCTACGTGGACGTGCAGCTGCCGGGAATGCAAGCGGCAAAAGATCTTTTGCTCCAAAAACAAGCCCAAGTGCGAGCGATGCCAGGCCAAGGGACTCGAGTGCGACTACCGCGGGGCCAAGATTATTCCCGTGAATGAAGAGTGAGTTGTTTCATCATTGTGTTGTAATATTCTGTTTATGTTGTGCCGCTCCTTACATGGTTAGGAAACTACGTCATCTCAAAGCCAAACTGCGGCGATATGAAGGTAAGCAGCGGAGATGAGGGGCGAGATGTGTATGGCAACTGACAAACGTTATAGAAATCTTCCAGAGTCTGCCACCCGAGGTACGCAGCAGCCTTCCACACGGACTCATGCCACTGAAGTCTATGCCAGAGGACAACATCAACGAAGACAAGGAGGAAGACGGCGAGGATGACGACGACGGGCTGAGTGACGTTCCCGACGCCGAAGACAGCCTCCCAGACCAGTTCAAGCAGATGAGCATCTACCTGCGTGCTTGCCGTGGGTCGGCCGACCATTTCTTCCAGGTGGCCACCAAGCTGTCGGGGTTGCGAGGTGGCGAAGGGCCGGGCCCGCGTGTTGGTGTCCGGCAAAACAGTAACCACGACGGCCACGACAGAGACGGCGAGGAGACCAACGACGATCACGTCCTCGAACAGACACCCGTCTTCTACGACCCGGGTATGCTGCCGTCGCGCAAGTCGGCCAAAGAACTCTCCCACAGCATTGTGGATGCGCTGCCGCCCATCAAGGATACGGCACGCAACTACTTTCGGGCGCAGCACATGTACATTGGCACCATCTTTGCCTTTTCCGACCCGGAGACGTTTGAGCGGCAGCTGGAGTTGGCGTACGAAGGCCCGCAGGCGTTGAAGGCCGTCTCCGACGACGAAAACGACGACACCCGCGTGTGTCTGACATACGCCAAGATTTTCATGGTCCTAGCTCTCGGCCGGCTCTATTCGGTCAACCGAACAACGACGAGCAGAGATGGCGATGCCCCCAGCAATACAGACGACCCGGATGACGCCAACGACCGGCCGCCCGGGTTCGGCTTCTTTGCGCGTGCCCTGGCCTTGCTGCCCGATGTGCACGCGCCCGGGTCGATCCTCGGCGTCGAGACGCTGGCCTATGTCGGCTACTTCTTGCAGAACATGAACCGGCGCGACGCCGCGTATCTCTACATCGGTGTCGCCCTGCGGATGGCCATCAGTCTCGGCCTGCACCAGGAAGTGCCGTCCTCAGCATCGTCGCCCGCACTCTCTCCAGCCGATCGCGAACACCGCCGCCGCGTCTGGTGGAGCATCTACAGTTTGGACCGCATCCTGTCGCTCAAGTCGGGCCACCCGATTGCCATCTTGGACGAGGACATTGGCGTCGACATGCCCAAACCGCTGCCGGGCGAACCCGCAGACAGCCCTGTTGTCATACTGCGCTGCTACACGGAGCTGTCACGAATTCTGGGCGACATTACCACGTTGATTTACCGGCGGACATCTCCGCCGCCCACCGCCGCATCAACGACGACAAAGCCAGCAGCAGCCGTCCTCCCGCCTTCGGCACGCCGCCATGTACACACGCACATGCTCTCCGGCTCGTCTCTCCTCGCCACGGTTCATGGCATCCTGCGGTCCCTCGACCAGTGGGAAGCGGCCCTGCCTCGGGCCCTCCGCCTTGACCCGGACCGCAACACCACCCTCTCCCGCGAGAGCATCTCCATGTACATGCACTACTACCAGTGCATCAACATGACGGCACGCCCGCTGCTGTTCCACGTCGTGCAGAAACGCATTGCCGCCATCCGAGCCGCTGCTGACCCCACCGCCGAGAAGGAACGCGAGTGGCAGACCGGACTCGCGCCCAAGACGGTGGCCGTCATCCATGCCTGTGTCGCCGCCGCCCGCAACACGGTCCGCATCTTGTCCAAGGCCGCGGGCTACAACATGGTCGCCACGTACGGGTACATGGACGGCGAGCACGCCTTTTCGGCGGCCATTGTCCTGGCGTTGGTGTACACGGCGTTTCCCACGAACGCGCAGACGGTCGAGGCCATGGCAAAAGGTCTGGCGCTGCTGCGGCGGATGGGCGACCTGGGCAACGGGTACGTGGCGGCGCGGTACGAGCAACTGGCGCGGCTGCGGACGATTCTAGGACCATCAGCGGGGACAACGACAACGGTGACGACGACAACGTCGACCAAGGTGGCCTTGAGTAAGGAAAAGGAAATCGGCGAGGCACCCCTACAACACACCCCACCAGACCGTCCCCGGGACATGTTGCAAGGTCCCCTACAAAGTCCACCACTTCCTGTGTTTCCAGAGGTGGCCGAGACCTCCATCCCATACATTCCCGATGTAAACACATACGGCATCCCGGAGCCGTCGTACCAGCATTTGCAATATCCACAGTATTTCGATCCACAGAGCCACGGCAACCAGACAGGTCAACAAGGGCACGCACAACACCCACAGCAGACATACAACCCCCAAGCCCAGCACCAGCCACTTCCTCCGGCGCTACCAGATCTAGATTTTGACTTTGACCTTAATGATTCCTCCTTCTTCAACCACTACAACACCCTCAACAACTTTGACCCGGCCGCCATGGATCTCGATGCATTGGGTCTGATATTTGACCCGGACACGACCATGTTCATCAACGAGAGCATCGAGGATACGTAGGAGAACACGGACGATAATGGTAGTGGTGTAGCAAAATAAGATATCTTGTAAATGAACATTTATATAATTAAGAGGTATCGTAACGACTTCTCTCCACAGAGAGACCATACATCGAAGAACAGAAAAAAAATCCGAAAAACGCATGAAATCCAGTTTTGTCTCATGATAACAAGACACAACACATGTCCCCCACCTCACGCCGTCGCAAAGTTCAGCGGGCCCGCCCACACGCGCATTGCCTTGCCCCAGCGCAGCAAAACGAGGACCAGGATAAAGCCCGCGCCCATGATCGCGGCCTGCACGCCAAAGCTCTTCTTGGCGCCCTCGTTCGTCGCCCACGTCACCTGAAAGTACGAAATGATGAAGCCGCCGATTGTGCGGCTGAAGTTGAGCCAGGCGGACACCTCGCCGCTGGCCTCTGGGTACGAGTCGAGGCTGTAGCTCGAGAGCGCGACCGTGGTGATCATGATGCCAAACACGTAGAGGCCCCAGGTCACGGACGTGACCATGAAGTGCCAGCGGTTTTCGAGCGACTGGCCGAGGATGACGATGCCGATAATCATAAACGGCAGGCTCACGAAAATGGCGCGCAGGCGCACCTCGGGCTCAAAGTGGCCCTTGTGCGTGCGGATGTACTGCTGGGCGATGGCGTCGTGTAGCCAGTGGCCGGCCAGCTCGCCGAGGATGACGGCGACGACGGGGGTAAAGTAAAAGTAGCCAATCTGGAGCACGCCAAAGTCGTAGACGGGCTGCAGCAGGATGGACAGCGTCGTGTTGATGCCGACGACCCAGGCAAACGTGAGCATGTAGTAGAAGCACGTCAGAAAGACGGTGGGCTTGAGCACCACGCTGACGGTGCGCCAGACGGCCTGGCCGAAGCTGTTGCGCTGGTGGCGCGAGCGGAACTGCGCGATGCCAATGACCTGCTCGAAGCGGCGGCCGGGCGGCGGCTGGTCGGCGGCGGCGATGCGGCGGTCGTAGTAGGTCTCGCGCAGAAACAGGGTCGTCGCCATGAAGCACGCGGCCGTCATGGCCGTGTACACCCAAAAGGGCACGGGCCACGGCTTCGCCGTCAGCATAAACGCCGTCAGCAGCGGGCCCATGTAGGGGCTCATGATGAAGAAGGCCGCCCAGATGTTGATCTTGCGCGCGCGCTCGTGGAAGAAGAAGATGTCCTGGATGAAGACGAGGCCCATGCCCTGGCACACGGTGCTGAAAAAGCCGTTGAGAATGCGCGCCGCCATGAACGAGGCAAAGGACGTCGCGCCCGCGCACCACGCCGCCGTCGCCGTCGCCACCACGAGGTACCACCACACCACCGGCAGCCGGCCGAGGTACGCGGCAAAGATGACGGCAAAGATGCCGCCCGCGCCCAGCATGAACACGTTGCCCGCCTGGCTGTGGTTCACCTCGTCCTGCGTCATGTCCCACTCCTCTGCCTGCGCAATCAGCGTCACCGCGCCCGTGGCACTGCCGTAGTCGGGCAGAAAGGCCGTGCACGCAATGATGAGGAGCGTGATGTGCTTGGTCGTCCAGCTCCAGTTGAGCGGGTCCTTGGGGTCGTCGCTGGGCTGCGGAATCAGGATCGTGCGGCCGTCCGGCGCCCTCTTGAGCGCGGCCGAGGCGTCGCCGTCGTCCGAGGCGTCAATGACATAGCCCTCGGACTCGGCGTACTCGTGCAGGTTGGTCGTGGCCTCCCGGTGCTGCTGCTGCGACTTTTCCTTGTCGGCGACGGCCTGCGCAGCCTCCACGTCGACGGGTGACGGAGCGGCGGGAGCTGCCGCTTCTTCGGGAGCTGCCATATTTGGGGAGACGGAAGAGGAAAGAGGGATGAGGGAGAAGGAAGGTGGGAAGGAAGGAAGGTGTAGATGTGCGTGACGAATGAGGGGAACAAATTGTGAGAGTGAGAAAAACAACGCAACGAACAATGTTTGACTAAATAAAATAAACGAGAATGAGGAGAAAGGAGAAGAAAAACAAAAGAGGAGATGATGCGCGGTTGGAGACGGGGCAATGTTGCAAGTTATATGTGGGCAGCGCACCGCGGAAGGAGCTCGGAGAGCTGGAGCAGGAAGGAACAGGGGCGTGTAAGAGTGAAAGAGCGTAAGAGGATGGAACAGACGAGAGCTACACGGAGGGCGTCGTAAAAAGAAGGTATTATTAAAATAGTGGTACCGTGTATAATGTGAATAAAAAATAAAAGAAACCCAGTTCCGCGGGGGTATACCACAAGCTACAATCAAGTACGAATTACGGAGTAAAAATACTTTCTTTACGTGCAAATATGCCCACAGACCCTGTTTCTGTGGTTCTGGTACGCCGTTGCTGCCCCCGTTCTGCGCCCGTTTGGGTCTGGGTCTGGGTCTGGGCCTGGGATTGAGTTGGTCTGGTCACGATCTGTTGTCTGGATCACCTGGTTCTACGTCCTGGGCCCGTTTCTGGGCCTGTTTCTGGTTTGGGAAAGTGTACTCCTGGAAAAGGAACGCTGACCTGCGTCTTACAGAGCATGCGCGATGGTTTTGTCGTTTGTTTTCGCTGTGCTGAGGATGGAGGATAAATGAAAATACACCAAGGCAAACAAAATCAAACAGCCATGCTCATTCAACTGCCTCTCCAACTGCCGAGTTGTTGGCGGTTAAGAACTCTGCCCAGCTAGGCCTCTCTCCACTCGCACCTTCTCCGCACGAGACTACGCTGTCAGGCTGTCCTCCGTCTCGCTTGGAGGATGGGGGACAATGGTCAGAAATTGACAACAAACCCTTGTCCCCGAGACCCCCGACGAATGATAGCAAAGAAGAACGAATGCGGAAAGTGGAGGCAGGAATGGGGGAAGAAAAGGAGACACGACGTACACTCAGCCAAGAGCGCGGAGGAACGGGATGTGTACCCAAGTATGTCGTATGTTCTCTGCTGTAATTACTCCGTGTGTCGTATGGCGCAAGGGCGGTACGGCTGTAGTAGAGTGATACGGCGCAGGTGTGTTGGGGAGATTATGGGTTGCATCGACGGTTTGTTCCTTGTGTATGTCGTTCTTCTTTGCGTGTTTCCGTAACAAAAGGTGCAAAGGCCATATGCTCGCAATTATGGGTGGCAGATCAGCAAGGATCGAAATAGCCACGCTGGAGGCGGGAGGATAAAAACGCAGACAAATAAAATACAGGGACAAATCCAGAACACTACAAAAGCCAGACACGGGACAGACGCGCACAGAGAAATGAGGAAAGATCCAAGACGATGGAAGACAAAGAACAACAAGCAATCCCAAAAGGATCAATTATCCGTGGTCGGGGTAAAATAGCGTACCGGCAAGAATAACTTGGGGTGGTATTGGTCTCGGCGGACAACGTTTTCGGCATGGGGGTTCGGGAGAGGGAGGGAGGGGACGAGAGAAGAAGGAGAGAGAGAGAGCACCAGGGCGGCTGGGACACGTCTGCAGAGAGACGGCGTCTGGTAAAATTACGGCGCACGAGGAGAAAAATGGGCACGTCAAAGCGCATCGCTTGCAGCCAAAGAAGAGACAAATCAAGGGTCTCCGGAGGTTGCCGCGGGAAACAAAGAAGCAACACAATTCTATGAAAATAGTACGAGAAGCGGTCGTGCTCCTCGCTTGCATGCGAAGCGCCTTGCCTTCACAGCTGAAGGTGAAGAAGGCTAGAGACGGAAAGATGGAGCGAGTAATTCGTAAAGGCACGGGACAAGCTTCTCGAACTGCCATCTCATGTCTCTGGTGCCCATATTACCCCGTAATCCCCCCATACTGAGACTGGTCAAGCAAGACGGTCCTCTTTTTAAGCTCTGGCTCCATACGTAGCGCCCGTCGCTCGACACGGGGGAGGATGGGGCTCGTTTGTGCTTTGTTGGCCGTTTTCAGTCGTAGAGTCAACAGGGTTGCATAGTACGAAGTACACGGGCATACTTTTATCTTTTTGTGTCCTGCAGTCACACATTGCACAGCATCCAAGCGGGAGGCGCTGTCAGATTTGACAAGGGACAGAAGACAGGAGACAGAGACAGGAGATAGGCTCGACAGATTCCCCAACAGCCTGACAGTCTGACAGCCTTGATCAATAGTCTCTCCGCCTAATCTGAGTTGCAAGGGGGCAATAGTGGTGGCACACACGCCAAATCGGAGACATGGCCCCGACGGACGATCAACCACAGAACGCTTGGCGGGCAGGGTAAATACGTCGTACGACGGACAAAACGTCACTTACGCAGCACAAACTCCCGTGACTCCTTACCATAACAACTCCAGAGGCAGTCTCCAGTCTGGTTCATCGTTAAGGCTAAAACAGACGAAGGCAGGGAGGAAACCACAAAATGAGGGGGATGAACTCTCTGGGATGGCGATCTGCGGAGAAACGAGGCCGGCAAAAAACGTCTTTTTGTGGACTTGCGGGGATATAAACTGGAGAATTTGGTGTAAGTCTTGACGGGGAGGAGGATTATGGAGAAATGTGTCAGACGAGACGCTGGAGGGTTGGCTGTGAGAGGCTGAGAATGACAAGAAAGATGATGGAGAAGCCAGAATCGTGAGGAAAAAAGAGAAAAGAAAAAAAGAAAAGCAAATAATAAGGAACGGGCGTTCGTCTGCGTGCCACGTTTTACATAGCAAAAGTCTCTGCCGTCTCTTGGCACACGTATCTGTGGCATCCTCTTGACTTAATTCGCTGGCTGTCGTACTGACTGGGGCCTTACCTCTGCAGATGGAGCCAATATTCAGCGCAGCGACCATTTTATCTCTTTTCCATTTCGAATGCAAGGCGCCGGTGAGTTCTGGAAGGCGTGTGTAGTTGCGTTCTGGCAATGGACTGCTGACCGAAGAAAGGAAAGCGTTGGACGTCGCACCTGTTCCCAAGAGAGTAATACGACATACCACACAGGGCTGCCGGCACAGTTACCTGTCTCTTCCGGTAAGATTTGCCCAAAGATTGCCCAACAAATAATATCACCGCAATAACTGAATTTCTACATGACTCCACTCCCCTTTCTGCAATATTGTGGTAACCTTTATTCTTCCGTCTTTGGTATTGACCCCTGCGACTACGGAGGACTGCCAAAATGGGCCTCGGCTGCAAAGCAGCCACGTCTATACGACCATAGTTTCGACAACAACATAATGAACCCGTTGCATTTGTGGCTTAGGCCTTGTCCAGATGTAATACGATATGTAAAAAAACAGAGGCGGTCAGTTGTTATGCCACTTGCCAACTGGTTCTAGGAGTCTAGAAACTTGCCCGGATTCGAAGATATACAAGCCAGTAAAAATGCAAAGATGCACGCAGCAATGGTTGTAGACAGCATTGCAGGACATATGCAGGACGGCACACAGAGATATTTTTGTATCGTTTTGGTCTACCTGCTTTCGTGCCTTCGTCCGTTCTATTTATTGTCCCGTGTGTTCATGGGTGCAGCTGCATAAAAAGAACAATAATTAGAACAAAAAAAACCTGGGTCAGCGCACAAATGTCTGTGCAGCACCCGTGAAAAGTCCGTGCGGAAGCCTCTGGCAACCATTTGTGACAATGGACGATGGACAGCTGCAGCTGAAACTGCAAGTCGGAGAGCGGGACCGGACCTTCATAGCAAGCTACGGAGCATTACAGGATGCAATAGCCGCCCAATTCGTCAAGTCGGCGACCAAACATGTTAGGAGAATGGACGTAGAAGGTCGCGGACGGCAGGCAGGTCATGGGCAAGCACGGGACGATTGGGGCGACTGGAGGAATACAAGGGGCTGATCATCTTGCGTGATTGAAACAGAGCATTGTTAGAAAACCGTCAGGTATGCACGTCGTAGGTATGTCGTACGGGAGCAGAACAGAAAGAAAAGAAAAAAGAAAAGTACAACCAGAGGATGAAAACCACTTTGACCCAGACGCCATTGCTATCGCTGCACTACAAACAAAAATAGAAGCACAACCACTTCTGTCTGACCGTCAATTGCCCACCGTAGAGGTGCCTATTCAAAGCAATATTGTCGACCCAAAACGGCTCACGAAACCAACCCCCTTCCCCCATGTCGTTGCCCAGGCTCCGTAATCGCTTCCCATTCATCATCCCCTGCGATCCGCCTTTCCGTTCTCGTCTGGTTACTGCTATCCTCGCTCCTGTCATGCTCGTTCCTGATCAACGATCACGTAGGACGAGGCCACGGAATGAAGACTGCAACGACGTACGGCGTACGACTTTCGTGTCAACGCTCGCTGCTCGCTGGGCGTACAGTGGCTCCTATGCTACACAAGATTGTTCCAGGTTGTCCAATTCTGCGGAATGGCCATGTCCAGGTTGGCCTCGAGCGCCGTGTCTATGGCGCCCAGGTCAAAGCTCGGGTCAAAGTTGCCAAACAGGTCAATGTCGGTGTCCAGGCTGTCGAGGACAGACAAGTCCATCTGGGGTAGCTGGTGTTGTTGTTGTTGTTGCTGCTGCTGCTGCTGTTGATGCAGCGAAGGCGGTGGCAGCTGTGGGGGAAATAGTTGTGTTGACGTCGTCGCTGCTCCCGTGACAGGCGTGTCTCCTGCTGCTTCCGTCGTGGTAGGGACGATCCCGTCAGTTCCTCCTGGCGGCAGATGAGGCTGCATCGTGTCGGTGCTTGTGGAGTTTGTGGGCGTTGTGGTGTTGGTGACGGCAGACGTGTTCGTTGTTGCTGTCGTGGTTGGGGAGGACAATGCAGTGATCATATGAGTGTTGCCGTCGGTGCTATTGGTACCACTGCCATTTGCAAACTCAAATACGTTGTGTCCGAGACCCGAAGCTGTTGCCGACGATGGTATGCCAGTTCCTGCCGCGGTTGTGGAGGTTGTCGACTCTGGTGCGTCACCTGCTGTGACTGTCCCTGACATAGGAACAGACGTTGCGGGGGCCAAGGATGAAACAGAAGACGAGACGAAAGCAGGGACTGTTCCTGTAGTGATGGTCGACGGCGCGGAAGAAGCCGGTGCTGACGTGCTGGCAGTAAAGTTGAACGTAGCTTTCTTGGCCACTCTGCCATCAGAGGTGGCTGCGGCGGGAACGGGCGGCGGTCCCATGGCACCCCCGGCGGCACTCGCTCCAGCAGCAGTATTTGTAGTGCCCCCACTACCACCGGCCGCCTCCAGCTCCTCCCGCGCCAGCGTCGACGCCGTCTTCTCCATCTGCCGCCAGATGCTCTCGCCCAGCGCCGCATTCACGCGCGCATTCATAAACACGTCGCCCATGCTGCGCAGCAGGGCCACAATGTCCTTGAAGCCGATGCGGGCGCGCGTGCGGAACAGCGGCGTGCGGCTGTAGCGCATCTTCTTGTACTGGACACTGAGCGCAATGGACACGGCATAGGGCACATAGGGAAAGAGGCAGATGGGCTGCGTCTGCGTGACCCACACGATGCGGTCCGACGAGTGCGAGCGGCGCGGGTTCATAATGGAGATGGGCAGGTACGTGCGGTCGTCGCGGTTGAGCGTGGCCGTGTCGGACACCTCCGAAAACGCACTCAGCGGCTGGCGGCAGGACAGGACGCACACCGTATGGTACAAAATCTCAATGGTGCCCAGCAGCATAGACGGCAGCTTTTCGGCCTGGGCATCCAGGATGAGAGCCTCGTAGACGGGGATGTCGATCATGACAAAGGGCTGGCGCGGGCGGTAGAGGACAATGACCCTGTCGAGCCAGAAAATGACGGACATGAAGAGGCGAAAGCACGGCGGCTGGTTGACCATGCACTCTTCCGGGTCTTTGCCGTTGTCAATGTGGTGCATCATGCAGGGCCGCGCATACAGGACGGACGCCAGGCGGTCGAGCGCCCACAGCGCGCAAAAGACACGTTCGACGTCGTCATCGGGCTGCTCCGGCCGGTAGCCGAGAAGGTGGGCACCAATGGTCTGGAAATGGTGGACGGCCTGGGTGCACAAAAAACTGGGCTTGTTGCGGTCGACCTCAACGGTCGGCTGGTAGAAGAAGGACAGGAGGATGGTGGCGCGGATGTAATCGAAGCGGTGGGGAATCATGTCGGCGTCAAGAATGGTCCAGACAGCGTCGGTCAGACGGTAGTGGAACTCTTGGGGTGTGAGTAGTGGTCCATTGGGTTCGAGATGGAGATGTGACGCAGCGGACTCGCCATCGGTCATGGCGGCTGCCAGTGCGATGATCTGCTTGACAACGGTGGGGAAGATGGAGGCAGTGAAGGCGGACTGTGTCGGGTGTCCCGGGCGAGCGGAGTTTGTGGAAGGGGCGGACTTGGTGGGAGAGGTCGATGGGACGGCCCCAGCTGGCCCTGGAGCAAGAGACGGTGACATTGGCACGGTGGATGCGCGTTGCAGGTCAGTGTCTTTGAGAACGGGCAGCAACGGATGCACCTTTTCGCAGTAAATGCGATGCAGCACAGCGAAGTCCTCGTCGGGTGGGTAGATGGTGAGACACTCCTTGATAAACGTGTACTTGGCCCGCTCGTACGCAAGCGCAGCATCGGAGACGGCAGACCGGGCACCAAAGTTAGGACGGCGGTTTGGTATCCGGCTGCGGCGGCGCTGTTTGTGAAACCCCGCGTTGCCCGTACCGGTACTTACTCCAGGCCCGGAGCTTGGCCCAATGTGGTTGCTGTTTGCACCGACACCGCTGGAAAGCCCGTTCATTCCGCCAAACTGCGAGATCAGGTTACGGGCGCTGTCGTCTCGGAGCCCCGCATTCTGGCTCTGGCTGTAGTTCTGGTTGCTCGTACTGCTACCTCCTTGACCAGTCAGCGTGTTCGGTCCCGCCGGGTCAGTCCGTCCGGTCTCGTCGTCGCCATCCTCGTCGTCGACGTCACCGTTGTCCCCACCGCTCCCACTACCGCCATCCTCCTGTGCTCGTTGTGCATACGGCGGCAACCATACGCCCAAGTCGTTCTTGTCGCGGTAGGTGGTGCCGCCTTCTGGTTTCAGGGCGGGCGTGGCCGCCTGGATGAACATGCCCTCCGGGTTGAGATCACTGATAAAACGTGATGACGACAGCTCCATCAGCCGGTTGGCGGCGACCTGTGTGGCATCTTCGTCGTCGGCCGATGCCACATGGGGGTGGCCCGGCTTACGACCCGTCGTAGAACCGGCACCCGGGCCGCCAGCAGCTGTGCCCGGCCGCGAGGGTGCATCGGCATCTTGTGTGTGGATGCATCGTTTCTGACGGCATGTGAGGTCAGCAACCGGTTCAAAACAAAGCCAAAGAAGGCCGAGGTAACGTAGTCTCACCTTGCGCTTGCGACATGACTCGCATGCCTGTGCAACCTGTTTTCTCTTCATGGGCAGTCCGTCGTGGTCGGAGGCCACCCATTTGACGGGTGTCGAGGAAGGGACGGCGGACGCCATAGTGCGTCGGAGAATGTGTCGTGCGACAGGGCGAGATCTAGAAAGGGAGGGTATCGGAGTGATGCGCTGAGCGTCTCGACGGTCTGGGGTCGTCTTTTTGTCGGAGTTTCCCAAAGGCTCGAAGGAGCCGCACGGCGGCTGGGGAGAAAGGAAGAAGAGACAAGGTGGGTAGAACTGGGGCCCTTCAGGGGACGAACGTGTTGCGTTCGACTCCGACAGGAACGGTGGGGGTGTTGGCGGAGGATGCAAGTTGGTGATGAAGGGTTTTGCTCGATGAATTATGCCAATGCGATGGAACGGTGGAAAGGGGCCTGCGTCGCTCGAACTTGCCTTCACAAACGCCCGTATCGTACGTTTCTTTCAATCGCACTTTCCACAGATGGCACGTTCCAAATCGCTCTTGCCGTGTCGACGTGCTTGCCGACTTCAGTAAATTTGCTCAGGTGGCCGCCTCGCTCCTTCCCTCGAAAAAATCAGGAAGAAAATGGCGGCGGCGGAGGCTTTCTTGATTTAGCACCTCCGCACAAAAGTGCCAGCCAATCACGCATCACGCTCTGCGCACTACGACAAAAGCGTCAACTCCGGCCTCTTTCGTTACGTCAAAGGGCAAAACATAACACCAGCCGAGGACACACCAACGCGCACCACACGTTGTGGCGACATCCTTCAGTCCTCGGAAACGGGGAAGAGATGAAGGGGGGCGGAGGGTAAGATCGTACCAAGAGTCGAAATACGCCGACGAGATCTACAGCAAGGATAAAAGCGACGGCAATGTTACACCCACAGGAGAAACGACCAAATGCGATCGTGAGACCCGGCCAGCTCCAATGGCATGAATGGCCTTCAAGTGAAAGGATACCGTATTGGCTGAAAGGTATAGGCCAGAGCGATTCCAGAGCAGATTGCCCGAAAACACAACTCCGACATTCTCCAAAGCATGGCATCGGTCTTGGCAGGTGAACAGTCTCCAGACAGTTTACCGACTACTCCTGCCAGGCCATCCCAATAAATAGAGTCCGTCGTCTCGTGGCAGGCTACATTGGCCTATCCTTTGGATCCGTCCTCGAGATCTTGCATATCCTTGACACTGCCAGCATTGGCCCATCAAACGTTACACTGAGACACAACGTCCATCACTTGACGTCCTGGTGACGACCTCTACCGTTATCAACGGACTTGTACTATTTAGTTCCGTCTTGCCTCTCCTTTCTCTCCATCACAATGTCTTCAGCAATTCGCATTCTCCTGCGACCGGGCGCGTTAAAATCGACTGCCCGCGTATCCCACCTCGCCCGTTTCACACAAGTTCGCTGCATCAACATGGCCTCCATGGCGTCTACTTCGACAACTTCGACCATGCCTCCACCGCCGCCGCCGCCGTCGATGCTAGCACCGGGCAAGAAACGCGAGGGTGACATCTCCGACTCGTTTGCCTCGCTCTCGGGCCTCAACGCCACACCGCTGCCCGACCGCTACCGGCAGCTCAAGCTCTCGCTGGTGGCCGGCCACGACGAGGCCCAGATCGTGGCCAGCTGGCACCGTCTCCTCGACGTGCTGCGCGCGGAGAACGACACCATTGCGCGGCTGGGACCGGACGTGATCCCGAGTCTGCGGTTCTCCCACCTCGAGGAGGACCTGAAGGCGAAGCACGAGGAGCTCAAGAAACGGGGCGTGGCCGTGGTGCGCGGCGTGATCCCGCGCGACGAGGCGCGCGCCTACAAGGACCAGATTGAGGCATATGTGGCCGAGAACAAGGACGCCACGCGCGGGTTCCCGCCCGAGAACCCGCAGGTGTACGAGCTGTACTGGTCGGCGGCGCAGCTGGCGGCGCGGGGGCACCCGCACCTGGTCGCGACCCAGAAGCGGCTGATGCAGGCGCTGTGGCACGTGTCCGACCCGCACGCGCCCGTGGACATCAGCCAGCCGACCATGTATGCCGACCGCCTGCGCATCCGCCAGCCGGGCGACGCGCGCTTTGCCCTGGGCCCGCACCAGGACGGCGGCAGCGTCGAGCGGTGGGAGCCGGCCGGGTACGGACTGGGCAAGGTGTACGACGAGGTGTTTGCGGGCCGGTGGGAGGACTACGACGCATGGGATGCGGGCAAGCGCGCCGGCGCCGTCTGCGACCTGCACGCGGGTCTGGGCGCCTGCAGCGTGTTCCGCACGTTCCAGGGCTGGCTGAGCATCTCGGACGTCGGCCCGCGCCAGGGCACGCTGCTCGTGTACCCCTTGGCCAAGCTGGCGACCGTGTACACCCTGCTGCGGCCCTTCTTCCGGCCCAAGGTGGCCGCCAGCAGCAGCAGCAGCCTGCCGGCGTCCTCGGCCGACTTTTTGTCGGCGGCCAACTGGGAGTTCACCGGCGGCGCCGCCATGACGTCGGACCTGCAGGGCGCCACACCGGGCCACGGCCAGGAGTTCCCCGAGGGCCCCAACGGCGAGCCGCTGCACCCCCACCTGGAACTCGCCCGCACCATGGTCCACGTACCGCAGGTCGCGCCGGGCGATTTTGTCGTTTGGCACTGCGACGGCATCCACGCCGTCGACAAGGTGCACAGCGGCACGGGCGACTCGAGCGTGCTGTACATCCCCGTGTGCCCGCTGACCGAGGTCAATGCGCGCTACCTGGCGCGCCAGCGCGAGGCCTTTTTGATGGGCCTCCCGGGGCCGGACTTCCCCGGCGGCAAGGGCGAGAGCGAGCATGTGAACCGGCCGCCTGCGTCGGCGATTGTAGGCGAGGCTGCGCGACAGGCGATGGGTCTGGCGCCGTTTGTGAGCAGTGCGGATGCGTCGCCGGGCGCGCAGGCCATTACCAAGAAGGCGAATGCGATTCTCGGATTCCCTTGAAAGGGAGGGGGTGCGACCATGATAAGGCAACAAATTGCAAATTGTCTCGATTAGTCAACACTGCGTTGATAATTTGCTTGAGGCTTCACAAACATTATTTTTTGTATCGTGTACAAATTAATTTTTATTGATACAAAATATTTTCATTGCTATTTTTTAACATTTTTTTGTTACATTTAACTATTTTTTCGACTTCAATCTCAGCCGCACCTAACCACCACCTCGAGTTACCCAGTTGTTTCCTTCCTAAACATCACACAACCACTCTCTACGCCAGGAAGCTGGCCAGGTAGTCCGTCTTGCCCAGGGGCACGCCCTTGGCGCGCAGAATGGCATAGGCGGTCTGCAGGTGGAAGTAGAAGTTGGGCAGGGCGTAGGTGAGCACGTAGGCCTTGGCCGACAGGGTGCGCGCCGTCTTGCCCATCTGCAGCTCGACAGCGGTGTCGTCCTTGCCGGCGACGCTGGCCTCGCTGACGGCCTGCACCAGGTCCAGGGCGCGCTGGGTGACGGCAATCAGCTGGGGCAAGGTGGTCGTCTCGTCGGACCAGCTCTCGACCTCGTTGCCGGTCAGGCGCCAGATGCACTTCTTGACGGTGTTGATGGAGTACTGGACCTGGGAGTTGAGGCCGTCCATGCCGTCGACGAGGGAGGCCGTGGCGTAGGCGTCGGCGCTCTGGCCCTGGGTCTTGGCATGCTCGGCGGCCTTTTCGAGGATATGCTTGAGCGTCGCCAGCCCATGGGCGAAGGTCGAGATGGACACGTCGTAGAGGTTGATGGGAGCCATTGTGACGGGAGTTGGGAGGGCCGAGGTTTTTTTTTACTTGAAAAATGGGACGGAACAGCAGAAGAGTAAGCGAGGCTAGTGTGGGATGACAAGGCTGAGGACCGGGACGCTGGTGTGCGAATTGGGCAATTAGAAGCTGACGGTGGTTTGCAGAAAGGAGGGGTGAGAAAGCTGTGGGATTGGTGATGGCGTCATCAGATGAGGTGATCCAAGAGGGAGAGGGCCGACGATATATATAGGTGGAGGTCCGCCAGCCTGCGCTGCTCTCCTCGTTCAACTACAAAGCATTGTTATTGCTCAACAAGCTCCACGACAGGATTCTCCGCCGAGGGACGGACTTTGCACACCGGGCACGGCACAATCTGCGCCCCTGTTGAGCATTGCTAAGCAGATCGTCGATGCGGGCGTGCACAAGGTACCTCAGCGGGGATACAGCCTTGGCTGGGGGTTGTCGGGGTCCTGCCGTGGCGGTACCTGGCCTACTGGACCTTGTTTCATTCCCAGGTCGTCTTGTACATGGTGCATATTGCAGTTTTGTTTCTTGTGTTGTCTAATGTTGATCTTTCCGGCGTTGTTTACTAATCACCAACTGAAAACGGGACAGAACAGACGAGGAAGTGCAAGTGCACATTGATGCAGAATGGGCATGAATGAACAGTTTCAAGGTGACAAAAATTGACGGACGGAACGAATAGGAAGAAAACGGACAGACCGCCGGCAGATGGATCAACTTAGAGTGTGTTGTGTGTCGATCAGAGTGCCGAGCGCGAGCTGAACATGCAAAGGCATTGGCGGGCTGCGTTGTACGCCGTCTCTTGCGACGAAATACAGCGTGCACCAGCGACGCTGCGATACGACGGGACAATACATGGTGCGACATGCATTATTAATACAGCCAGACACAGCCAAGGAGACTGCATGACCCGAGATGCCAATATGACCAGCTTTCACCTTGGCCCGTCCCACATATGTGGAGGGGTGGGGGTTTTCTGCATGGCGACAAGTAGACGGCGTGTTATGTTAGAGGGAGGACAAGTGAGGACGTGAAGGCGTGAGGACATGTCTTTGACTGGGCGCCATTCAGCAGCTGTTGGAGGCTGCTGTTGGGCAAGAAGGACACATCGCATCCGACAACACAGGCAAAGATGGACGCGACCAGCAAGTCTCCGAGGGCCAATGTTGGACGCCGTGTCCGGTGGTTGATTGGCGTGAATGGCCATTGGCTGAAACACGCGCGGGAAACGAAACAGCCTCTGCGGGGTCAATTAAGGTGCTCACGGCTGCTTCAATGGACAGGGATCATAAAAAAAGAAACAGGAGACAATAAAAAGCCAATAAAACATGAGAGAACGAGCCGTTATGTTGCCGTGGGACGTTGAAGGGGTGGTTGTCTAGATTTGTAAGCATTGAAGAGACGGGCACAAGGGGCAGAAGAGGCAGCAGAGAGGACGTTGGGAGGAATGAAGTCGTGAAGGCGGAAATGGCAAATGGGAACTGGGACGAGGCAGAGAGAAGGCTGGCGTATTAGAAACCGACGCCGTCGGGTCATCCGACAAAACAAACGCATCCGTGTCCAGTGAATAGTGACTTCAGAGTCGAATCGATCACGCCGTCGTCGTTGCATTTGTGGTCTGTCCGTTGGGTAATTCTGACGAGTAGACTGTAATTAAAGCCCTGAAGTAATTGGAGCGCTGACAGTGCAAGTTGATGGTGGAAACAACATTGGCGATACGCCACGCTGTGGCAGTGCCTAGGGTGATGGACACTGGTCAAAGCACCCAGGATTTAACGGACTTAGGGCATTTTAGGTGGGCAGTTAGGACCGCTCAGAAGCTTGATGCGGGCTATTCAGGCCGGAAAGGGAGCTTGCATCCGTAAATCACCGTTCGAACTCGTGGGAGAGAGATGTGAATCGAGATGAAGCAGAGCCGCCGTTATGCTCCGGGTTTTTCATTCTAACTCAGCTTGGCGATCTCATTCTTCTCCTTGCTGTTTTAGATGAAGACACATCGGTCAGATATGTAAAAAAAACAAAAAAAACCAAAAAAAAACCCGCTAGACCTTGAGTCAGTGGCAGCACAACTGTGCCTTCCGAGTGCTTGCGAGGCGCGGGGTAATCCTGCGATGCACTGACGAGGAAAGGGCGATGCTGAGCTATGTCGTTAGAGCCCCTTTAAGTGACGGAGAACTGGTGCCGATAGGGCTGCCGCGGAACTCCCGCTAAAATGTGCGGAAAGTACTTCGCATGTCGTTAGCGGTAAGAGCTAGGGACGCAAGTGAGCGCCAGGGCTGACATTTCTCATTCAACTTCGCTCGATATTCTACCACTGCGAACGTCAGACCAAAGTCACAAAGCGCACGCGCTTGTCGCATCCTGCATTGCGGATGGAAGGCTGGAGAGACGCCGTCGTACAGCCAGTCTGCGGGGCTGCACGGCCTCTGCAACATGGATCTTGAATCCTTGGGGGCTTATCAGCTCAAGCGACGAACGATATTTGAGACTCTAACCTGACTCGACATCCAGACTGTCACCGGTGAGCGTCAGCGTGAGCGTCAGCGTGAGTGTCAGCGTTAGCGTCAACCTCTCGGTTTTCTCGTGTGGTTGTCTGTCTCCGGTTTGTCTCGGAAAAACACAGATAGAAATACAACGCCCGGACAGACACAACCAGCTGATCAACATTACCACGAAGCTTCAAAGCCACGAAAACAAACACACTGACAAACCACCAACAAACCGACACCACCCCGTCCCACCGCCACAATGTCCCTCATTGACGTCGACAAGATCGAAGTCACCGTGCTGGTCGACAACGAGCTCGACCCCATCACGCCCAGCCTGCACCCAGAGGTCCACTATGCCGGGCAGATGCGCGGACTCCAGCTGACGCCGATCCAAAAGGACGGCCACGCCCACGGCGACCGCGGCGACGCCGCCCTCGAGCTGCGCATGGACAGCATTTGCTGTGCCGCCCACGGCTTGTCGCTGCTGATCACCGCCACCAAGGGCGACACGCAGCACACGCTCTTGTTTGATGCCGGGCCGGAGGGCGCCGTGTGGGCGCGGAACGTGGCGCGCCTGCAGGCCGACGTGAGCGGCGTCGAGGTCGTGCACCTGTCGCACTGGCACCGGGACCACTCGGGCGGGCTGGAGACGGCTGTCAGTGCCATCAATGCGGCCAAGGCGGCCAAGGCCGCCGCGGCCGGCGAGCGCAGCGAGGACAACAAAGACGACAAGGTGGTGGTGGACGTCCACCCCGACCGCCCCGACTTCCGGGGCGTGCAGTTCCCCGGCCGGCCGCCCATTTCCTTGGAGGCGGACCCGACGTTTGCCGAGCTCGCGGCGGCGGGCGCGGTCGTGGACCAGCACGCCGAGGCGCACACGGTGGGGGACGGCTTCTTCTGGGTGTCGGGCGAGATCCCGCGCGAGACCAGCTACGAGGGCGGCATTCGCCGTGCGGTGCGCTACACGAACGCGACGGCGCAGTGGACGCCCGACCCCTTGATCAAGGACGAGCGGCTCGTGGCGTGCCGGCTCAAGGGCAAAGGCCTGGTGGTGTTTACGGGGTGCAGCCACGCAGGGGTGGTGAATGCCTGCCGGCATGCGGTTGCGAGCCTCCCGGCCAAGGACGAGGGCGCCAAGACCCTGCACGCCGTCGTGGGTGGCTTCCACATGGCAGACAACGACCCGACGAAAATGCAGGCGACGGTCGCCGACTTGAAGGCGCTGTCGCCCACCATCATTCTGCCGGGCCACTGCACGGGCTGGCGGTTCAAGTACGACTACGAGCAGGCGGTGCCGGGTTCTCTGGTGCCGTGTTTTGTGGGAACAAAGTATGTATTGGATTCGGTGGCGCCGGCGCAAGCATAGGGCATGTAATGAGACGACGAGACGACGAGACGAGACGAAGACAAACAGTAGGCAGATGCCATACATTCTACGATACTCAATACATTGTATACACATGCCTGTATACACATGTCTGCGGCTTTTGCCTCCCCTACACAGTCAAGGTGTAGTTCACTGCATTGCCCGGCGTGCGCGGATAAAACTCAAACGTGAACACGGCCGACTCTCGCGTGGCCACGACCGTCTTGAGCGCATCGGCCGTGATGATGACGTGCCCCTCGTCAAACTTCCAGTGGCTGTTGTACGTGGCGCGCTGCTGCTGGAGCGGGCCCAGGTACTGCGTCCAGGTGTCGACGAGGCCCGTGCCGTTGAGCGACGTCAGGCGGACGGCGGCGACGAGCGGCAGGCCCTTGTAGGCCACGGGGATCGCGAGGTCGTCGTCCGCGCTGGTGTTGAGGCTGGCGACGGACGTGGTGGACGCCAGCACGGGCGCGTCCCAGAGCACGAGCTGCAGCGGCATGGCGACGGCGCCGCCGGAAAAGACAATGGTGAGGTTGGCCCGGATGCCGGCTGCGGCGGTGGGGGCAAAGTGCTTGGCGAGGTACGACGCGCTGAAGAGAATGTGCGTGCTGTTGACCGAGTAGTCGCTTCCGGCCGCCAGAGCAGCGCTGCCATCGCGGATGGCCGTCACGTGGTTGCCGTTGAACAGGTACGGCAGCGCCTGGTCGGTGGTCGGCGCGTCCACGCGCTGGAACACGTACGCCGACGTCGCCTGTGTCGTGGCCGCCGCACCCGTGTCGTTTGTCGTCCCGGCCGGCAGGCTGTTGACTACGCCCGGCTTCGCGGTGGCCGCGCTGACAACCAGGTCGGCGCTCGTCCGGTCGCGCCACTGCCCCGCCGCGCGGTCCAGGTTGTCGATGCCGTTGTCCCAATACATGACGCTGATGTTGAGCGACCGGGCGGTGCGCACCAAGAAGTCCGTGTACCGCCACCGGGCACTGGCCTCGATGTTGGTCGGGCTCGCGTCGAACTCGCCGAGCACGAGATGCAGATCGGTAAAGTTGTTGTGGATGGCCGTGAGGTCGGACACGATGGCCGCCTTGTCGTCCTCGGAGCCCCAGATCGTCTTGCCCCACGCCTCAAAGACGAAAGAGTCTGCGCGTCATTAGCTACACATATTCTTTCCTTTCCTTTCTTTTCTTTTCTTTTCTTTGGTTTTCCTCACTCGCTCCGCTCGTTCGCCTTCTTCCCCCCATCGTGGCTTACATGGGCTGTAATAATGAAACTGGATCGTCCACGGATTCGTCGTCGTGTTGGCCGGCCGCTCGAACCACAAGGACGCCTTTTCCGCGTCCTCGCCCCCGCCCACCAGCGTCACCACCCGCCGCGGGTTGTGTCCGTCGGTCAAGGCCGCCAGAAACAGCTGGTTCAAGTGGTTGAGCCGCTGGCCGTCTTCGGGCGTATTGGCCGGCGGCTCGTTGATGGGCTCCAGCGCGACCGACGACGGCGCACACGCCAGCGTCCGCGCAATCTGGCGCCATGCCGCCGCAAACTTCTCCGCAATCTCTGTCTGGTTCGCGCCCTCCTTGGTCACGTCCGCCCACCGCCACGAGTCGTGGTGCATGTTGGTCACCACATACAAGCCGGCGTCGGTGGCCATCTGCACCACCTCGGCGACGCGCGCCAGCCACGTGCTGTTGATCGTCCACGCCGGGCTGCCGCTGACAAAGTGGTCCGCATACGTCACGGGGATGCGCACGCTGCGGAAGCCGGACGCTTTGACCGTGGCAAACACGTCCGGCGTCACCTTGGGATTGTTCCACGAGCCTTCGTCGGGGACGGCGTCGAGCGTGTTGCCCAGGTTCCAGCCCGGGTTGAGGTTCTGGACAAACTCGGCGGCCGTGATGGGCACAAACGGCGAGGAGCAGTTGACGGCGTTGGGCGAAGCTGAGGCCGATGGCAGCGAGAAGAGAGACACGGCCACGGCCACGGCCGCGGCTGGCGTGGCGACTTTCAGGAAGACCATAGTGGGCAGACGATGGACACGTCACAGTGACTACGACAACGATCAGAAGACGATATGCCCCGGATCGATGACTCTGATAGACATGGATGCGGCCCGCACTTGTACTCTCACGAACGACGCGGTACGTTGACGAGTTCGCTCATGGTGGGTGCAGCTGTTGGAATTACGAAATTGCGTTTCAACCCAGAACGTACTTTGGAAAACGATCGCCCGTAGATGTGCGTCGATTGAAGTCCGGCCATATATTGCTTGCCATCTCTGGACGGAACGTGCACTCTGGCTGAATGGGAACAACGCCCACGCGGCGGTCTGTGGATGTGCTTTTGGGTACGTTTTGCGGTCAACCTGGAATATTTGTTGTTCATTTCCCTCGGCTCAACTTGCCTACTTCCTGACCCCATGTCACATAACTCTGTCCTTAATATCCATAAATTAATTTTCTACTCCTAATTTCCACCAATCGACTTGTCATTCGCATCCGTTCATGGCAACTTGACTCTATCATTTCATACTCGGACACGAGACGAACATATCCACCGTCCACCACAATGCCTCACAAAAAGTACGAGTAAAGTCTGACATGCGACCAATATCCAGGTCGCTGTAACACAGCATTGTACGGCAGCAGGCCAGCCATCATTCCCGTAATTGTTATTCTGACAGAAGATCTTACAAACATGGAAAAGTACAAAGCTAGAAGAGTAATCTTTCTTTTGGTATCCCTTCTCGTCCTCTACTAATCTCGGCTGGTTCGACTGATTTCCGTCCTTGGACAGCCTCCTGGTTGTCATATTGAACGACAACGAAAACAATGGTATGGGGGGAAGGAAGCCTCGGAGAAGACCAGATCCAGCTCCCGTCACGCACATCCCCAAGAGCCGCTTTTTGGGTGCTATCCAGTTTGGCCTGCACCGTATCTGTATCTCCTTGAGCACCGCCATCTGCATGGACGACTCCTTTGTAAAAACCCGCTCGCCGATCGGCGATGCCGTCCAACGGACCTGTGCTGATGCTCACCGGTACCTGCTGGTGGCTGCCGCTTCCGTCACGGACGTCTCTATGGCCGCGGGAATTGTTGTGTTGTTGCATAATACAACCTCCCATTCATTCATACATCGGCAGTGTGCCTAGGTGTTTGTTTCGTTTCTCGTTTCTCGTGTCTCGTCAACTCGTGGTATTACACCATCCAGTCCCGGGCTGACCTGTGTGCCGGACGGCAACGCTGTGCCTTTCGACCTGCCGCTGTTGTTTCGCGCCCGCACCCGGAGGACGACTGTGGCCGACCATGGCCACACTGTGTCGCTCTCCGACATCATGCGATCTTTGACAGCTCCGTTGTAGCCCGTGATAGTCCCGGTGAGCAAAGCACACTTGGTGATCCTCCACGACAAACTGAATCCCGCTATGGGCGAGATCTGTGGTGGTGTCGATGGCATTGCGAGGAGTGCGGTTCCACGGCGCGACATGGCGGGAATATGCTGGTCGACACGCTGTGTGTCGCGGTGGGAGTCGCATGTTTCGCGCCGCTCGTCGTGTTATCGTCCTGTGGTGGTGTCCGGCCGCCTCACTTCTTCTTCTTCGCTGGAACATCTTTGGGGATCTGCGTCGCCCGGCCGCGCGCCTGGAGGCCGAGCTCCTCGATGAAGTGACTTAGAAAACCGCGGCTGCCGCTGCCGCCGTTCGTGCTCGGGTTGGCCGTTGCTTCGCCTTTCCGGAGGGGTTCACTGGGGTCGCGGCCGTAGCGCGCTTCTTGCACGCCGCGGTGGATGCGGCGGACGACATGGTGGAAGCTGGGGCTTGCGAGGAGCTGCGCGATATCACGTTAGCGATGGGCCCAACGCATAATCGGCGAAGAGTCTCGGACGAGGACGAGGATGATATGGACTTACGCGCTGGACGAAGACGTCTTCCAAGGCCATAACGGCACGGATGATGAGGCTCCACGGAGCCATCTTGCGGGGACTCAGGAATGACGTCGGCGTCGGAATCGGAGTCGAAATCACGTCTTGAGACTGTGGCACGTGGTGGTGACAGCTGCCGGATGCAAAGGCTGCCTGGTTTGTCGTGTTGAAATAAACGACATCGAGATGCTGAACGGATGCGTTCGGAGTTTGGGCTTTTGTGGGGCAAATCGCCGTATAACATAAGCAAGAAGACCCACTTATTTGTGTCCCGTAGAAAGACACAGCATCTCGACGTCCACAGTATTTAGCAGGGCATCTGTGTTATGTTCGACTTCTTAGTATTACCTTCGAGAGAGACGAAATATGACCTGGAATATTTCACTATATATTCACCTATTTAAATTTTCGTCCGTTATCGCCCAAGCTGGAACTGCGTCGACCATGCAGCTTGAGTGAGCTACCGCAGCGAGCATCTTTCGAGTGAACCGTTGAAGCTCTATCGAGCGCCTGGAAGGTGGAGGAGGAAGCTCTTTTCTGCCTTTTCTCTCCCACTAGCACTCCTTTGAGTGTCTCCCACTCGACTCCCACTCGTCTCGCTGTACGCGCCGTTCACCGGCTGTACAACTCACCGATAGTAAGAAAACGACAAAAACAGCCGAGTCGGGTATTTGCAGCACCGCGGCTCGATAGTGCAGGCCAGCGGAGAGCAGTAAGAACAAGACAAAAAAATGGAGAGAAACGTTTATTTGTCTAGGCTATTGCCAGCCTTCGATGTTATGTCTGTCTTGTTATTTCTGTTGAGCAGAGGTCAAGGCACACGGCTGGGCCGAGGAAGGCGTGAACGGCCTGTCACGCTCCTGCCTCAGAGAGCACGAAGCTGCCTTGGACGGGATGGCATCCAGATTTTGTTTTGACGGTTTTGTGACCGACCTATTGGCTGTAGTGTTCTGGCCAGCAGTTCTGGCCAGCACCATTCTCTCCTCACTCCGATTGACCATGCACCATTCGCCAATGTTTCTGCTTGTTGTGTCAGAGTCAGAGCTGTGCAACCATCGTACACGACACGGGCAAGACAAACAAGACAAGCCAAGCTCGGCGGACGCGCACAAACGACAATCTTAAAAATCCAGGGGCTACGACTGTCCTCGTACCCATCTGTCTTCCTGTCCTCTGCTCACCAACTCGCTCCATGCATGACTTGACACGATGAAATTGACAAAGGAGGCAGTCTCAGCATCGGGGCTGACAGTCCTCTTTGAGCCGGATGAAGCCAGGAATGCCGTCATTGAGTACGTCCTGTGGCCCTTAATGACTCGTTGTGCCCCTTTTGCTCCCCATTTTGGATACAATCCCGGCTAACGTCGACAGCATCCTCTTCGTGTCGGGTCCTGGAGGCCACCCGGTCCGGACCTGGCAACACACCACGAACAGCACATCGGAACCGCCCGGATCACAAGACACACCCAAAGGCGGCACCGGCGATGGCATTCCACGGCGACGGGGGTCACTGCGCGAGCTTGTCCGCAAGAACTCACATTCGCTCAAGCGCTGTCTGTCGAATGCCAGCCTGTCGCGCGAGGGGTCGCTACGGAAGAAGGCCGAGGAGAGGGAACGAGACAGGCGTGAGAGGGAGAAGCTGAAAGACGAAGATGTGCAACCGCCACTGCCCATGACACTTCCAACGCCGCGCCAGCGACGCGTCCTGCGCAAGAACAACTACGCGCGCAAGAGCGACTACCCCAACTATCCGACCACGACCCGCTCCGAGTCGAAGCTGTTGCTGCTGGCAGGCGCGGTAGCACACTCGACGGTGACGACGGCGGCGGCGAGGACGACAACTGCGACAGTGGACGAGTCCCGCTTGCGACGAACCAAGTCAACATCACGTTTGCGGCTGGGCAGGACGCTCGTCGACGACACGTCACAGACACGGCAACAGCAACAGCCAGCGGCCGACCCGTCTCATCCGTCCGTCTACTGGCCCCTCGATCTTCTCCCTGCGTCGTGCCCAAATACCCGCATCATCACCTGGGGCTGCCAGACACTGTCAACCAAGGGCCGCCTTCTGCCCGCCCAGAACAACATATTTGACCACGCTGCGGACCTGCTCCGCGAACTGGCCGCATTTCGCCGAGATTCGCGCACAGCTGGCCGCTCTCTTGTGGTTGTCGCCCACGGACTGGGGGGCATTGTTGTCAAGGAGCTCCTCTGCCGAGCAGAGGCATCGGACGAGCCGGCACAAAAGGATGTTCTGCAGTCGTTGGCTGGTGTCGTCTTCTTTGGCTCGCCCCACCGTGACAGCCAGTATGGCACTCTGCATGACGCCGTCAAGCACCTGGCCGCACAGGCTCTGGGCGTCAGCTCGCACGACGAAGTCCTGCAAGACCTGTGTGGGGTCATCGACAACAGCCGGAGCAGACAGACGTCGGTTTTGGAGATGGGACGACAGGCTTTTGTGCGGCTCTGGAACGACTACAACTTCCGCGTCAAGGCGTTCCAGGAAGCCGACAGAAGCCACAACAGCGCCATCAGCCAGAGCGAGCAACAGAACACGCTGCGGCGGGAGGCTGCTTCCTTTGGCGATCCCCGCGAGCGTGGCGAGCCCGTGGAGGCCAGCCACGCAGACCTGGCTCGCTTCAGCTCGGCCGAGAATCCCGTGTATCGTTCGTTGTCGTTTTACCTTTTGCGCTTTGTCCACGATGAAATCCATAGAGTGAGTACAGCACCGCAGTGCGCTGCATATGGATCCACAGACATATCAGAGACTAATCGTCTTCTAGCTCCGCGACCTTACTCCTAAAGAAGAGGAAGTCCTCCGTGCGCTGGCCTCCCAGCCGACGACCACACTCCCCCAAAGCGTGTCCAGCGCCGCCACGGCCCGCGTCGAGTCGTATCCCGGCACTGGCCTCTGGCTGTATGACCTCCCCGAGTTCCGGGCCTGGCATCAGCGATCGAGCGGCGGCCGCAACCGCATTCTTTGGATCAAGGGTCGACCGGGTTCGGGCAAGTCGGTGCTTCTCAAGTCCCTGCGGGGCCGTGTCGAGCGGCAATGGGGCCTTCTGAACAGCAACTTTGTATGGAGCTTGGCCGAGGGCGACACGGTCAACAGCGTCTTCTTTCCCGGAAAGCACCGCCCACACCAACAATACGCCACGTCGCCGGCTGGCGTGTATCGCAGTCTTTTGGCACAGCTCTACATCCAGGATCCCCGCCTACGAAAGGCACTGGCGTCCGTATGCCAGCGCACGTCGACCAGCTCAGGCACGTCCATCTCGTTTGACGACGCCCAAGTGGTCACCTTCTTCGTCGACGACTACGTGGACCAGAAGATCGAGACACCCACACGGCGCACATTTATCTTTGTGGACGCCACCGACGACTGTGGTATTTCCTACCTGCAGGACATGCTCTACTACCTCTCACAGCTCGCCGCCAACTCCGACTACAGCATCTGTGTCACCACCACTGCCCACCCCGAGATCGTGCTCGACAACGCCATCGAGGTTGTCATGCACCAGCAGAATATCGACGACATCCTGCGGTACGTCAGCCTCAACCTCATTGCCGAGTGGGCCGACCGCCACAGCACCGTCGTGCGCATCGGCCAGAAGGCGGGAGGCTGTTTCCTGTGGGCCGAGATTGTCGTCAGCATCCTGAACGCGGCCATTGAGGAGGGTGCCACCGAGGACCTGGTCGAAGAAGCTGTTGCCGAAATGCCAGGCGACATCGACGGGCTCTATGAGTGGTTGTTCAGCACGCTCGGCCCCGATGAAAAGGCCGAGACGCTTCTGCTCATGCAGTGGGTGCTGTTTGCGCCCGAGCCGCTGCGCCTGGACGATTTGCGGACGGCCATTCAGTTGTCGAAGCAGTCTCATCAGGGACCGTCTCCACTGCACATTGGCCCACCCACCTCTCTTCATGGCCTCAGCCGCACTGGAGACAGTGCGTTTGATGGTCCTGTGCAATTCTACAGCTGGGTACGCAGCCGGTCCATTGGGTTGCTGGAGCTGCTGCCGCAGTCACCGGTGCCGATGCACGCCCGCGCCCACACCCATACGCACTCTCGCTCCCATTCACGTAGTGGCAGTGGAAGCAGCGGTGGCGGCGGCGGCGGCGGCCAGAGAACCGCAAGCAGGGGCACAATGTACGAACAGCAGAATCAGGGCCTCCGACGCGTCCGCTTCATCCACGAATCTGTCCGCAACTTCTTTTTGCACGGACGTGGATTTGTGTGCTTGACGAGCTCGACCACCAGTCCGACCACAAGCCCCGGCCTGAGTCCCGACCTGTACGACAGTCCCCGGCCGAGCTTTGATTTCTTCGAAGACGACCTGCAGTCGGAAAACCAGACGGCCGACGACGTTGCCGCCGACTTTGCCGACCGTGCACACTACTCCATGCTGCAGGCATGCCTGACGTGTCTCGATGCCTTCGAGGTCAGCGGCGTCAGCAAACGCCAACTCGACGTCGCCAGCCATCCCTTCTCGTTGTTGTCCTACGCTGTCGACCACTGGGTCTTCCATCTCCTCAGCTCCCGCCTCTACCGCTACCACCTGCCCCAGACGGACCTACTGCGTGTCTTGTCAGCCAACCACTGCCGTCTCTGGCGCCGCTGGACCGCCCTTCTCGGGTGCAGCGCCACCGACGCGGATGCTGTCATGGCCAAGTGTGCCGCCGGATCGGCCCAGGAGCTGCTGGATCCCGTGTTTGGCACGCGCTACCGCCTCGAACGCGTCTTTAAAAGCCTGGCCAAGATGTCTGTCAGCCATATACCGGTGCCCTCCCCGGCGGCTCCAAAGAAGACAGCCACTCCCGGACGGGTCCGCGCCAGTGGCCTTCCTCGACTCAAGACGCACCCACCTGTCTCGAGCAACCGATTTACGACGCGCCTGCCACCACCACCTCGCGCACCACCGCGCGCACCACCACCACCGCCACCGCCGCCGCCACCTCTATCGGCCAGATCGTTTGCGTCCCAGGCCACCATGGCGGATTCGATACTGTTCTCGCCACAGTCGAGGGACTCGCCGTCGTCGCCGAACACACCGCTGTCGTACTTGTCGCCGACGTCGTTGGGTCCGGAGAGGGGAGCAGATTCTTTTTGGTCGCCCATTTATGTAAAGTAGTCGGTTGGTGGGTGGAGGGATGCTGTGGTTTATTTGCTGTGTAGTATTCTATTCTAGTGACCGAGTGCTGTATTTTAGTGCTTGGGTGCCTGTATTTTAGAGCTTGTATACGTTGTAATATTACCAATTGTAGCGCAATAAACTTATCGATAAAGCTAACAGCTATTGCATTTCTGCCGCTCTCGACCGCCAAAAAGTTTATGGCTTCGTTGAGTGTCTCACTTCTTCGCATCGACACTTCGCAAACTTGACAACCCCCAAACCCGACACACCTACGCCGGACGTCCTCTATGTTAGCGGCTCGAAACACACGGCGGTCCATCCTGGGCACCGTGTCTCAGGCCGCTCCTCGACCACAATGGCGCCTCCCCGTCTTCGTGTGCCCCCAATGCCGGAGCAAAGCCGCCAGCACAAAAGCTGCCGGCACCAAAGGCACATCTACCAAGACGACTGCTCCGAGGACCACGTCTACCAAGACCAAGACGGCCGACACGAAGACAACCGCCGCCAAAGCAACCAAGTCCAACCAGCTTAGCAAACAGAAGCTGCAGACAACATCGCCCCTGGCCGAGCAGCTGGGCGCCACAGGAATCTGGCACTATGGCCGATGGGCGAGAAAGACAGAGGGCACGGACGCGGCCGAGACGAATGCAAAGACTGCCTCGACGAGTCCAAGAACCAAAAAGGTCAAAGGCGACAAGCATCGCGTCAACATTGTCAGCGAGCCACTGTGCAAAGACATTGTGAAATACATGTCCAAGTCCCTTCGTCCGCGCCACACCGGCTGCGACATCATCGACATTTACCCCGGCGCCGGCCTCTGGAGCAAGGCACTGCACAAGGCCCTCAAGCCACGGTCGCACATCCTGCTGGAGCCGGACGCCGCGCTCTACACGCCCTTCCTGCAGCCGCTGCTCGACAAGCCCAACGTCACGCTCGTCCCCAAATCCGGCATCATCTGGCGCGAGCTCAGCAACGTCTTGACGCCCGAATACCTGCCGCACCAGACGCCCGTAGCCAACCTCGCCGACCCACCGCAGCGCAACGACACGCTGCTCGTCACGGCCAACCTGGCGTTTTTCCCCAAGCGCCGCTTCAGCATGTTCGAGTCGCTGACGCAGCTGGTCCTCTACCAGTTCATCAACAGCATCCGGGCGTCGTCGCTCTTCCACAAGTACGGGCTCGTGCGCATGCTCGTGTGGGTCGAGAGCAGCGACCGGCACGCGCTGCTGGCCCGGTCGGTGCAGCGCCGCCGGCGGCTGGCCGTGGACGGCGAGCTCGCCACGGAGTGGATCACCGAGGTGGCGGGCCCGCAGGACGCCTCGTCCTGGTTTGTGCGCGACACCAAGCTGGACGTGGCCAGCTCGCGCGGGGCCCTGGCGCGCATGCGCGCGGCGGGCGTCAAGATGCCCGCGACCCGTGAGCCCGACCACGTGGCCGCGCTGCGCCGCGGACGCAGCGGGCCCAAGCCAAAGATCACCCCCAGAGACCCGGCCGACCTCGATGCACCGCCCGTGTTCCCCCGGCCGTTCCACGGCGAGCAAAAGGACCTCGAGGCCCGGTTCGCGGCCGGCGACTTTGCGCCCAAGTCGGCCGAGCACCGCCGCATGCTGCAGCTGCAGTACCGCGGCAACCGCGAGGCCAAGGTGGCCGAGGCCGTGCACGCCCTGCTGCAGAGACGCGACGCCCTCGCCGACGAGCACGACGTCCACGCCACGCGGACGCACAACATTCGGCGGCGCGAAAACCAGTGGAACGCCGAGATCGACGCTCTCGCCGGCTCGGACCGACAAGACTTTGCCTTGTACAGGGACAACCTGCATGTCTTCCGCCAGGACCCGCCCGTGCTGTCGTGGGATCGGCGGACGCTCGAGCCGCTGTTGGTGCGCGACGACGAGTTCTTTCCCAATACGCCGTGCTCGCTGCTGGACATTCAGCCAAAGGCGATGCATCCTCTGCTGCGGACAGTTTCCAAGGGGGCAGCGGCGGCGGCGGCAGTAACGGAGTCGGCTGCCACTGAGTCATCAACAACACCCACTTCTACACCCCCGTCGACACCCACGCACGACCTCGGCCACTCGGGCGACATTTTTGAACTCATCCTCCGCGGCATGCTGTCTGTCGGCGCGGAGCCCGTCCGCAAGGCCATCGAGTTCGTCTGGCCCGGCGCTGCGGACGGTGTGCTGCCCCACTGCCCGAGCCTCGTCGACCGTCGTCGCGGTGGTGTGCCCGTCGGCGGGCCCTACGGCGAGCTGTCGGCGCGGTCGCTCAACGAAACTCAGTGGGTCGAGATTCTGGATGCGTGGATGCGTTGGCCGTTCCGCCCGACGCTGCCCCAGCTCGTGGCGCGCATCAGCGAAGATGCCGCCGAGGTAGATGACGACGAAGGCATGGACTAGGGGACATTACGTCGGGATTGGATGGCACGTAGGAATCTCCCATGTATACTCTGTACATGTATGACTAAAAATGTATTTGTTCGATTCGCCGCAACAGCTCTAAAATAGCCTACGCGAGGACAGCCAACACAACATAACAAAACACATAAACGTACAGTCTCACCGTGCTCGCAGTCAAGTCCCCCCCACTGGATCAAGTTGTTTGACAAATCATCCGACATGCCTACATCCACAAAAGAACACAACCAAAACAAAATATACTCCTAAACTCCGTAAACCCATCCCACAAACTTCCTTGCAAACCATTGAGCTTCAATTCACATCATATCAAGCACTTCACGGCGCTCAAAACGCATCACCTTGCGTGAGCGGGCCGTCAGAATATGGGGCGCCAGGACCATGTTGTCCAGTGCATGGGTCCGCCCATCAAGTGGAATGCCGAATTCGCCAAGCGTCGACCACGTTTCCGTACGTACAGTGAGGGGCATGGACGGGTTGGACGGGGGGCGGCGGCCCCAGCTGCATTTCTTGCCTGCATACCCGTCCACGACGCCCTGGAAAAGCTGGACGATGCTCGGCGACAAAACCTCGTCTACGCGGAAAGGCACAATGTCCGTGGGTGATGTCGAATAGAAGGACAGAGAGGGGCAAGTAATGTGCCGCCAATTGGCCGACTGGCTGGTCGACACGGCGGATGACAGCGTGGGTGCATACTGATGCGGCTGAAAACGAAACAGAGAGGCATGGAACGAGCTCTCGTATGCAAACCATATTTCCATCGTCTTGAGCGCTGGCATGCGTGCCGCGGCTTGGGCGGCGGATCGCAGGAGTGCATGGACTTGTTCCAGTGAGTCGGTCATCAATGTCGACGACGTCAATGCAAGGTTGCGGAGCCGTGGCCATTGCTCGACGGGCTCGTCGGGGCTGTTGTCTTTTGGCTTCGACTCCTGACCCTGCATCTCGGTAGCGCTGATGAAGCATTGTGAGCAGTTGCAAGTGTCCCCCGTTCTTGGTGTCTGCTGGGTGGCTCTGAAAAAGTCATCGGCTTCTGCCCAAAATGAGACGGCCACCGTTTCGAGCGTCCGGCATGCCTGGGCCAGGCGCCGGCCAATCTTACGACACGGTGTCCGAAGTAGGAGGGAATCGAGCTGGTTGTGCATACTGATATGCGAGTCCTGGTAGAGACAGAGGGACGTGAGCGTCGTTGGCAGTGGACTGCTGAACATGGAGACATAGCCTGATGCAATATTAGTACTCTGTAATGCATGGTGCAGAGGGAAGGACAAGGCAGCTGGTGGCGGAGGGGAATATTTTGACATTCTGAAATGACGACGTACCGTGCTCCACGTCTTCCATATTGTCCATGTCGACGGGCCGCCACTGTTCCAGGTGGACACTTTGTAACGCCGGACAGGACGCGACGAGCTGCGCGAGAAGACACGGGTGAATTGTGCGGTAGAACCGTCGAGTCATTTTAAAGTGCCGAATAATTTCTATTCTTGGAAAGACCCTCGGGGTCACGACCGTACTGGGCGTCTTGTTGTCTTGATCTTCTTTAGAGCCGGTAGCGTATTGGTTGTGGAGGCCGCCGACGTTCATCGTAAGCATGCGTCTGCCCAAGGCACGTTGAGCAGCAGCACGAGACGGTTGATCTGAGCGCATGCCGCCAATCCATCCATGTTGCGTGCTGGTCACTTTTTTGCGCCGGGCACGGAGCTTACTACGTGTGGACCATGGATGATTTTCGTCCATGACGTGGGAATGGCGCCAGAAGTTATGAAAAGAGTGCTTCGAATCACTGCGCGAGAAGACAGCCAGGGTAAGTGTGAGCCCTTTTTTCGAACAATCTCCCTTTCCACTTGTTATATCTGACATTTTCCATGCCGACAAGGCGAACAACAGCTGTAGGAATAGCTCCGTAAAAACAATGCTATTTCTTGTCGCCTCGTCCTCGCTCTCTTCGGACGAACAGAGAGAACAGTCGTATTCGGCCAGGGGAATGGACAGTTGCAATCTCGTGATGTAGGATAAACGAACAACCCGGTCACCCTCAACTGCGGCACAAAACGTGGAGATATCACTGGCATTGACGCGCAAGGTTTGAAATGTGCACTGCTCAAAGACGCGCTGCCATTCACGCGAAACGCAGGCATAGTTTGCGACAGCCTCGCCGTCTGCGGCCGTTTCAAGGAGCTTCCGGGACTGTAGGGGAAAGGATGCACCGAGAATATATCCAAATATTATTTCCCGGATTTCCAGCGGAAGAGCGGCCCAATTTGCCATGGTCTGTATTGTTTGTGGTATGGTTAGAAACGACTGGAGACAAAGGGGTATAATTTCCAGTTTATTTATTTTTTTATGTCGTTGAATTGCAAACAAACTGAACTTAAAACGGAAGGGGTGCAAAGAGGTGACTGAAGTACACATTTATATTCATGTTCTGAACTTTGTGGTTGGGGACGAAAAGCATATTGTGCTTCGACTCAAAGAGTTGGCTGAATAAGAAATATGTGTGCTAGACTGAAAGGGGCAAAAAAATCACAATAAACACACCAAACACACCAAATAAAATACATATCTCGTTTCGTGACATTCGCACCACCCATTCTCGGTCCTCTCTTACTACAAACTCCGCTTACATCATGTCGGATCCGTCTCCGCGTTCAAAACGCATTGCCCTGCGTGAACGGCCTGTCAGAATCGCGGGCGCCAGCACCATGTGGTCGAGTGCCTGGATCCGTCCATCAATCGGCTGCCCAAACTCGTCGATGCTTGGCCACGTCTCGGTATGCACCTGGAGCTTCAGAGTAGAGCCTGGGGCCGAGCTAGATGGGTCGTGGCCGCTGTTTCCATGATGGTGTCGGCGACGTTGTCTTGCGTGGTGTGTGACCACATTCTGGAAGCGACGGACGATATGAGGTGCCAAAACATCAGAAATACGGAAAGGTACGTGGGCCCCAGTCTCTGTCTCATACTCTGCATTGTACAAGTCAAACTCAATATCTGCGTCGTGCTCCGATCCATACTCTGCTCCAGACTCTTCGCCATACTCTGCCTCAGTCTCTGCCTCAGTCTCTGCCTCAGTTTCTGCGTCAGTCCCTCTCAACGTGGTGCAGAATGAGAGCGTGGGCGGACCACCACCATCACCACCACTGCCTGCCTTTGGTTGCGGGCAAAAGCGAAAGACAGCCGTCGTCGGACCACTCTCTTGAGCAAACCAGATTTCCATTGTTTCCAAGCGAGGCATGAAGCGGGCCGCAAAGGCGGCGACCCCGAGGAGCTCGTGAATGTCGTCCAGGGAAATGGAAATCAACATGGTCGACGTCAAGACGAGGTGGCGCAGCCGTGGCCAGCCGTCAAACTTGACACGCTCGCCTGATTGTAACTGCTGCAACTGCTGTTGCACTCGTATCGCCCAGTCTCGCCGGCCCCCTACCATACAGCGAGAGCAGGTGCAGATATCCCCTGGTACAGGTGCGCGAAAGCCGCCCATGAAAAAGTCGCATGCGTCCGCCCAAAACGAGACCGCCACCGTCTCAAGGTACTTGCTGGCCTTGCCCAAGCGCCAGCCGACCTTTCGGCACGGTTCCTGATTCGTTAAAGGGTCCTCCCAGTCATGCATCGTGACATTGGTCTCTTGGTGGAGCGTAAGGGACTTGAGCGTCTTTGGCAGTGGGCCGTTGAATAAGGATATATAGCCTGGAAGATGCCGTGTTAGTAGCATATATGGAAGTAAGACCAGTCATACGGACAGCGTTACGCACCTTGTTCTGCATCCTCCAGATTGTCAGCATCGACGGGCCGCCACTGCTCCATGTGAACCGAACGCAGTCTCGGGCTGGCCGCGATGAGCTGTCCGAGAAGTCGAGGGTGGATGGCACGGTAGAAACCTCTTACCATGCTAAATGACCGTATAATGCTCAACTTTGGAAGGGTGACCGTCTCCGGCACCCCGGGCGTCTCCAGTTGCAGCATACGTCTGCCTAGGACGCGCTCAGCGGCCTCCAAAGGAGGTGCTGCCGTGCGTTTGCCGGCCACCCATCCATGCTTGTAGTTGGTCACACCATTGCGAAGCAGGCGGAGTTCGTAGCAGGTGGGCATCGGGAGGCGGCTCCCGGAAGGTTCAAAATGGCCCCAAAAATTGTAAATGGAATGCTGCAGATCGCTGGGCGAATAGACGAACAACGACAAGTCGAGTCCTCCGGTATAGATGCCCCTTGACATCGGCCCTGGCAGCATCCACGCTGACAGAGCCGTGAGCAGAGGCAAAATCGTTGTTGCAAAGATGGCGTTGTTCTTTTGTGACTCCGCTTCGCTTTCTTCGGTGTCGCAGACTGAGCAGTCGTATTCACTGAGGGGAATCATCAGCCGCAATCTCGTGATGTAGGACAGACGAACCGCCCGGTCGCCAGCTACAGCAGCACAAAAGGCAGGGACATCGCTGGCCCCGACACTCAACGTTCGAAATGTATACTGCTCAAAGACGTACCGCCACTCGCATGATACACTGGCGTAGCTTGCGAGGGCCTCGTTTTCGTCGACACATTCCGTCAGTTTCCGAGATCGCGGTGGATACGGCCCGCCTGCGACATATCCAAAAATCATGTGCCGGATTTCCAGCGGGAGAGCGCCCCAAATAGCCATGGCCTGTGGTATTGCCTGAATACTGCTTGAAAAGTCTGAGGGCGTTTGAAGTGTGATACGTTTTATTTTTCTCCTTAGCCCGAATAAATCCAAGTTGGAAATGGAGGGGGGTTAGAAGGCTTGCTTTTGTCCAACGCTTGAATTCTGATGCCATGAACCTAAAATGAAGAAAGGCGAACAGAGGACGATGAGTACTTGCATTTGAATTTTGAGTTTTATGGTTGGTGACGAAAAGAAAGCATACAATGCTGCAAAAGAAAGGTGTGCTGAATAAGGCTAGTAGGCGTGTGTGACAGAGGAACATATCAAAGTAGCTCACTAGTAAGCTTGGGGACAAGTAACTTTCCAAATGTTGGAGGCGAGTCGATTCCGTGACCCTGTCCCAGCATTTTCGTTGACATTTCGGGACAGCAGCTGTCATGAAGGCTATTGGCAGGTTACACAAGCTGGCCAATTTCAGTGCCGGTAAAATTTGCTAATGTAAACTCATGTCCATGACCTCTGATACGATACTGAAATTTCTGGTCCTCTGGCCCGTAAGTCAGGCCAGTTTGAGTTCGAGTTGCGGTTTTATTTTGTGCGTGGTTGGGTTTAAGAGATGTTGCAATCGCCTATCCCAAGTGAAGATGGTTCGAAGTCGAACCCGATGTAATACTTTGCCCAGTCTATAATTTCCATACCAAGGACGTAGGGTTGCGTATCAAATTCCAAAACAAACATATCCAGTCACAATGGTTAAACCCACTATTAAAAGATTGAGGTTCGAAAGGCAAACAGTCAGCTAATAATGGTAGTTTATTGTTTGAGTCACCAATACGTCTAGTCACAGTATCCAAGTATAAATTTGAATAATTATACTTTATTATCAAGTACTGCCATTATTGAGTACACGACGACTCACCGGCACCTTATTTTCTCCTAGATGTCGTGGTTTTCTCCCGCAGTGTTGTATTTAAGTTTCACTCTATTTGAACTGTTATCCAGTATTTTGTGTGTTTTTTACCGCTTGCAACGAAGTCGATTTGTCGTTTCTTTGAATTTCGATGTTCCAAATTATTATCGTTTAAAATAAATATTGCAACGTTATCGGCGTCGCTACCAGACCGCGAGCTTTTCAAGTCATGCTGCATCCACACATTATAACACCATTTCACATTGTAGCATATCATATAGCAACATTTCTTCGTTTGTCATTCCTCATTCTTCGTGTACAACATCAGGTACTACAGGCCATTTCTTATTCTTCGCACCATTTGGTTTACACCTTGGGTGTCATGCCCTTCTTGCTGAGGAATTCGCGGGCAATCGTCTCGTACGTCGCAAATTCCACCGAGTCGCCCCAGCTCCGCAGCCAGCCGACAAACCGGTCCGCCATGGCCATGACGTGCGCGAGGCCGCTCGTGTCCGGGTGCATCAGCAGCGGGAAGATGAAGGTGCCGTCGTCCGACTCGGCCTTGCCGTTCTCCCAGAGCCACAAGAAGATGTCCTTCCAGCGCTGCTCCACGACGCGCGAGTCGACGTTGCCGTTGGTGTTGGCAACATGGGGGTAGTACTGGAGGGCCATCATGTCTTCATTATTCCACCCGATCGGAATCTCGACGAGCGGGTACCCGTCGCGGCAGTCGTACATGCCGCCGAGGGGCGTGGGCTTGAGCCAGGAGCTGGCCGGTTTCGAAAAGTCGATGCGCTCGACGGGCGGGTCGCTGGGGGTCAAGTAGGGCTGCGAGTCGTGGTGGCTGAGGGAGGAGTCGTACAAGAACTCAAACTCCTTGAGGAGCGCAATGCTGGTCTCGCGCAGCTGGTACATGGGCGCGCGCCAGCCGAGCACCTTCTTGCCCGTCAGCGCCTGGGCCGTCTTGACGCACTTGGCAAAGACGTCGCGCTCCTGCTCGACGGTCATCTGGTAGGCGCCTTCGTGGGCGTAGCCGTGCAGGCCAATCTCGGCGCCCGATTCAGTGATTTCCTTGCACGTATCGGGGAACGTCTCCATGGTATGGGCGGGTATGAACCAGGTGACCTTGTCGGCGACCTGGTATTTCTGGAGCATCCGCAACAGACGGCGGGCGCCGACGCGGCCCGAAAAGACGCCCGTGCTGTAGTCGGCCAAATTGTTGTCGGGGTGGTCGCCGGTGCCGAGGAACGCGGAGAGGGCGTCAAAGTCGAAGGAAAGGGCAATCTTGACGGTGGGCTTCTTCTTCGCGAGGGTCGGGTGGATGGAGAGGTCGGAGACGTCGGTCGCGTCCTGGGACGAGGCGGTGTTGTTGGTGTTGGCGCCGTGGAGGCCCCAGACGGCGTTGATGGACGTGACGCCGTGCGACGACCGCGACGACGCGAGGATGCCAATGGCAGCGGCAATGGACTGCTCTGTGGGCTCGCTGGCCGTCGAGGCCAGGTCGAGGAACGCAACGGACGACTCCCGCTGCAGCCACGTCACGTCCCGTTGCAGCTTGGCAATGACGGGATCCAGCGCACCGTCAAATGTGTCGCGGTAGCCGACGATGACCAGCAAAAAGGGCTGCAGAGTGGCGCCGTCCTTGGACAGGCTGAGCTGTTTCTGCAGCAACAGCTTCACCTGCAGAAGGGTGCGCTGCTGGACGACCTGCGTAGCGGTCTTGTGCTGGTTCCACTCGTCCAGGGGCACCTCCCAGATGGGATCGCGACCGCTGGGCTCGAGGTCACGGGCGTCAATGACAAAGAGGGAGACATTGTCCTTGAGGCCGGAAAAGGCCGCCTGCACCTGACGGGTGGCCTCAATTTCAGGGCTCAGGCTGTCGTCGCCGGCGAGCAGGCCGTCGAGGTTGAGGATGGCCGTGTTTTCCTTGCCACAAGCGGCAACGAGCTCGGCCTGGAGGGCTGTGGCACGCGGAGCAAGCGTGCCAGACGAAATGACCTTGCGGCCTGCGAGATAGACTGACATTGTTGGATGAGGTGGGTGGCAGAGTTGGCTAGGAGGGCTAAACAGCTGCCAAGGAAGATGAAGCAAGAAAACGAGAAACAGGGATAACAGGATTTACTTGGGCTCTGGCGAGGCTGTCGTTATCAACTGCCATGTGCAGCGGAGCGTTTGCGTCCATCTCATGCCGTCGTTGTTATATAACAAACGTAGTAAAAGTGTCGTGGTCGTTATCGATTATATTTCGCGAGACGACTCGTGTTGGCGCCGCGCTACGGCCTTCGGTGCTTGTCGGCGTTGGCATTCTGCGGGGAAGGTGAGGAGACGAGGACGTCTTGAAGGTGAGTGGTGAGGATGAAGTGAAAAGGGCAGTTGGCAGCGAGCCAATGGGAGGGGCAAGAGCGCGCGACTAGTGTAGCGTGTTCGCGTGCCCGTCGACTATCGTTATCAAGGAGCTAGTTTGGCAGGTGCAAGAGCGGGCCTCGTGAAGAAGGTCCAGGCCACCGACAAACCCACGTCAAACCCACACTTCCGATCTGGGAAGCTGCCAGCGAGCGACTAACGGCAGGCGCGAAACGGGCAGTTGTCTGCGAGCACCGAAGCAAGGCAAGAGCGGAGAGAGCAAGAATGGGAAGCTCGCAGCGACCAAGTGTGGCTCGCAAGCGAGGTGGCCGTCCTGGGAGACAACGCCACGCGAAGCTCAGATGACAGCGATGACCGTTGCCAACCCTCTCCCCGCTCCTGACGATGCACTACGGCTATCCGACCGTCACCGTCGTCATGGGTTTCGGGTCAGGACGCGATAGGCATGGGTGGCGGCTATCAGTGGAACCATGGCTGCCATAGCGCGAGACTGCAAGCATCCGTGGTGATACCGCAATGCCATGATGCGCCTTGATGTACCATGATATGGGATTTGACGAGATGATGGCGATACGGGCGCACCTTGATATGGACGAGTCTCTGGGCTGACATGGGCTTCACAGGGCGATTGTCGATACGGACATATAAGTCGACAACGCCCGATCATGTTGTCTCATGGCTCGTCGTTGTCAACAGACGAAGTCGACAAACAACATCGCCTTCCATACCTACCGAAATACCCACCACAATATACATTCCACTAGCATCATGTCCAATTCCGACTTTGAAAAGGGTGAGCAGTCCAGGACAGTGACCAACCCGCCTTTGTCTCCGTCCGTCACCGAAGGCGACACTCGTCCGACGGTCGATTTTGCCGAAGGCACGCTGGTGTTTGCCGGCCACGGCGAGGTGCTGGGCCGCAACTTCAATCTGCTGAGTGCCTGTGCCGCGGGCGTCACGACGGGCAACTCGTGGGCGGTGCTTGGCGCGGGCATCATTGCATCCATCTACAACGGTGGGCCGCCTGGAGCCATCTATGAATAGTACGATTTCCCGAACCCCGTATTGCGCTCCATTTTTTGTGTCGCGATCTTCTGTCCCGAGCCTGTGCCACGACCCACTCTCACGCCGCTCGCTAACACTCGTTGTATTTTGTAGCACCCTCGTGTCTTTTTTCTACTGCTTCATCGCCGCCTCCGTGGCTGAGCTCGCCTCGTCCGTCCCCTCCTCTGGCGGCGTCTACCACTGGGCCCTGATCACGGCCGGACCGAAATATGGCCGCGTCTGTGGATGGTTCGCCGGCTGGCTCAACGGCCTAGCATGGGCCTTTGCGGTGGCGGCCAACTGCGTCATGACGAGCAACATTCTCGTGTACTGCTACTCGCTGTACCACCCAGACTATGAGTACCAACGATGGCACGTCTTCATCTCGTACCTCATCATGTCGTGGCTGTGCTGTATGGTCGTCATGTTTGGCCAGAAGATCCTGCCCACTCTGTCGAGAATCGGCTCGTTCCTCATCATCGCCGGCTTCTTTGTCACCATTATCGTCTGCGCCGTCATGCCCGGGCGGCCGGGTGGCAATGGTTATGCGTCGAGCCATGCCGTTTGGGCCGGCTGGGAGAACATGACGGGCTACTCGAGCAACGGCTTTGTCTTTCTGGCAGGCATGCTGAACGGCGCCTTTGCCGTGGGCGCCATCGACTGCGTGACGCACATTGCCGAGGAGGTGCCCAATGCGCGCAGGAACCTGCCCAAGGCGCTCGCGTGCCAGGTCGGCATGGGCTTCCTGACGGGCTTTTCCTATTTGATTGTCATCTTTTACGGCACGGCCGATCTGGCGAGCATCACCGATGCCGACCCGTTCTGCCCCATTGGCGACATCTACCTGCAGGCCGCCGGCTCGCGTTCCGGTGCCGTGGGCCTCCTGATGGTCCTTGTTCTCCCCATCCTGTGTGCCACCTCCGGCTGCTACGTCACCACCGGCCGCACCTTTTATGCCCTCGGCCGCGACGGCGCCACCCCCTTTGCAAGCAAGATTGGCTCCGTCAGCCATCGTTTCCAGAGCCCGCTGTGGTCCACATTTGCCTGCGGCATCTTTATGACACTCATCGGCGCCGTCTATGTCGGGTCCCTGACGGCGTTTGACGCCTTTATCGACTCGTTTGCCGTCTTGTCGACCGTGTCCTACCTCTTGGCCATCCTCCCGCACTTGTTGAGCCGCCGCTCCAACATGAAGCCCGGTCCCTTTTGGATGGGCCGCTGGGGCTATCTGGTCAATGGCGTCGCGTGTTCGTACATTGTCGTCTCCATTGTCATCTACTGCTTCCCCTACAGCCTGCCCACGTCGGCGGCTAGCATGAACTACACGAGCGTCATCACCGCCGGCCTGTCTTTGCTTGTTGGCATCTGGTGGCTGGTCTACGGCAAGCGGCACTACAGAGCACCTAGGATCAGCCAGTAATTAGGTGGAGGCGACTGTTCTGCTTGAGTTGACTGTCTAGTGCTAAGGCTGTTCCTTTTTTTTTTTGTTGTTGTATACTTTACTTTTGATGCCGTTCATTGTTATTCCTTCGAGAGTGTATCACACTGCCTACAACGTGCTGCTACCTTCTTTCTTGTGTTGATTATATATCCACCTATAATACGAGCTTTCTTTGCATCGCCTTCTTGACATGAGATGTAGGAAATACAAAGTCTCATTATGGAAAGCCTTGGTATCCTTCCCAACTGACATTGCAAGAAGTCATAGTGGGAGAACCGCCTGTGCTCTGCTGTGTTCTTGCCGGTTTCCATGCCGCTATCGCTATTCAATTAGTGCCCCACAGGGGCATGTTCCCTCGCTAGCGCCGCCCACCTGGCTCTCCGAGCAGCCCCGCACAACGCCGAGCAAAATGCGCCAATCGCCCCCGCAAGATAAGCGTTCTAGGCGCGTCATGGTTGATAACAGTCATGGTTTCGGCCATCGTTTAGTGACGGCCAGAGGGCGTCATTGGGTCTCGCGCACGCTAGAGCAAACCTTTGACAAGATGATTGCATTCCCCGCAAGATAAGTTGGGCGACACAAGAAAAGAAACAAACAACACTTCCTCACGCGAGTCACCACCGAGCCCACAATCCAGCCCACAATCCATGACACATTCACTCGTCTTCAATTGAATAATCCCTGTCGAGAATAAGCTGGTCCAGAGCCGATTCAGGAGCAGCCTCCGCTGTCTGTTGCAGACGCCCCAGCGACTCTTCGATTTTGTGATATCACGACCTGTCGACGTTACGACTCCCATCTTTAGCCTCATCGATCACAAACCACAAACCACAGACCCCTCCGCAGATTGTACTATCATACACACAATGCCTCTTGACCCATAGCATGGCCAACATACGGTCTTCTTCTTCAGCTACAACGACAACGACGACAAGAGCTGCGTCCTCCCGCCTCAAATCGCTCACGTTCACTGGCTGCTGGACTTGCCGCACGAGAAAGGTCAAGTGCGACGAGCGCGAGGCCAATGGCTGCAGCGTGTGCGAGGGTGCCGGACTGACGTGTGCGGGCTACGAGGTGCGGCTGTGCTGGGTGACGACCGGTCGAGATCCGTCTCAACGGCAAAGGTCGTACCAAAGGCCCTCGCAGAGGCTTCCACAGCAGAAATCACAAAAGCATGCCCCTTCACTACCCGGACCCCGCCGACGGGGTCTTTTGCATCGTCATACGGGCCCTGTTCTGTCCGACGACGACATAATGAAGGCATTGGCGACGTTGGATGCCATGGACGGCGCAACGAGAACCGAGACGATTGGGCCGTTTGCCATCTTCCAAGCAGACGGATTCAAAGGTTCACTGGAAGGGATGGAAGAAGGGAGACACCAAGACACTGGTAATCTACCCCAGACGGCATCGGATCCGAAAGACATCACCACGATGCTCGATGCAGCATTACCCGCGATTGACATGGATGCCGGCCCCGACACGACACGCATCGACCCATCAGAGTGCGTTAATCCTTCGTCTCCTATCGACGATGTCGTCGACACTTCGCCCCATCTTGGTCTGTCCATGCCGCTCTTCCGCGATTCGCAGACGGCGCACCTCCTCTACCACTTCACCAACCACGTGGCGGAACTGCTGCAGCCCGTCCACCACCCTGGGAACCCGTGGCGGACCACGTACTTTTCCTTTGCCCTCGAGGGATGTCCCGAACTGTGGCTAGCGCAGACGACGGCCTCTCCAGCGTCGTATGCTTCTCTGTCTTTGTTTCACAGCCTGCTGTCCGCTGCCGCGTTCCACTTGCGGAATGCCACAGACGGCTCCGTTAGCTACCACCGGCTGGCGCTGCAACACCGCATCAAGGCACTACAGGCGCTGAACGCAGCCACGCTGCATCCGACGAACCAGCAGTTGTACCTGATCCACCTGACGGCCATGCTGTCGTTGGTGACGGTAGATGTAAGTTGTGTTTCCGCTCCCCAGTTCCAGGATATGAACCCGTCCTACTTTGTTGCTAACATGCGGTAGACCATGGCCGGCGAGGACTCTGATTTCCCTGTCCACCTCAAAGCATGCTACCAACTCAAAAAGCCGGCCAACTTTCTCGACCAAGAACTCGTCGATGGCGGCGGCAGTGCCAACAGCCAAATCTACAGCATCTGCCGGTTCTTGACGCTCTTGGCCCGTACGACGTCTCCAGTGATTGTTGCCCGGCCGTGGACGATGGACGAGAAAGTGGGAGGCAAGAACAGCTCTGGCGAGCCAGCCACGGCCACCTTCAATGTTCCCAACTTCCGTGACAGCGAACGCGCCGTCGAGTACATGTACGGCATCACCCCGGCGCTGGGCAACATGCTCGCCAAGACGTGCCAAATGGCCGAGCATCTGGCCTACTACCAGCAAATGTCCCAGGCGTGTCCCGGGGTCAGGATCCTCCGCACCCTGCAGCAAGCCTGCGCTGCGCTCGGGGACGAACTCGCCGCCTGGACCGTCGACGACGAACCGTTTGGCCTCATAGAGGACGACGAAAACGACGCCGGCCGGCACACCATGCGCGAGATTGCCCGCTGCCAGGCACGCGCCTTCCACGGCGCCGTCCTGTTGTACTACTACCGCACCCTCCAGACCTACGGATTGCACGACCGCCGCGCCGCGCCCGTGTCCGTCGACGTCCACAGCCAGGTGCAGATCATCTGGGCCCAGCTCACAACGGCCGAAGACTTGAAAGACGCCTACTATGCGCGCTTCCACGGCGGCCTCAAGCGGTCGGCGCCCATGTCGTGGCCCGCCTTTATTGCCGCCTGCGAGGCTGCCCCCGCGGACCGGCCCCTGTGGGTCGCCTGGTGGGAGCGTGTCAATGGCTACCGGATTGGCAACTTTGCGCGGCAGTGGCAGATCATCCAGGACGTGTGGCAGCTGCAGGACCTGGCGGAGCTGCAGGGCCACGGTCGCCTTGGTTGGCGGGAGGCCCTGGCCCTGACGGGGAAGCTTGTGCTGCCGATATGACTTATGGTGTTACGAATTTGAATTGAATGTATCTTTGGAGTGTATTTTGCAAGTCGTCGGATATTTGTTCATCTTTTGCTCGATGTCCCCTGTCAATATTGCAGCCTTATAGGCTTTACATTGTTTTATTTTCAATTCGTTTATTTCACATATTCATTCCCAGTCATTACCCACAGACAATAAGCCTCGTCTAATCCAACCAATATGCACTCTCACCACGACTTGCCCATTCACTTTTCCTGTCCCCTACAACTCATCCTTGCCACTAACCGTCTTCTTGGCCCCCACCGCCTTGTCCTTGCTCTTGACCATGGCCGCCAGTATATCCACAATCAGATCCGCCGCGGCAATCGACGTCACCTCGGCCACCGAGTCGTACGGCGGGCTCACCTCGACCACGTCGGCACCCACGAGGTTCACGCCCTCGAGGCCCTTGATAAACCGCTTTAGCTCGCGCGTCGTCCAGCCACCGGACTCGGGCGTGCCTGTTGCCGGGGCGATGCTCGGGTCCAGGACGTCAATGTCAATCGACAGGTACGTCGGCGTGTCGCCCACGGCCGCCCGTGTGCGCGCGACAATGCCCTCCATGCCGATCTCGTCGATCTCGTGCGCCTCAATCAGCGTGAACCCCACGACGTCGCGGTCAATCTCGTAGTCTTTGGGGCTGAACAGCTTAGTGCGCAGGCCGCCGTGCACGCTCGTGCCCTTGGCGATGCACCCCTCGCGGCTCGCGTGCCAAAAGAAGGTGCCGTGCGTCAGCGCCGACTGGTTCGACCGGATGCCCGTGTAGCCCTCGTAGGGGTCCCACGTATCGAGGTGCGAGTCTAGGTGGATCACCGAGATGGGGCCGTACACGGTTTTGAGGGACCGCAGGATCGGCAGCACAATGGAGTGGTCGCCGCCGAGGCTGATGATCCGCGGGTGCTTCCACGCCGTCGCGTCCGACGTGGGGTGGTACAGCACCTGGCGGTAGCCCTGCTCCATCTGCTTGAACGCGTGCGCCGCGTCAAAGGGCGTAATGGGAATGTCGCCGCAGTCGATGATCTCGAGCCCCTGCTCGTACGGGTCGACGCCCCACACGGTGTTGTAGCTGCGGCCCTTCTTCTCGCGCGCCGAGCCCGCCCGGATCCCCCGGGGACCGAAACGGGCGCCCGGGCGGTACGACGTGGAGGTGTCGTAGGGGAATCCCAGCAGGGCAATGTCGAGCGGCTTGTCGTGCGACGCGGCCAGGCAGCGCTGCCACTCGAGATGGGCAAACGTCACGGGCTGCGAGAAGGGGAGGTCGACATCGAGGTCTGCCGGTCAGCCGCAATCCATCACGAAGCCCCGTCTCCACGTCTTCACTCACCTTCTATGTGATGCTCATAGTTGGGACCGACGTTGACAGCTGCGGCCAGGCCTGGTAGCAGGCAGTGGAGGAGCGTGGGACGCATGGCAACGAGTTTTCTGGTGACGATGAATGATGTTTTGAGGAGGAAGGAAAGGTCGATGACCTGATGGTGGTGTGGCAGCTGTGAGGAAAGGTAGAAGAAGCTTTAAGTAGCAACGGATAGGAAAGAAGCAAGAAACGGTTTTAAATTTTTTTTCACATTTTTCTCATTAAGTCAAAAGCACTCTGCTTCGGCCTACTTCGCATACTCACGGGAAAAACCTAGCGAAGTCGGCCTTCTCCATCAGAAAAACGAAGCTCTGAACAACGCCAAAGAGGGGTCCATAGCAAAGCAGGCGCCGAGGTCGACGTCCCGTTCGCCGTCCTGCTTGACGTCATGTTGTGTAGGCATTGGCTGCACAGCCCTCTGATCCTAGTACCAGACATGAGCTATCCAATGGGCCCGGGGAAATCTCGCTGGTGAAGGTGATCGTCGTCGTTTGGTAGTGGCTGGCTTTCGTAGTACGGAAGTCGTTTGAGTGCAGCCTTTCTTGGCGCCTCGCAGACGCCTTCCCTTTTTGTTGACAGGGGCGTGTAAGTGGAGATGGCGCTAACGGGACCCACAGAACGGCAGAAAAGCGGGGCCAATTGAGCTCGCTCGCAGACGGCTTCCCAAACCAGAAAGCGCACCAAGATACGCCAAAATGCGCCAACGGAAAACGATGTCTAACTCGGAGAGACTATATTTCTATTTCATCTCCAGTCTAGCAACATGATAAGCATCCTGGCCTGCTGGCGTCCTCTACCCCGCAAGAACCTCGCTCACTCTTATCCGCCCCATTGTATGCCAACGACAGATCGAAACGACATACGAAATCAGTACAACGATCCATTGGGCAATCACCAGCGAGGATCAACACGAGTCAACAAGAGTCCACACGAGACCTATCGTACAGGGGCCGCGAAGCCGAATCCCGATAAGAGGAGGTGAGGGGTAGGGTGGCGCTCGTGATGAACGGTATCGACCGATAAGCGTCACATCACGTTGTAGTCTCCAGTCTGCAGTCGTATGCTATCGCTGGCAGTTGCTTTATTTGTAGCTTACTCCAAATTTGGTGCCTTTCCCTTCTTGATTCGGCCTTGTCATGCTGGGAGCTTCTGTTGCATTTACAGCGTGAGGATGCTTCACGGTCATTGGCTACCCAACCATGACTATATGAACGGCCGTCATTACCAAAGGTTACCAAGCAAGGACAATCAACGAACAGCATCCGACAACCCAACGGCGTCATTCTTCGACACGACGAAGCTCACTATCACGCGTTTGTAAACCACCTACAACGAAATTTCGTATACGGCAAACAATTCCTTTGTGCAGAAATCTGCAGTTGCATATCCACATTGACACTAATTCACCTCACTGTCTGTTATTTATTTCCTCGTTTATAATTTTGCTTACATCACGGCTATTTATTTCCTCGTTTATAATTTTGCTTACATCACGGCCATTCACCCTCCTGACACAATGGGTTTGCCTCTGGCTGTTCTGGCGACGGCAGCCGTCGTCGCTATTTTTGCCGTGCAGGCCATCTACTCCGTCTTTTCCAGTCCGCTTGCTCGCATCCCAGGCCCCAAGCTCTACGCCCTAACAAGCTGGCGGCTCGCATACGACGACTGGTCCGGCGCCCGCACGCGCAAGCTGTACCGGCTGCACACACAGTACGGCCCCGTCGTGCGTGTGGGTCCCAACGAGGTGTCGTTTAGCAGCCTGGCGGCGATGCGGACCATCTACGGCGCGGGCAGCGGGTTTGAGCGAACGTCGTTTTACCGCATGTTTGAAGTGTACGGCCGCAAGAACATGTTCACGATGGGCCCCGCGCGGGACCACGCGTCGCGCAAGAAGATGGTGGCCAATGCGTACGCCAAGTCGACGATGCTCAAGGGGGCGATCGCGGCGCTGGTGGAGACCAAGGCGCAACACTACGTGGACCTGATCGAGGCGAGCGCTGGGCGTACGAGCGACGTCTTTGCGTCGCTGCACTACTTTTCGCTCGACGCCATCACGCAGTTCCTGTACGGCGACGCGGGCGGCACGGCCTGTCTGACGGGATCCGCGGTCCACCAGGCCCTCATCAACGACATTGTCGACAAGGCGCGGCGCAAGCTGTCGTGGTTCTCGGTGCACATGCCCGATTTCATTGCGGCCGTCTACGCGCAGACGGGCCTTCTGGGCTGCTTGGCCGAGCGGTTTTTGTATCCCATGCAGAAGCCCACGACGTACACGGGCATCCGCGACTACGCACGGCATGCCGTCGAAGTGTTTGCCGACCATGCCGCTGACAAGACGCAGGACGAACTAGACCGTGAGCCGAGCGTGATTGCCAAGCTGTGGAAGCACCACGTGTCAGCGAAGAAGACGTCGGCCGGCAGCGGCCTGGACGACGCGGACATTGCCGCCGAGTGTGCGGACCACTTGCTGGCCGGCATCGACACGACAAGCGACACGCTCATGTTTTCGGTGTGGCTGCTGTCGCGGCCGGAGAACCGCGCGTTCCAGGAAAAGCTGATTGCAGAGGCGCGCTCCGTCGATGCCACCGACGTCAACGAGCACGGCATCACCCGCGCCCACGCTGCCGACAAGCTGCCCTACCTCGATGCCGTCATCAAGGAGACGCTGCGGCTGTTCCCGCCGCTGCCCGGCTCGGAGCCGCGGCTGTCCAGGGCCACGACGACCATCGACGGGTACACGGTGCCTGCCAACACGGCCGTGTCCATCTCGCCATTTGTGCTGCAGCGGAACCCGGCCGTCTTCAAAGACCCGTCTGTGTTCAACCCCGATCGGTGGATGGACGCATCGTCTGACACGACGGAAATGCACCGTTGGTTCTGGGCCTTCTCCAGCGGCGGCCGCATGTGCATAGGCATGCACCTGGCCATGGCCGAGATGACCACGCTGGCGTCGTCGGTGTACCGGCGGTACCGGACCGTGCCGACGGACGGCTTCGACGCGATCTCGCCGGGCATCACGAGCCGTTACGAGGTGTTGTGTGACGACAGCTGCCGAGAGATGCGGGTAAGTTTCTGCTCAGTCTAAACGTGACGTTTGTTTTGTGCGTACTAACTTTTGTAGGAACACGAATGCCGTATCCAGTTCCAGCCTCTGGATGGGTAGTCCACAAACGGGGTTCAATAAACAGGGTAAATGAAAAGGGGAAGGGGAAGGAAAGCGAAACCATGAAAAGGAAGGAGAAAAAAGGGGACACAGAAGAAACCAAAAACACAAGTCGAGTCACACAGCGTCGAGACCAGCGCAAAATATGAACTTGCTTTGCACACACTGTCACCCTATTCCGCCAGCAGTTTCTCTACCGATCTGATCCTGTACCACATCTGTGCCCAGCCGTAGCTGCGCGGGCTAATAATATCCGAGTGGTCGATGAGCACGCCATTTTTCCAGTTGCATTCCAGCGACTGGGGACAAAAGGAGATTCCGACCAAGTGCAAGAATCGCGCCACGGCTGCCACCCGGTCGTGTTCTTGCTGTTGGTCCTCTTTTAGTCGCTCTTGTCGTTGCTTCTCTTTTTGTTCTTTTTGCCGAGCTGCCAATGCCTCACGTTGTGCCCGTTGGTTCCGCGTCTCGACACCAACCGCAAGCGCCTCTTTGGCCTCGGCCTCGGCCTTGGCCTTGGCCTGTTGTTGTCCTTGCCAAGTTTTGCTGTGCCTCACCCTCGCCCTCTCTCTATCCATCCCTCCGCTTTCCACATACTCGTACACAATGGCGTAGTGCAGCTCCAACTCGTCTGCCGCGTCGGCCAGGCCGACCTGGACCTTCCAGTCCTTGAACTCCTGCAGATCCTGCACGTAACGCTTATGCTTGTCGACGACCTGGACCGCCGGGAAAACACCCAAAGGCATGCGCCTAACGAGTGCAATTCCATCGACGCGCAGCCAGCCGTGGCACTGCGCAAAACGCGGCATCGAGTCTCGTCCCAAGCGGATGACCTCACTGGTTTGGGACTGGACTTGATGCTGGACCTGGGACGGCGGTACGCTTTGTGAGGTTTCGTTGGTTTGGTTGCGCTGCTTTGCTTCAAGGGAAAAGGCCATCAAGTTGCTCAAAGCGTCTTCAAGAGTTTGGGGGTTCGCATGCACGAGTACAGTGCCTGGGAGGTTCTCTTGCTTATTCTGTTCGCCCTGTTCGCCCTGTTCGCCCTGTTCTCCCTGGTCGCCCTGGTCACCCTGATCGCCCTCTTCGCCCTCTTCGCCCTTTTTTCCCTGTGCTGCCTGGACTGCCTGGACTGCCTGGGCTCCCTGGACTCCCTGGACTCCCTGGACTCGTTGGCCTCCCTGGCCTTCCCAATCAAGAGATGCGCGCAGCATCTGGAGCAGCGCTGCATTTTGACACTCCCGCTGCGCAGCCCAATACCAGGATATGTCGTAGGTCACGCCAGCATCCCAGAACTATTCGAGGTAGATATTAGGAACGACGATCCGAAGAACAAAAAAGACGACACACTGCCCGTAGAAAAGAAATAGCACGCACCAATTTCAGCGCGTACGGCCCCCTGTCGCCAAAGAAAACACGCCACACACAGCCATCCAAGCCAGCGCCAAGGAGTCTGGCCCGTCTCCAGTCAATCGTGTCCACGTCAAATGTGCATCGGCGCAGCTTTGGAGTCTTGAGGTCGGCCACGGTGAAGCTCAACGGCTTGTCGTCGGTCATGGGGGTGTTGTCTAAAAATGGCACCTGCATGTACCACTGACGCCGTATTTCTGGTCTACCGAGAGGGTTTTTCGGATCGTGGAACCGCCGTTTAAGCGGTTTGTTTTGACTTTGAGCCTAAATTAGAACCAGAATGTTACCAACAACAAAAGGAAGGGGTGCATGGTCCGGGTGGAGAGGAGGTGATGAGGGAAAGAGACGGTGCGATGAAACGAGAGGGAGACCGTTGGGGACCGAAGGACAAAGAGGCTTACTCGGTAGGACGGACGGCAACGTTCTTTGGCCGAACGGGAATCTGTTCGTGTGGCAACATGTCGTCTTTGGGTAATGGTTGAGGCGCCGGGAGAACGTGTTCGAAGTAGAGGGGGAGATTGAGGCGCGTGTTGTAGGAGCTGAGGTGCTCGGTGTCATTTCGTAAACAACGACGTTTGTGCCATGTATTTATGTGTAGTGAGTTTGGCCCCACAATCACATTGCAGCCAATCAGATGTACTTTGGGGCGCCGACTCCTGGCACGCGTGAGTATGTACGGTATGCAACGTAAATAAACTTGCGACCCTCACCTTCTTTCACGCTTTCACTCTTACTTCTCTGCTACTCTTTCCATCATCCCGCTTCTATTTTGGCCCAAGAAAGAATATCAAGAGGGCGTGCCTAAATTCGCCGTCTTCGATCTCAAAATGGCACAAAGCAGTTGCGCAATAACGACAGGCAGTCGACGTTGGCTCTTTTTATCGAGCCCATCCGAAGCCGAATGTCGAGGGACCGTCGTCACCGCCATGCCTTCGGACGGGTCTATAAGGAGGCCGCGAGCGACATGTTCATATTCTCACCTGGGTAAGATGCGTTCCTCGTCATCGAATTAAAACGTGTGTCTCGACAGTTGCTGCTCTCTCCTCTCGTCGCTCTCAGTCTCAGTCCCCGAGTACAATCTACAGCACAACGCACCGCATCCATCACCATGCTCACCCGTCTCCAGGCGCTCACCAAGGAAAACCCCATACTCGACACGAGTGGTATACCTCGCGGCACAAATACAGTTTCGGAGGGCGTGGCCCCTGATGACTGGGTTGAATGGGCCGACTTTACATACGAAAATCTAACTGCCATCTTTTCGACGCGTTTGGGAAGACGGTACGACGGACCCCTGAAGCATGACGCATTACCTTTTGATACGACAATATGCAATGAAGACACACTTCAAGTGACCCTGCACCGCTTCATTATGCCGACAGTGAACCACTGTCTTCACAGTACATCGTCCTCGTCATCACAAAGTTCTCCAATGTACTACGGCCCGGGAAGTCGATACAAAACACCTGGTTTTAAGCCTGATTGGTCTTGCGTCGATAACGTATCCCAAAAAAACTACGTGATGGGTGATACAAAACTCTCTGCCAAATTCCGCCCAGACATGCTATATGGCGATGCAGATGATCGCAATGAGTGGAGTAAAGTGCTTACCCAGGTCTTAAACTACCAAAGAGCGGTCAGGTCTCGGTACGGGTTCATCATCACTGATGAAGACCTCGTTGTGCTACGCATTCGTCGTCTTTATATCGAAAGCACTCGCACTGCTGGGATGCATCCTCGGGCTGCAACCAGTACGACAATCGACTACATCGACAATGCAGATACGTCAACAATATCCGCAGAAGCAACTATGTCCTTTATCGACGATGACCCAATGACCTGGGCATTGGCAGACCCGGAATACGCTATTATTCCTTGGAGCGCACATGGACGGGGAAAATTAACCGTCAAACTCGCTCTCTGGTGTTTGGCCAAGCTGTCCATCTTGGGCGATAACCAAATCGACTACGATTACCCTCCTCTCAATACATTGACAAAAGGAGGGTCAAGATATGGACACAGGCACCCCAGCGGCAGCGGCGTACTCTACACCCCTGATATTCCCGATGGCGGTCCGCAGTCTTATGACACCGGCACCGGCTATTTTCCGCCGAGTACTGAGTACGCGACGGACCGGGCCGAATCCTATCTCCCAGCCGACTCCACCGGCATGGTTGATGAAAATGTCAGTGGCGACCACAGTGGGGGTGACGACGGAAGCGAGAGAAACGAAAGCGAAGGCAGGGACGACGGCAATGACGGTAACGATGACGACGATGACAGCGAATCAATCTTACTCCACGATATGTCCCAGCTTGACGCCTCCCTTGGTGGGCATACCGACGCCACCAGTACACACCCCCAGATGCCCGTATATGTGCAGGCAACCCATGAAAAGAGTCATGCCGGCCCCTCGCGGTGGTCTGAGGCACATGTGGACAACCAAGTTCCCGGAGGTCCCAGTATCGTGGCCTCCAGCAGAAGCGATGCAGGGACGGCTGCTGCTAGAGCGCAGTCTACTGTATCGGACGACCGGCGGAGAATCCCCGTAACAATTCAAAAACATTTTATGGGGCGTGGGTTGTACTATGTTGACACCCGCAATCGAAAGCAGGACACCTCAGCGTCCAAGTGGAAAAAGGTGAAAGGGGGGTATGAGCTTCACACGAAGAAGAACATATACTTCACTGAGCACTTTTAGTAGGTCTTCGGATCATTCGCACAGGGAATAAGGTTGACGGGTTTTTTTGGTGTCATACGTGCTTAAAAAGATGATTTGTGTGGACTTGGCCTTTTCGTTTCATATTTCTTTTTTCTAGTTCGGTTTTATGTGTTCTTATTTTTTCGTACGTTGTAATTGTTTTTGTCCGATGTTGTCTTTTTTTTCTTTTTCTTTTTCTTTTTCTCCTTTCTCCTTTCTCTTACTTTTTTCTTATCGTCTTGCTCTTCAAGTCTTTTTCACCTCGTTTCAATTTTTTTTTTCGAGAGGCGGTTCAAAGCCGGGATTATTTGGTCTGTATCATGTAGAAGCAGCGCTTATTATAGATAGATAAAATACTTGACATTAAATTGCGACGACAGCCGTGGAAGTGCGAGTAAAATCTCCCTCGGCCCGACCATAAATAGTATTGCTTTGTTGACTCTTTTGGAACACGAATGCTCTACCCAGTTCCGCCCGCCAGAATACAGCTCCGTTTCAAATATTGTCTAATACTGTCCTAACCCGTCACAACGGCGCAGTGATGGCATATCCACGCCTCACTCAATGGAGTGAGTCCATTCCTTCTTCTGGTTTCTCCCATTTTGGTTGCCAGTATCGAAGTGGAAATTCGAATTCGTTTCAAGCTTTCTACAAACACTGCACCACACCAATGCACCACACCGTCTTATGTGCGTAGGTATTGGTGCAACGCTGTGGACAGTGATCTTAAGCTCTGAGCTGCACTCCTTGTTCACATTCGCTGTCGAGAAATATTTGTGGATTTTAAGTCCCAAATGTAATTTATACCCCGTATAATGATGGTGTAAGCCAGGGATATGGTAAAGCAGAATCATGTTCTACATAGTCTTTGCGATTTATCGAATAGATCTTGTATATTCTGTATATGTCTCGTCGCCACTACACACGGTGTCCGCCGTTGGTCAGGCCCACAATGCCTGGCCGCAGGTAGTTGTGGTCCCCTTCGAGACGCGCCCGCAGCTCGGCCGATGACACCAGCTCGTCCACGTCCCAGGTCGCATAGACGTAGCGTCCATGCAGAAACCGGGCCTCCTGGGAAGCGGCCCAAACGGCAAAGTGCGCTGGCAGCTCCATCTCGTCAAAGGGCAGCATGTCCTTGGTGAATCCCAGCGGGGGCCAGGCGTCGCTGTAAAGCATACCCGGGTGGAATGACAGGACCTGGAAGGTGTCGGGGGACACGCCGTCGGCGAGCAGTGAGAACGCATAGGTGGCGGTGCTCTTGCTCAAAATGTAGTCCGGGCGCAGGCCCAGCCAGTTGTGGTCGGCCATGTTGACGGCGTTGGTGGAGACGTAGACAAAGTACTTCTGCTTGCTGTCGTCGCCGCCGCTGGACTGCTTGCCAAAGTGCAGAGCCATGTTCATGGGGCCCCGGAAGTTGGCGGCCATCATGTCATCGAGAGTGGGTACACCTACAGCACCTTTGCCGGTGTGTGCTGCCTTCAGGCCCAGCTCCAGCAGCGGCTTGGGCTGCCCAAATGTGCCGGAACACTGCACAAGCACATCGACGTGCACGCCGTCGGCCGCCAGCTGGGCCCAGAAGTCATCCACGGTGGCGTCGTCAGTCACGTCGACGGCCCCGGCGTGGAAGTGGGTTGGGGACTTGGCGGACTTGGCGGCGTCCTCCAGTTCGCGGGCAGCAGCCTCGAGTACAGCCTGTCGTCTCCCGACAAGAATGACCGTCGCTGCATGAGCGTCACCAAAAGCCGAGGCAATGGCTTTACCGATGTTGTTGCCGCTGCCGACCACGACAACCGTACGGCCGTCCTGGCTGAGCTCAAGACGTGTCGGGTGGATGGCTGCGTACGTGTCGCGGCGGATGACTTTTGTAAAGTCGGTCTCGGGGATGACGACGCCGTCCATATTGAGGCGGATGGTAGCAGAAGATGATGAGGAAGGTGATGGAGTATGAAGCCTGTTTGTCTTGCTTTTGTATAGAGAACTACTTTCGTGTCGAGTTGATTGTTCTCTTCGAATGGAAACATATACGGGAGAGGTCACCTCTTATAGTTGCCATGGGACATTCGAAGAGCAGCCGTCAAACGAAACCAGAAGAGAACCGGGCAAACTCGATCGGACACTTTGTCATCATATTCGTTGCTGTTCCATCCACGACTCTCGCCGGTTCAGAAATCCCCCGTATTCTGTCGCAGTTCGATGTGTCGTAACGGCGTTCCTGGCCATTGTGGTTGGCTAGGCTCCTTTGTAAACTGCGACTTACACGGGACGTCGGAGACTTTTGCGGGGACGTTCCGAAAAGGCTTAGCGCCCGCATGCGTCGACCGTCTTACGTCCGCCAGCTGACAGAACGTCCTCCTTGCCTCTTCGCGCTTCCACCATCAATCGACCTTCATCAAACACAATCCCCGTACACAGCATTCCCAAACCATGTTCGCGCTGCCCAAGGCACCGGCGTGCTCAGCGTGTGCCCGCGCTAAACGCAAGTGCGACAAGGCACAGCCGGCGTGTCGTCGGTGCCTCGACCGGCAAATGACATGCTCCTATCCACCAGCAAAGCCCAGCAGTTACGTCGCTCTGGAGCAGGAGGCAGAGACAGACGTGCCTCTCTCGACAGTCAACAGTACGAACTCCAATGGTTTGTTTGATGGCCTCTTCCTGGGCAGCGTCGACGATGCCATGCCGGCCGTGCCGAATGCTGCCAGTCTAGAACTCGCCCTTCTCGACCATACAGCCTCTACGAGCGATACCATCGACCCCACGTCCGCATTTTCCCCCTTCTCCTGGCTGCTGGAAACCCCCAAAAGTTTTGACCTACAGGTAGGCCTGTCTCAACCGCTACCACCGCCGGCGCCATGGATTCCGTCCCAAAGTACTGCCCTCATTGCGCCATCGCATGCCCAACTGTGGCCACCAAATGCATCGTGGTTCCTCTCACCCACCACGTGGACCATCGACCACCGTGTGCATCTACATCACCATGTCTCCAGTACGAGCACTGCCTTCTTGCGCCTGCAGATCGCCGGTATCCGCACCTGGTTGCGGACATGGGTCGCCACGGGACGTTGTCCGTTTATTCATCCAAACGTGTATGGTGACGACAACAACGACAACGATAACACACCCGCCTGTGTGCAGGTTGCGTTCCTGGCCATGTCGAGCTATATCCACCGCACCGAGGCAACGACGGAGATGGTGCTGGACGCAGTCGATGCGCAGGCCAGCCAGTTGGTAGCAACAAGCGGCGAGGCTACGGATGCCAGCATCACCGGCCTCCTTACCCAGCTCGGCCGCGTCCATGCCCTCGTCGTCTACCAAGCCATTGGTCTGTTTGACGGCAACGCGCGTTCACGCCATCGCGCCGACCTGCGCCGGTCGACACTCGCCCGCTGGTCGGGGCAGCTCCTTGAGGCGGTGCAGCAGCAAGGGGCGGTGGCGGTGCGTCTCCTGACTCCCGTCGTCTCTGTCGTCGACGACCTCGACCACGACAATAACGACCGCCGCGATCACATCAGTGCGTGGCATGCCTGGATCGTGGCCGAGAGCATCCGCCGCATGTGGACCATAGCGACAGCGATTGAAGCCATTTACCACACACTGCAGCACGGGTGGAGTCCCGCGACGGGCAGTCTACCGTTCACGGCCCGCTACGGACTCTGGCAGGCCAGGTCCGCTGCCGAGTGGGAGGCGGCCAAGTGTGCCGATGGGAACACGAACAGCTGGCTCTACAGCTTACATGATCTAGGTGATTTGATCGATGCGGCGGATGCCGCCGATGTCGACGTATTTAGTCGCGGCCTATGTCTTCGGCTTACGGACGCGACAGAGTCATACAGTGGGAGAAAAGCAGCCGAGAGCGTCGTCTGACGAATTCACATGATCGGTAGAGTTGGCGAGGGAGTGTGTTTGCCCCGAGTTAGTGCATCGTTCGTCGGAGCAATTTGAGAGTTGTTGAGCGTTGCAGAAAAATGTCCGACAGTGTCCGACGTAGGACAGATATGGACGGCGAGTTAGACGAATAGCTGTTTATTGTTGTTTCTATTATTTTTGACCAGTGTTTGTAAATGTGACTTGTAATATATTTGACACAATTTTGTGGCCGTGTGTTGATTGCATAGGTAATTCTTTGTTTTTTTCTTTTTCTTTTTTTCTCTTTCGTTAATTGGTCAAGGTTACTTGGACGACAATTAAATTTTTTTTTAAAAACCGAAAAAAAAAACCTGTTGTAAAAAGATAGGGATTTAAATGACGACAAATTTCATCGACAACATGAAAGATAATAAAATACTATAAGTCATTTCGTAAAACCTCAATGGTAGTGAAAGGTATACTCAATAAAGACAGGCTTTGTGCACTGTGGTGGGCAAGATGGTCGGCATAAGCCGCTCCTTCCTGCCAAGCATCACGACGGGACGTACTTTCCGAATCGGGCACGTCATAATCGTCAAGCAACACAACCCCTCTTCTCCGTCGTCTCTCGTGTCCCATTAGGCTGCCTGCATGTTTGTTGTCCTACGCGCTCACAGCAGTCTGTGGCGATCCTGAACTGTCGCCTCCCTCCCGTCTTGTTTTGCCGTGGCCCATTCAGCCAAATTAACCCAGTCGTCCCGATCTATAGCCACTGCCAAACAATTCAATATCCCAATATCGACGTGCCGCGATTGCCAGAGATCGACTGCCCCCGTCACTTCATGGACGACTCCGGAGAAATATCCCCCTACCCTTGCTACCCTTGCTGCCCGCCCACGTTGCCAGCAGTCTCGGCCAAGACCCATAGCACTGCCGGCTGTGCCTCTGCGTCGAGATACTGGAGAGGTCGAGGATAGGTTTGAACGTTAAGGTTCAAGGTTCCGGGTTCGTGAGCCTCAAGAGCTCCACATCTACATGTACGCTTACGACTACGTCCACGACATGACTGCTGACATCGTCACCTCGTAGCCGACGACCACCATGCTGATCACTGTGCTGGCCTCGCGGCGGCCGTCGTTGGTCGCTCGCTACGTCGTGCCGGCCAGCATTCTGGTGCTGCTGGCATACTGCTTCTCGCTGCCGACCAAACTCCAGATGGCCACGGCAGCCACGGTCGCCCAGCTACACCAAAAGCACCGCCAGCAATACCACACACCGGCAGCCAATGCAAACGTCCAGCCAATGTTGATGCCGATGCCCATTCCCGTGGCTGCTACTGACCAGAAAGCAACGCCACCGTCCCCTCCGCCCCCACCGACACAACACCCCATCGAGCGACTCGTCGCCGAGGCCGACAAGCAGTTCCGCAGCCTGCTCGCACAGGAGACGCATACCCTGGAGGATGCGGCCGCCGCGTACCGCAAGCGCCGTGGACGGCACCCGCCGCCCGGGTTCGACCGGTGGCACCGCTTCGCCAGAGAGCGTAATGTCGTCTTTGTGGAGTCGTTTTGGGACCAAATTTACCACGACCTGCACCCGTTCTGGGCGCTGCCGCCGAAGCCACTGCAGCGCGAAGCGCGCGACTTTGAGATGACGATCCACGTGCGGCGCGGGCGGGTCACGACAACGAGCGACTGGTTCTGGACCCAAATCTGGCTGGACCTGCTGAAGACCATCGAGTCGGAGCTGCCGGACATGGACATTGCGCTCAACGCAATGGACGAGCCGCGGGTGGTGGTGGCGTGGGAGGCGATGCAGAACTATGTGGTGGAGGCCGAGCGGACCCAGGGGTTCCCGCGGCCCGAGGACGTGCAGGAGACGTTTCAGTCGTTACCGTTGGCCGAGGGCCATGACGACAATGGCAACAGCAACAGCGTCGCCAACAGCAATCACAAACGGTGGACGACAACGGGGCCGTACTGGGAACTGGTGCGGCGCGGCTGTGCGCCCCAGTCGATGGCGCGCCAGACACAGACGGCACCGCCCACGACGAACCATGGCCGACCAGACATCACCGACACCTATACCAATCCACACATGTACCGCGGGTTTGTGGCCAACAGCTCGCTGTCGAGCGACGTGTGCCACCAGCCCGACCTGGCGGGGCTCAACGGCATCTTTATCGAGCCGCTCTCGATTTCCACCACGGACACGCTGCTGCCCATTTTCGGCGGCAGCAAACTCTCAGTCAACAGCGACATTTTGCTGCCGGCACCCATGTACTGGAGCAACGAGGCGCGGTTTGGGGGTGGTAGCGGGGGCACAGCAGACCGGCCGTGGTCGAATAAGACGAATGGTGCCATTTGGCGGGGCGTGGCCACGGGTGGGCACAACCGGGCGGAAAACTGGAAGGGCTTTCACCGGCACCGGTTCGTCGCCATGAACAACGGCAGTTTGGTGGCCCATGCAGAGTCGGATCCAGAGCACAAGGCACCCAACATGGTGTTGCCCGCCGCATCCTACAATTTGCAAGTACAGAAGGAAGGCGGGCTGGGCACGTGGGTGTCGTCGTGGTCCGACTGTGGCTTTGTTGACCTGATGTGTGACGGTGGGGCGAAGGCCGAAACGAATACCGATGGTAGCAACAATGGCGGCGCCACCGACGACAAGACCTGCTCGTACGTCGACGACTACTTTTCTGCCGTGGACAGTGTGTCCCTTCCTGAGCAGTTCCACCGCAAGTTGCTGCCCGACATTGACGGCAACAGCTTCAGCGGGCGGTATCTCGCGTTCCTCAAGAGCTCCAGTTTGCCCGTCAAGGCCACCGTCTGGAAGGAATGGCACGACGCCCGGCTCGTCGCGTGGAAGCACTTTGTGCCCATGGACAACCGGTACGGCGACTGGTATGGCATTGTCGACTTTTTCCTGGGGGGCGGCGGTGGAAAGGGTGAAAAGGGTGAAAAGGGCGACCGGATGGCAGAAGCGATTGCGTCCGCCGGCAAGGCATGGGCAGACCGTGTGCTGCGCAGAGAGGACATGCAGGTGTACGTGCTGCGGCTGTTGCTCGAGTATGCGCGCGTGTTGGACGAGAAGCGGGAACTGTTGGGGTGGGTGGGCGACTTGAAGACCTAGGGCATACGGTGAGGAAACAAAAGAAAATGTAATTGTACGATACAAAAGTGAAGTCAATCTGCACGAAATACGACGCTGCGGAGCATATGTAAGATACGGAGTACAAAGCAATCAGATAATCATCGAGAGTGTCCTGTTTGCTGTTGCTGTAGTATGATTGGCGGGCGAATGATTGCTGCGTAGTTGTGCCGAGTCTGTTGTGGTGACGTTTGTTGACATTGAGATGTTCTGCCAGCCACTCTGTCGACAGCACCTGAGCACCAACCTGGCGCTGTGAAGCACTGTTGAGTCCGCTGTAAGTTGCGGGTCGCAGCAGCGCTAGTCCTGTTTTGGTCACAGCTTGTCCCAACTACTCATGATGATTGGTTTAGAGCCCCATAAGTGGGCCTGCCAGCAGAGCAACGTCGTCACAGTACTGTGTACGGTTGCTGTGCATCAACCATGTGAGGCCGTTTCCCACATTAAAAGTCCAAGGCCGGAAAACCAACCCCCTGCTCGCCTGGCGTGGGCTGGCAAGGCATGTGGGCAGGACGTTCTTTTTCGAGTATTTTCTTTCGTGTCTTTGCCGTGTGTCTTGCTTCCCCGTACAGAATACTTTTTTGGCATTCCTCACCCTCGCCAATTCTCAAGTTTGCGACAATTCCAATCACGATTGCGGCCGTTGCTCAACTGCCACGACACCCTCTCAATCGCTGCATCGCGGCCCAACCCCGACGAGTGGCAACTAGGATTGTAGTGCGATTGTGACGGCGACGACGACTACGACGGCGGCGACGACGACCAATAGCTGGACAAGTCGGCCGACTGTCGATTGTTGATTGTCGACATCGGCAGCGGGGAAGCACTTGTTGTCGCACCAGGCTGTTGTAGCCAGGACACGACGGCTTCTTTGTCTGTTGTGTTGACGCAGCGCTGTCTGCTGCCCCTCCGCCTCTGATCTCTCTGCGATTGTCGTCGCTCTCGACCCTCGTCCACACTCGCTTCCTCGACACGAAAACCTCACCAGCTTCCGTCAACGACTCCTCCTCCCCTCACCCATTTGTCTCCTCGCTCCGCGCGCAAACTCCGGGCTCCGCTCGTCGACTCGTGGCCCGCCTTCGCTCGCCATGGCTTCCACCACCACAATGTCCGAGTCCATCGACGTCGAGCGGCGCTACGACTACCACGCCGCCCGCGGCCACCGCCACGCCACCCGCATCCACAAGTACCGCTGGCCCGCCGTGCAGCTCAACTTCTGGATCGTCATCATGCTCGCCGCCGCCTGCACCTGGATCGGCATCTTTGCCACGCTCGTCCAGACCCAGCAGCGCCTTGTCCTGCACGTCCCCTGGTACTTTGCCTACATTTTGACCGTCGCGTCCCTGGGCGTGACCTTTGTCCTCGCCGTCCTGGGCCTCATCTTCCAGCGCCGCCTCCTGCCGTCCATTGTCATGATTGGCGCCTTCATGATGTTTGTGCTCTGGGTGGTCGCGCTGGTCGTGCTGTCGATTGAGCTGTTTGGCGACAGCGGCGCCGGCGTGGCGACCAACTGCAACCTCAGCGTGTTCAACCAAAACCCCATTGGCCTGTCGACCAGCACGCTGGCGTGGATGCAGCAAAAGAGCATCTGCCAGTCGTGGCAGGCGGCGTTTGCGTTTGGCCTGGTGGGCGCCATTTTCTTGTTCTGGATCATGGTCATGGCGTACCAGGTGTTTGCCGATGATGTGTAGGGTAAGAGGGTAACAGACGGGGAAAAGGCGGTCGTCTTGGGAAACGGGGAACAAAGAGTTGTATGGTTTTATGACCTGGCGTTTTCTCGGTTGATATCACTTTTTGCTTTGGGTAGCCATTTTGACTACGTGCCACACAATACGGTCGCCCATTTTTCAGTTATGATCTAAGTTGCATATTTACATCGTTATATCGTTACATCTTACACAACTGCCACATGCTACGCTTGGCATATGTCATGTTGTTCGAGTTCATGGGTATTATAGTAGTATTTGTATTTGGTTTGGCAGTAGTCTTAAAGTCTTATTGTCGACAGGAGCAGAGCTGACGGTGCGTCAGACTACATTCCCTTAGTTGGAGATCTTGGGGTTGACCTTCTTGCTGTGTGTGTGTTAGCAGTGTTCATGTTGTTCGTGTTTGTGATGTGACAGTTCAATGAGGGATGACCTACCCAGTCACCTTCTCAAAGGCACCGCGGGCACCGTCGGTGATCTTCTCGCTGGTCTCGGGGTTGACCTGGTGGCCAGACTTCTTAGAGACAAAGTCAAAGGCCTTGTCGCCGTAGTCCTGCTTGCCAGCGGCACCACCAGCGCCACCGGCGGCACCACCAGCGCCGCCAGCAGCACCACCAGCACCACCAGCGTTGTTGGCGGCACCGGAGCCACCGCTAGCCAGGTTCTTGAGAGCGTCCATTGTGAATGTGGGAGGTAAAGTTGGTGAAGGTGTAAAAGTTTGCGGTAGTAGAAGATGGAGTTGGATGAAGAGAAGATGAAGTCGATGGAGAGATGGAAGATGGAGGGAATTTGTTCTACTCAGGGGGCCAGGAACGGCCTTCTTTTATACATCTCATGGCTCTTCTATGGTTGCCCACTTGGCGACGCTAATGACAGCATTGGAGGACAAGCAGGCGAGCTGACAAGGCAGCTCTAAGAATGAGATGGGCCAAGACAAGAGACGAGACATGAGACGAGAGACGAGACCAAGGCAAAGACAAGTCGGAGCTGAGGAAAAGAGAGGGGCCCGAGGGGAAGCATTACATCAGAGCCCCGCGCGACTACTGGCTGCCTCTCCTCAATTGTCGAGCGAGAAGTATACTCCGTAATGCCCCGTAGAGCTTCGTCGATGCTTGATCTTGGTCGATCGCGCAAGCTGGTCCGGCCGGCGATGACGTCAATTGGCACCCTCAGGGCATTCCGCGCTGGATACCTGCTATGAAGGCCGCTGCAGGCCTGTGCGGACGACACAGTTAGTTGCCAAGACATTACTCCCATTTAGGTGTCGTCTCTGTGCCACTCTTCACTGTACCTGGCCTGGGAGCCTGGCTCCTGGCACATCTGGAAAACAGGAAGAGGCTGAGAGAGCGGTCTCGCCGATCACTTGCGAAAGCGAGGGAGAATCTGAAAGGAAATGGACCTCCCAGAACCATGTCGACAGCCTAAGACAACGATCGGCTGTTCCAGTCGCGATCGCTTTGAGCATGCGAGAGCTAAACTCTGCAGACGGACCCACATTACCTCCATCACCTTGGTCTCGATCAGTTTCATTGGCTTCTGAGCAAGTCAGCCCTCAAGCGGCGCCATGCGCTAGAATCTGGAAATCTGGGCATCTCGGCGAGAGCTGAGAAACACACCTAAAGAAGGCAGCGAGGATGATCGATCGCAGCACGCAGCACAAGTGTGAGTTTAAAACGCTGCTGGTGAGGAGACGTTTTTCTCTCTGGTTCTACAGACGTACCTTTGAGCTTCCTTTCTTCTGCCTTTTTCTGGGCGGGTTTGGATGACTGAATGATGCTATTTTGAGACACGATACAAAGACCGGGACAGGCACAAGGCACCAAAACGGGAGAAGCAACGGGGAGGAGTAACCGGACCAGGGGCTTACGCAGCGCAGAGAGACATTGATTGTTACGTATGTCAGAAAGTAATGGGCACGTGACTAGACTGCAATTGAAACTCTCCTCTTACAACACCTCTGCTTGACGGACTCCACGACATGCTTCCAGTGCGCTGAGTGGCACGCTTGCGGTAGAGCTGTCTTACAACGATGTCTCGTCGGTGCAGATTCTCTCCTGTCTAGTAGAAGCATCCACGCGGGACACGACGGCCAAGAGGCCACCTCGACACCCAGGATCGCATCATTACGAAGCATGTCTGGGATTCTATTGTGCCATTTTTGAATGTGCTTCTCCCGCAAGGCCGATAATGGACGCTGTTATTAGGACCATCTACGAAGACCGACCATAGGCAAATGGCGCTTGGGAGTATGTCTGCTGTTGGCGATTGCCGCAGTACGGTGTGTACGACGTATGTAGCTCTTCCTCATGACCGCGGACATTAGGAACAAGATCCACGGACCTCTCCTAGACATGAGCCCTCTGCAAGAAGACGATATGGGCAAGCGCAAAATGAATACACGATGCCCCCAGTGAAGACAAGTGCAGTGAGGCCCGGTATGTTGGAGTCGCTTGTCGGGGCGTCGCAGCGGCAATGGATATGCCAAGGTTTCTTGACGAGACGTCGACATCAGGGCATCATTCGACAATGTTTCGATTCAGACTTCCGAATCTATTTCCACAAGGTTAGCAACTGGGAGTAGGTGACGACACCGCGTAAACTGGAAGGCTCTTCGGCGGTCGTCTGCAAGCCATTGGTGTGGGCCTGCATCGTCAATCACCACACTGCGCGACCTAGGCGGACGGGAGGTAGAGACTGATGGAACTGTGAGTCGAAGACCACACGTCGGTCATCGGCATCCCGCCAGACTGTGACGCATCGTGGCCTTCAATTGCTCTGGAGATGATGATCCGTGGCTGCAGAGCTATGGACAAGGCCAGTCTCGTCGACGGCGACCAATTTCGACTGTCATCTCTGGGCCGTAGGAAGGATGTCGTGCATCTGGGTGCCGTTCCGAGGGCGAGGAGGTGAGATTGGGAGTCGGCGATCTTGTCCATAAGTATGCTCATATGGTATCAGAACAGTGCTTTGCGTTGCATCGTCCGCCTTAAGCCCCTATGGTGGTGCAACGGAATGCGACGTAGGGAGCATGTCGTGCATCCCTTGCATTCGTTCCACCGCCTTCCCATTAGGTCTTCCTTCTACAGGGGGCTGACCCTCTACGCCTATGTGCTGTTTTCTTTCCTTTACAGTGCCACGTGTGCTGCCATGGCAACGCTGGAGTCCAGTTGCTCGCTGCAACTTATTGTGTACGAAGCGCCTGCTAGGTTTCATCCTCTAGCGTATTTCAGCGGACATCCACACCACTTAGGCCTGTCTTGCGCCCAAACGCCCATGTTACAGGCGTTGCGCTAGCGGCTCCCAGTCCTCCCAGTCGAGCTCTAGCCTTTATCGCGCCCCACCGCAACAGCGGAAGGAGGCTCGAGCGCGTCCCTTCCGTCATGGGGCCCCTTGCAGGAAAAACTGCACCCGTCAGGAGGCAGGTGCGACCTAACAAGGGACCGTGGAGACCCGACAAGACGAGGCCACCACGAGACAAGTAAACGAGGAAGGAAAGCAGAGAGAGCAGAAACAGCTCGACTCTTTGCAACGGCTCCAAGCCGATCCCAACTCTGGCCCTTTTTCTCTGATCAAACCTCTCGCTTTCTAACGACCGACTCTCCCACTTTCGCTAAACCTCCAAACACGCGTCGACGAGACATTCGCGCGATCCCACGAGCATCTCCCGACGACGGCACCCAGACGAGAAACAAAACAGACATCGCCACATCGTAACTGATAAGATCACCACCAGCAAAAATCAACAAGAACAACCAACGTCACAGGCAGACACCTCGCATGGACGTGGAAAACGTGCCGCCAATGGCGTCGCACGATGCGCACGCCGACGAGAGCGCCGGCGCCGGCGCATTCGACGACTCGCTCCACGAAGCATTGACCTCCAAGAACCAGAACCATATGGCGACAGCATCGGCCGACCGCTCAACAACGCCGCCGCCGCCGCCCTTGGCTGCTGTCCAGCCACTGCCCACGTCGCTGCACTCGCTGGAAGACAGCTCAGGGGTCGCGCACGACACGGGTGACGACATGGCCGACACAACGGGCGGCTCGATACAAGACACGCCGACTGGGCTGGACGCGGCCACCGACAGCATAAATGCACATGCAGGCAATGCAGATGCAACTACAGGAGCAGTCTCCGACGGGCCCTCCTTTGCCCACACGAGTTTCCTGGACCGCACCGGCCTGGGCCTCGACGGCGACAAGGCCTCGGACTCGTTCCACGACGCTCAGTATCGCATGATGAACGACTCCCTGCCCGGCGTCGAATCCAGCTTTGTCGCGCCCCTCTCGCCGCTTCCCACCATCACCCAAGACGGGCCCGACGACACATATCTCTTTGACTCGCCCAGGAAACGGCAACAACCAGCGGTCGCACCAGCACCCGGCTCTCTGCCACCGGATGCCGGCGAACCTCAGACCCAGATACAACCGTCCTCTGCACAAGACGAAGACTCCCTGCTCTGGCCACCCAACGCACAACAGCAACAGCAACAGCAACAGCAAACCACACCAAGGGACGACAGCCAACGACGATCCCTCAACCTCAACGAGTCCACCGGCAGCGGCGGCGGCAGCAACGGCCTGGCCCTACGCTACGGCAAGCGTCCACGTTTCCTGCGAAGTCGCAACGCCAGCCAGCGCTCATCTGCCTCGTCATTTATCACCAACCCAGATACCCACGATGCTCACGACGCTCGCGATGCGCGAGAAGACGGTGGCAACGCCCACGACGATGTCGACAGCGACGTCACCGTTGGTCTCGGCGCCGACTATGCGCTGCAGTCGGGTGGCGCCATCCCAGTCGGTAGTCGCCGCAATGCCAGCGACCTCTTGTCGCGGGCCGTCAGCATGGGCAGTGTGGCCTCGTCGGCCCTTGGCGGTGGCAGCGAGACGTTGGAAGACGACGGCCACGACGGCCGCCACAACACCGAAGAGCTACTGCGCACGCCGCGGCCTAATAAGGCGACCCTCGCCCCGCCTACCGACACTGTCCTCACCCGCCGCGTCATGGACATCCAGGTGCCCGAGTCGCTGGCTCGCGAGTACAAGACCCGCAACGGCCTCATGACGCCGCGCAAGCCGTCCGACTTCCGGTCCGAGTTCGGCAGCACGACGGCGACAGCCACCAGCGCCAAGACGGCCGCGGCCAATGCCACCCCCATTACCACAGGCACGCGCCCTGGCCGCAACATGACGCTCAAGGAACAGAGCAGCACCATTGAGCGCCTGTCCAAGGAAAACTTTGACCTCAAGCTCAAGGTCATGTTTCTGAGCGACCGCCTCGACAAGCTCTCGGAAGACGGCATCAAGGAGATGATTCAGGAAAACGTCGAGTTCCGCACCAACATTGCCATCCTGCAGCGCGACAACAAGGGATTGCGGCGGCGTGTCAAGGAGCTGGAAAAGAAGATTCGCGACGAGGACGACAACAACAACAACAACAACAGACCGGGCACCTCGCGCAGCGGCAACTCTTCCAACGGACTGGACGATCCCGAAGCCGCTGCCGCTGCCGACCAGGAGCGCGAAGAAGAGGTCTTGTACCTGAGAGAACGCGTCGAAGAGTTTACCACTATCATCGAGCAGCTGCGCCAGGACGTCTTTACCAAAGAAGCCGAGAAGCGCCGCATGGGCGACATGATCAAGTCGCTGCAGTCCGGCAGCACCGACAAGACCACCGGCGAGACCCTGGGCCGCCAAGAGGAAGAGGACGTGTGGAAGGATCTGCTGGAGCAGGAGACTGCCCGCCGCGAGCAGGCCGACGACGACAACCGCAAGCTGCGCGACGAGATCTTCCGGCTGAAGCAGGAGATGCACAGCGGTGGTGCGGGGGCCACGGGGACCGTCTCGTCCAGCGGCAACGGTGTCGGCGAGCGCAGCCTGCACCACACGACCAACATCTACAACATTTCCAAGCGGGCGGCCAACTCCAACGCCAACACCAACGCCAATGCCCATACCCATACCGTCGGCGGCGACACAGACGGTGCGAGCGCCTCCACCGGCAGCAACACGCTGGTCGAAGAGCTCCGTCGCGAGGGCGAGCAACTGCGCCACGAAAACGCCGAGCTACGCAAAGAAGTCGGCGCCCAGACGTCCATGCTGACGTCGCGCAACCGCGAAAAGGAGCGCCTGTACCAGGAAATCGAGGACCTCAAGATGGCCCAGCGCCGCGGCGGCGGGCCCGCGCCCTCGACCATCGACAGCCTGCTGGACCGCTCGGCGTCGCAGATCGGCATGGCCGTGCGCGAGCGGTCTGGGTCGCGAGCCAGCGGCGGCACGCGAGCCGACACGGTCGTCGGCGGCACCGCGACAGGCGCGGCCGACGAGCAAGACCAATACGACCGGGACGCCGCCCGCGAAGACCTCGAGAACCGCAACGCCGCGCTGCGCGACAAGATCAACGAGGCCAAGCTCGAGAACCAGACGCTGCTGCAAGAGCTCGAGGCCACGCTGCTGCAGAAGCAGGAGGCTGAAGAGGTGGCGCTGGGCGTGCAAAAGGACTACGAGGGGGCCATGACGGACCTGATGGCCATGCAGGCGGAGCGCGACGAGCTGATTGCCGAGCTCAACGACCTGGAGCAGAAGCACAGCAACCTGCAGGGCGAATTCGAAGACCTGCGGGCCGAGGCCCAGGACGCCATCGACGGCTACGAGGAGGAGGCCGACCTGCGCGACGCCGAAAACCAGAAGCTGCAGACCGAGCTGGCCGAGAAGACGGAAAACTTTGGCGCGCTGCAAGACGAGATGCGCAAGCTCAGCGAGGCGCTGGTGGGCCTCGAGGACGAGACGGAGAACAAGGTGCGCCGCGTGCAGCAGCTCGAACAGGAGCTCGGCGACGCCAACAAGGAGCTCGAGGAGCTCGAGGCCAAGCTGCTCGAGTCCAACGACAAGGCGCAGCGGCTTCTGGTGCAGCAAGAGAACAGCCAGGGCGAGATTGCGTTTTTGCGCGAGGAGCAGGAGAGCGACAAGATCAACATCAGCCGGCTGGAGGTCAGCATCACCAAGGCCGAGGAGCAGATCCGCGACGAGCAGGAGCGCGTCAAGCAGCTGCAGGCGCAGATTGTGACGGAGCGCGAGCGCAGCGAGAGCCTGGCCACCAAGGACAAGAAGGAGATGCAGCAGTTTGTCAACGAGCTGAGCCGCGAGGCGTCGGGCCACAAGGAAGAGGCGCGCAAGCTGCGCAAGAGCCTGACGTCGCGCGAGGTCGAGGCCACGGAGTGGAAGGAGCGCCTGATGGAGCTCGAGAACAACATGCGCGAGGCCCTGGGCGACTTGAACGGCACGCGGTCCAGCCTGCTCAAGAGCATCGCGCAGATTCAGCGCGAGCTCGAAAACTCGGTGCGCGAGCTGCAGACGACCAAGAGCAACCTCATGGAAAAAGACCGCATCATCAAACAGCGCGACGCCCTGCTCGAGTCGCACGGCCTCGAGGCGCGCAAGGTCGCCGACGCCCTCGAAAAAGAGCGCGCGGCCCACCGCAACACGAAGCACCAGTTCGATACCTTCCAGAAGACGCACCAGCACGTCACGCGCACCGTCACCACCCAGGACGCGCGCATCACCGAGCTCGAGTCGTCCAAGACGCTCGACAAGCGCCGCATGTCGCAGCTCGAGTCCACCTTCCGCGACCAGCTCACCGAGCGCAACAACCTGCTGCTGCTGCTGTGGACGCGGCTCAGCGCCATCTGCGGCACCGACTGGGCCCACGACAACTCGCTCATCAACGGCCGCGCCCTGCCGTCCCTCGAGGTCGTCGCCACCATGCTGCCGGGCTTCACCCGCAATCTCATGGCCGCCATCAAGCACATTGAGGCCGTCGTCGGCGGCTTCCCGGGCCGCATCAAGGCTGTCGAGCGCGATCTCTGGCGCGAGTACCAGTCGCTCGAGAGCACGCTCGACCAGCGCGTCAAGAGGCTGGACCGGCTGGAAGCTGTGGTCCGCAACACCATTTCGGGTGCCGGCCCAGGCGGCAGCAACGGCAGCAGCAGCAGCAGCTTCGGCACCCCCGATCTCCAGAGCCGCTTCTTGCGCTTGGAAGACGCCTACCGCCAGCTCAAGGTCGAAAATACGACGTTGCGCGCCGCCAACGATGTCCGCGCGCGCGTCTACGGCTCGTCGTCGTCGGGCAACGGCGACGGCAGCAATGGCGGCACGGGTCTGGGCATTGGCGGCAGCAGCGGCGTCGGTGCCGACACCATGTTCGACCTCCCCGGCGGCGGCGGATCGCCCTCGCCGTCCATCCCCACTGGGCCCCGCGACCGCAGCGCCAAGCCCGCCCGCGGCAAGTCTAGCCGCAGCGGCGTGCCCCGCCCCATCACCTCGTCGTCGTCGTCGGGTGCCCACCTGTCGCTGACATCGGCGTCGTCGCGGCCCTTGACGGCGGGCGAACTGGCGCTCCACGAGGGCGAGGACAAAGGGTCGGGAGCGGGCGGCGGTGCAGACCCTCGCTGGATTTTGCGGCTGCGCGACCTCGAGAACAAGCTCAAGCTCGAGCGCGAGGGTCGGACCATGGACCGAAACGAAGCGGTGCGGCGGTTGCGGGAGCAGGAAGCCGAGCTGGCGCGGCGCAGCGAGCGAGACAAGCGGATGGGGCGGGAAGACTGAGCGCAAGCGAGCCGGAGGCATTCCACAAAGTTGGCGGAGGGCGTCCACGGAGCCGCTGGAGATGAGTCGATATGGCGGAGATGGAGTTGCATAGCTACAGCGTGTACAAATGTCCTTTTGATTGGCTTGTTTGCATACCATTTTTGTTTTCCGCTGTTTGTATTTACGGGCGCTGGGCATATATTTCTTGACTGCGTTGTTTTGTTTGCCTTTCTCTGCTTTCCCTGCTCTTTTTTCTGTTGTTTGACCAGCCAATACGACATGTTTCTGGATATCCTATTTTGAATTGACTGATTTGTCCATGTTCAGAAACCTTCCGTGTTGGCGAATATCGTGTGTTTATCGCCCTTTCCACATTAACACATTGCGATTTTTGGGTCAACTCCTCGACAATGTCGACATTTCCGTCTCAGTTTGTTCATCAGCCGCCCAAAAAGGTAAGTATTGCTCTTTTAAATACAAATAAGTAGTCCTGTTTCTACCTGTCTTCTTTTTTTAAAAAAATATATAATATATTTCAATATTGTGCGTCGTTGCTTTTATTTTATTTTATTTATTTTATGGGTTAAAATTTATCAGGACTTAAAACCCCACAAACATATATTTTTTTGACTTTGTTTGACAGTAAATCTATTTACAAACAGGGTTGATATGTAAAGAGTGTGCCATTTCCAGTAGTAATTTTGCATACCCAACACCAGCATACATCCTCTCTTGGCCTTCATTGCGTCTCGGCATATTTAGGACATCGTCACCACGCCCAGTTGAGAAACTTCGTGGCAGTTAGACTTTCCTCCGCCGCAAGTCATCATGCCTACACACATTATCATCTGTGTCCATGATGTTAGTGGACTTGCTGCTACATTCCAACGCGTTCGGCTTGCAGCTCTGCCATTGTGCTGGGTGACGGTTGCGTTATGGCCATCATCGTTCCTTCCGAACATGACCAGTATCGCTCTTTCCCAAGAGAGAACAACACGCGGTCGCCCGAGACGCGTCGAAGCAAGACGCGTTTCTTGTCCGCCGACGGTCTCGAACTAAATCCCTGCCACTGTATCTCATCTTCATTTTACAGGCCATACCTCATCATCAACATTTGCCATCATTTTACGTCTACCGACACAATGAGTGAGACTAGCGACGACCACAGTCATCACGACTCCGACGATGACCATGACGAGGACGTAGATTTCGACGACGACGTCGATGACCCTGACCACCTCCTTCTCCTCCACGTCCATCATCATGGCCATGTTTTCGAGCACATGATTGGTGGCGGTCTTGATGTTGTTTGCTACAACAGCCGCTACTACGTTGTCGAACATGGATGGCACGGGGACCTGGAGGATCTTGGTGATATGCTCGTGAGCAGGGTGCCCGAAGAACCAGATCGTTACAAGGGTATGACGTGCATTTTGCATTACGAAAAACGTAACAACAAGCCAAAGTGGCATCTGCTAACGATACGTCTTATCGTCTCGCAGCGTGGCTCGCCAGATTCAGAGAGAAATTCGCAGCCTTGGAGCGGACGCTCGAAGCACATGTCTATCCTCTCAGCGACAACAATGTGAGGACCATTCCGGGCATGTTGACAGCAGGTAGCTTCTTCAGAGCGTACCTGGAGCTGCCCACCGAATTTCCGTACTTTGATTGCTTGCCGGACTTCCAAGACGATGGCGCCTACCAGAACGTGTTTCCCCACAACCAACACATCTACATCACGAATCTGGATGCAGAGGTATTCACCATTGACTACTCGGTGCACTATCGACTGGACAATATTCCCCGAACAGACAACATGTGGTACACTGCCATCGAGCCAAGCGTGTACGGGATGGCCCTGACCGTCAACACGGACATTTGTCCCGAAGAGCACTTGGCCTCTCTCGCCATCGAGCTGCCTGCGCCCGACATGTCCTTTGGCACGACAAATGTGCGTCGCTGCGACCCGCACGTCAAACTTGAACAAGACCACACGGCTTTGTTCGCATTGACCGCTGCAAGCATGTTCGGCACGTACCGCGACACGCTCGCCTGTCTGTGTCGCCAATGGCAGCCCTCGTCGTTTCCCTTCCGAGAATTTGTGTATGCCATTGTCTCATGCGCCGCTGGAAATTTCAGCCTCTGCCAGCCAGCTGCTGTGTCGAAGAGCCACGAGATGCTGGTCCTGCAATCACCCTGGTCCGCCAAGAGACACGAAGGAAAAGAAAGCGCACCTCTCGTGCAGTTCGGCTCCATGTCCCATCTCGAGAATCTGCCTCCGGGTGCTGCCCCGACAGAGACAACGTACTGGCTGTCGAGCAGTTTCCCAGACGTCCTGGTCAGCCTTGTCCTTGTCGTGGATGGGAAGGCGGCCACAGACGCCATGAATTGGGGCATAAAGGCTTGCACGCGCCAAAAGTCAGACGAGGGTCGTTTCTTCATGATCATTATTTCGCTCTATCAGGTTGCCTTGGCAGAAGTGTCCTGGACGAGCAAAGAACAAGACCAGCCACATCTTCGGATATCGGACCCCATGCCCTTGTCGCCTATTGTTCCGGACGATTGTCTCAGCACGCACCCTCGCGAGCGGCCTGTTATGATTCCGGAGGACCCGGACGACGATGTAGATGAGCCCTTCAAGGAATACATGCCCTGGATACGTTACCAAGACGGGCCAGAAAAGATCGAAGCTTTGTTTCCAGGAGTTGCGGCACTGGCCAATTTCTTGGAGGTCTCGACGCGCCGCCGAGACATGGCCGCAGTATTGTCGAGCGGTGGGTGTACTCGCGACAGGAGGGGCACCGGCAGAGGCAGGCTGCCGTACGAGCTGTACCCAGAAATTCTCGACTACGTCGACCACACAACCTGGAAGGCATGTCTGACCGTGTCACGCGACTTCCGTAGCATCTGCATGTCCAAATACCGCCTGGACGACCAAACAGCACTGGTTGAAGTGGCTGGTCGCATCGGTAACTCAGCAGACGACTATGGTTCAATGTTTTTTTTCGGAGAGCGCGTGAACGCAAAGGAAATGTACCTCAATCACATCTACCAGGGGCGGGGCGGCATGACTGACCCTGAGTGGGCAAATTGTGAGTGGATAGTGGTGATTGGCGAGGGGCGGCGAAGAGTTGCCCTGCTGGCGATGGCACAGACGGCTGGTCCGCTTCGAAAGGCAGATTTGGTGGGGACAGATGGCAGAGCACGAGTAATGGTCTGGCCAACACTGGTGTTTTGGTAGACAGACACCAACATCAGACGCCAAGAGGAAGACAGCCCGGGAAGCGCATGGCAATGACAATTCGGGTTTATTACTCGGAGGGACAGGCGGGCTGCAAGAGAGGTGCTGCCCACAGTTAGCCGAACGGCAACGAGGACTGCCGTAGCGAGGCATTCTATATTTGGAGGCAATTTCTGGTACTTTCTCAACGTGACAATACTGACCAATCTCCATTTGCACCGGGCCATACGGAGTATTGCGAGTCGCGATAGCCAAGGGAATGAAGTGAAAATTGAAAGCGCATTGGTGATGACATTTGCCGACAACAGCAATCTATCTGGTAGCCACACCGAATCGGGGAACGGCACTGCTGTTGGTCGCCACTGGCAATCAAGTGTAATCAAACGGCCATATAGCCGGGTAAACAAGACGGACATTTAGATAACCACAACACGGTATACGACCGATAGAGAACAACCCACGAAACAAAACAGGATACCGGAACGCAAAAACTAACCAAGGTTCAGGTATAGGCATGTCGCCAAGGCATTTAAGGAAGGGCCGTCGTCCGTCATGTCGCCTCGAGAGGCGGTTTCGCGTTACTCCTTTCCCTCCTCACTGACCCTTTGTGTTTGCACCTCTCCACCACAGACTGACCACAATGAAGTCGCTCTCTGCCGCTCTTCTGGCGCTCGCCGCTCCGGCTTACGCCGGTCTGCGGTTCCCATGCTCGACGCTCATCTACCAGCGGCTCGATCCTGCGGGCCAGCCGGGCGCGTTCCCCTCGGCGCATGTGCACCACATTGTCGGCGGCAACGCCTTCAACGTGACGATGACCGGCGACGTGTCCTCGCGGGCGTCGTGCACGACGTGCCAGATGTCGGAGGACTTCTCCAACTACTGGACGGCGGTGCTCTACTTCAAGAGCCCAGACAACGGCAGCTACCACCGCGTGCCCAACATCCCCGTGCAGCCCCTGCTGGGCGGCTCCAATGGCGCCGAGGGCGGACTGACGGTGTACTACACGCAGTACGATCTGTCGCGCGACAACCTCAAGCAGCAGCCCGTGACGGCGTTCCCGCCCGGGTTCCGCATGACGGTCGGCAGCCCCGCCAGCAAGACGCGCAACCACATCGGCCTTAGCTACCAGTGCATGTCCGGTGGCAGCCGCGGCACCATCACGGCCGACATGCCGACCAAGCAGTGCTCGGGTGGCATCTTCACGACGCACCACTTCCCGGCCTGCTGGGACGGCAAGAACCTGGACAGCCCCGACCACCAGTCGCACATGTACAACACGGTCAACTCAGACGGATTTACGAACGCGGCGGCCTGCCCGTCGTCGCACCCGGTGCGCGTGCCGCAGGTGACGTTCGAGACGGTCTGGGACACGAGCAAGTTCAACAGCCAGTGGAAGAGCGGCGCGCCCAACCCGTTTGTGTGGAGCTTCGAGGGCAACAGCTACGGCACGCACGCCGACTACATGTTTGGGTGGAAGGGCGACGCGCTGCAGCGGGCGATGAACAAGTCGGAGTGCTTCTACGACGGCTGCGGCTCGATTAAGAAGCAGCAGATGTCGGTGGCCAACCAGTGCAAGATCAAGGACATTGTCAAGGAGGACACGTTGGGCTGTAAGTTTTCCAATAAGCATCGTGACTGTTATCTGCGTCGTACAAAAACTAACCAAAACAGGGCTCACGGAGCTTCCCGGCTGGGGATCGTCGATGTCGATGTAAAGTGTTGGCATAGGGGTGTTTTCGAGTAGTGTTGTTCTTGGATGGTGTTCTAGTACTGCAGTATGTGATGGTGCCAGATGTCGTCATGTCCATTAAAGTATCTTATGTTTCTAAATGTTCACTAGCATCTCCTCATCCGATATCTGGCCACATCTATGCAATCTTTCATAATCTGCAGTCACCAACAACATGTCCGTTCGTGTCCCCATTGGGTCACATGCAGTCTACTCATTCTCCGCCACGTCAATGACCGTTTTGCTAAACTGGCGCGCCGGCACCTTGCGGTTGAACAGAATGTCAATCTCGCGGTAGGAGCGGTGCTTCATCTCGGGCAGGAAAAAGTAGGCCACGATCCAGCTGATGGCGGCCGTGCTGCCCCAGACGTAGCCGCACTTGCCGGCGACATTCCAGCCGGTCGCATTCAGGAGCTGCGAGTTGAGGTAGATGAGGGGGATCTCGGCGACGTAGTAGGCGGCGCGGCCGACACCGGTCGACAGGGCGCGCAGGCGGACCGACGACGTCTCGCTGATGATGGTGTAGGAGATGGGGCCCATGGTGCCGGCAAAGACAAACGAAATCAAGATGCCCAGGATGGCCTGGGTGTAGTTGGTGGCGGAGTTTTGGTGGAGGGACGCGACGATGCCCAGGACAAACAGCAAGGTGACGTTGGTGGCGGTGCCCCAGAGGTAGATGGAGCGGCGGGTGAACCAGCCCGTCAGCAGCCAGGACAGGGCGTTGGCGACGACGCCGAGGCACGAGTTGATGAGATTGAGCTGAAAGGAGCGGTCCGAGGAGATGCCGGCCTGCTCAAAGAAGAAGGTGGCCTGGTTGGCAATAAGGTTGCCGGCCACGTTTTGCGAGGCGTACATGAGGCATGTGATTGTGGTCCGCCGGAGGTCGGTGCCGCGGAACAGGTCCAGCAGCGACGGCGTGCCGCCCAGTTTGTGCTCGATCTCGACGGTTCGCTCAATCATGGCAAGCGACTGCTGGGCGTGCTCGTCGTCGCGGGCCCCTAGGCGCTTGATGGACTTGAGGGCCCTGTCGCGCTTGCCGTGGCGGATCAGCCACCAGGGCGACTCAGGGGCCAGGAAGACGAGAATCAGCAGCGGGGTCGGGAAGATCCACTGCAGGGCCAGGGGCACGCGCCATGCCCACTCGTCGTTGCGTTTGTTGTAGGCCAGCGTGGCGGCGGACACGACGATGCCGCCAATGGACCAGGCCATCTGGAGCGTGGCCGTGCAGGCGCCGCGCAGGGCCATGGGCACGATCTCGGACGCATAGGCCGGCGAGTTGGCGATGAACAGTCCCCACGGCACGCCCTCAAAGGCCTGGCCAATGGTCAGGACGGTCAGGGAATTGGCAAAGAAGCTGATGAAAATGGTGGCGTTCATCATCACCAGCGCCAGGATGGTCGTCCAGCGGTAGCCCAGGCGGTTGGTGATGGGCCCAGCAAGGAAGACGCCGACAAAGGCGCCGCACTGGCCGGACTGGAACAGGGCACTCTGCCAGCGGGTGGGAATGGAGTACGCAATGTTTCCGTCGGCGTCCTTGCCAATGACGACGCCAAAGGTGCGCTGGAAATGCGCGAGGGCGACAAAGTTGCTGTTGAGGAACATGTCGAAGGACTCCATGACAATCGTAAAGGTCATGACAAACGCCCAGAAGCAGGCCCAGGGGTGCTGCTTGACGGACTGCCAGAGGGTCTGGCCGTGCTCGTAGTTCTCGCCGTCAAAGGCGTCGTTCATGAGGACGACGTTATCGAGGACGACGTCGGTGTGCACGGCGTCGGGCTTTTCGACATCGTGAAGGCCGTCGGCGATGCGGCCGGGCGAGGCCGGGGCCGCGTTGTCGGCCACTTTCTCGCTCATCGTGGGGGACTGCGAAACTGTGGCGATGTAGGGCGAGAGAAAACTGTGTATTAGCAAAGAGAAGAGTCGACCGGGAAAAAGCGATTCTGAATAGCAGACAGCAAAAGCGGCTGATCAATGCATCCCTGGCTGGTTTATATACAATCGGGGAGCGGCAGTCGCCGTGAGGAGTCCTCAGGCGTGGCTCGTCATCGTCTCTTCTCGCCTCTTCTCACCTGTATTTTCGCATGTGGTCCATGGTCGTTCGTCTCTCTTCTTCAGCCCATGTTTGGTTGATCCTAAAGCCCGCATCCGTCGTGTAGCCCAAGTTCGCCTCCAAGTACACGCAGTCGTCGAAAATCTTTCCTGTTTGGGACTCTTTGCAGCGCCGAGGATCCCCGGCGTCGTATGTGGTTGGCCGTTTTGGAGTACAACGCCAGTGGCCTGTTGGTGGATGACCGAGACGACGTACGTTTTTTCCTCTTGCAGTGGCGTATATCTGCTGGTCTGGTCCTGCGTCTCGGATGTGTTTGCTCCGATACACAATGCCACTGGAGCATTGACTGTCACCCTGGGGACCAAGGCTGGGGTGCTTGTGGGCGGGGATTGTCTTGATTGTTCATGGGTGTCGTGGAGTATGGATTTCAAAAGTACGTGACGTTGGGATGATGGATGCAAAGGCCCAACAAAGTAGACAAGTTGGCTACTGGTTGACAAACACGGAAGCCACGACATGCACACCTCCTCTTTCCTTGTTCCCCTTTCTCTTTCCCTGTCTCTTTCCCTGTCTCTTTCCTCTGTCTCTTTTCTTTTCCTCTTTCCACCTTCCCCGGCCGACCACAACACAAGACTACATAATTGGTACGTGTGGAAAAGAGCTTTGCAGGGAAGGAACGCAGATGTCAGGCCTGACGTGTCAGGATGCAGAATACGAAGTCCACACAAAACCAACACAAGATGAGGCGTACGTTTAACGTATGGTGGTTTTTGAGGCGAGCTACGCCCTAAGAGAGACCAGAACACGCCAGATCGACAGTAGATGCGGGGGCTAGGGTGGTTTTGAACGGTATTTTGCGGGGGAGTGTAGAGGCAAATGGCGCTAGTCTACAGTGGGTTTGGCCGTGTGCGCAGTAGTGCGCCCAGAAGCGCGCCAGCACGTTTAGTGGTTACCAGATTTCAGCGAGCGCAGTGCTAACCTCCTGACTTACTATGTGGCGATCGCTACAACCAGCTAAAATTGGGCAGACGAGATCGTCAGCGTCATGGATGAGAAATAAGAGACGAATGCGCCGAGAGCCGCACGCTGGCTTGTTTTTGACAGTGACTCCGTTGCGACACTTTCGTAGAACACAGAGACGATGTTGGAGGACGAGGACGAGTGCGTCCAACTACAAAAGGCCATGCAAGAACCGTGGCAACTTCTGATGCGTTGTCTGCTGAGTCCGGCACAATGCCTCCGTAGCTGTTGTCTACGACGCGGGCGGATGTATTGTGCTACGTACAGAAGTACTCTCTACTCTGTACTCTGTACTCTATATTATGAACGGTGTACGTTATAACTCTGTGGCCTTACCGGGAACAACGACCATTCGGCCCGTTCTTTTGATCTTGCAGGTTTCAGGCGCGTGCCCTACTTGTATCCTTGTGTAGCAGGATCTTCGACAATGTCCCTATCAGGCAAGTCGTCTGGAACGGCGTGACGTTACGCGCACTTGTGGGGGGAACAGGGGGTCATTACGCCACAACCGAGATGCGGGGATTGGGGGCCGGTGTTGGTTTGGGGATGTGCGCCGGCAACCGGGCTATATCTCGGAGATACTCTTCACGGCTTATGAGAACGGGCCACTTACACTGCTTCAGTGACTCGTGTCTTGTCTGCATTTACGACAACCCGGAGACCGTACTGGAATACAGAAGAGCGAGCAGTTTCTGCACGGATGTGAATCTCGACGGGGCGACGACTGATCTATCATTGGTTCAAGCACCCAGATTTCCCACCCGTCCTCATGCCTACGCCGTCTTTCCTCCCATACCCGGCAACTCGGTGATCCCTGTTTCGTTTGTTAGTGTATGTTCGCACCGTTTGACCTGGGTCGTGGGCCACGTACAGTCCTGGCTCTCCTCGAACTGCGGCTTCTTGGTGCACTTCATGGCTTCGGCGTCCGTCTGTGTCTTGAGCACGTCGCAGACGTTGCCTGTGCACTTGGCGCCGAGCGCCCGCTGGAGGGCATCGCCCTTCCACCCAAACACGTAGTCGCCGTGTTGCGAATAGCCGGTCCTGTGCAAAGAGACGGTTGCAAAGAGACGGTTAGTATGGTATGTAGCAGGCGAATTGATTTGGGCAATGGAGGCCCAATGGAGGCAATTGAGAACGTACTTGTCGTTGGTCGACCACAAAAACGGCTGTGGCCCATCCTCCGGCCACAGCGTCTTATCGTTAAATGGCCGCGTGTCCCACATCACCTCATACATCACCTGCGGAATGTGGACCGGGTGCGTCGACGGACACGCCGCATTGTTGTCAAACGTCCCTTTGGGCGGGTAAGCCACATGGCTTTCGTGGTCCGGGCTGTCTGTGCTGACGCCGTCCCAGCACGTCGGGAACGTAATCACCGTCCGGATGCCGCCTGGGCACGGCTCCTTCGGTAGCGACTCCGTGTCCGGCGACGAGCACTCGATGTTGTTGCGGTCGCCGTCGGCAATCATGCACCGGTGGCACACCTTGCGGTCTTTTCCCCGCTTGCGCAGCGACGCGTCCCCGACGAGCATGCGGAACCCGGGCTTGAACGCCGTCACTCTCGTCTTGCCGTCGTACGGCGGGATGTAGTACACCGTGATGCCGCCATTGCCTCCGAGGCCGACGTTGGGAAACTGCGGCACCCGTCGCAACGTGCCGTTGCGAGCCTTGAAGTAAAGGACGGCGGTCCAGTAGTTGGAAAAGTCCTCGGAAAATGTGCAGCTCGTACACGTCGACGCGGTCGGCAGATCGTGCGTCGACGGGTCCATAGTCGCGTTGAACGAGTTGCCGCCTACAATCTGGTGCAGGTGTGGCGACGGGATGGCGCCTGGGTTGACCAGCGGATCGATGCGGTCGGTCACCAGCTGCGAGCAGCTGAACCGCAGCATCGGCGCCCGGGCTTGGGCCCACGCCTGGTGGAAAAGCAGTGTGAACGCGAGTGTCACGACATGCATGATGGCATAAATGTCGATGTCGAATTCCAGGGCATGCCTTCAAGAGCACGGGCTGTGTCCTTGGAACGCAGGCCAAATATACAACAAACGACGAAATCCATGGACATTTCTTGCCTATCGTCGGGATCATCACAAACAACTGCCGGGCTGAGGTCGACAGACACACTTTATCCTGATAGTGCCCTATATTGCTCCCGCCCGGATCCGTCGTCCTCTGTTCTTCCGATGAGGAACTCGAATCCTTCTAAACTAGTAAATATTCACAATGGCCATTGCGTACCAGCAAATCAACGAGGGGCTCAACATGTCATGTAATCGTGTCACTAGATATGCATTTAAGCATACTTCGTAAAGCCACGGCTGGATCAACGGTGAGATTAACTGCTGCCGGCCTCTAGCGCCGTAATTACTTTGTTTTCGCTCGACGGCATTATCTTCCCGCCATAACAAAGCAAGGGCTAAAACAACGAGCACCGGGTGTCGGTCGCCACAACGAGCATGAAGTACCAGGAATTTCTCCATCTGCAATATTTGTGATACGACACGGAGTCCCTTGCCGCGCGCAACTACAGTCCGCAAGACAACTCTCCCACAATCAGACAACTGTTGGGCAGTCGAATCGTGCGCGTGGATCTTTCTGTTTGCCTCATACTATTTCTACAAACATGCTTTTATCAAACGGACATTCCATGTAAATGAACGTATCCTTGATAGGTTCGGCAGGCCAAATATTATTCGATACAATGCTGACCACGCCTTGAACGAAACCGCTGCGTTACAGATTATTGCCACGAATTCTACCATCCCTGTCCCTATATCCCTTGGTATCGGACAGCAGGACGACCTGGTGTACTGAAAGGATAGAAATGATCGCCAGCGCGTGCCGAACTGGCCACAATGAGCGAGGAAGATGAACAAAGGGTAGTCCCCATTCTTCGTCAGCAGCTGGGTATGGGCGTACTGCCCCAGACCTGGGCTCTGCGACGCAGTCGCTTCGACGGCATCAATGCATCGCTGCCGGCCATTCTATCCCCGTGTGCTTGGCCAGATGAGGAGCAGATAAAAATACCATTCGGGCAGCCCGGACTTACAAACGACGCAAAGTGCTTATCAATACGTCCTAGGGCGGAAGCGCTGCGTTTATGCAAAGGGTTGACCCAGCATCCCGCGTGTGATTTTGTGTCTTTCCTGTTCGTTCTACGCCCCTGTCCCCGGTGCTGCCCGCACTTTCTATAGCCGCCGTAGTCCGTGGTATCTCGTTGTACTGTTATGGGCGTCCGGTAAATGTACGGCTGGATTTAGCTTCACGCTCACAAAGGTTTCCTTAGTATATGGTCCTCAAATGATGATCGTTTCAAATTATACAAAATGTAAGACTAGAAACAGTAAGTGCAAACGATCATGACATCTAGGCACCGGCCGTCATGACGTACGGCAGCTAAACTAAAGGACGTGCTCCAATGAAAAACATTGTCAAAAAACAAACGACTGTCCCTAGAAAGGCCATTTTTGACGAAACAATTCAACCATTGCCAGCCAACGAAAAGGAAAAAAAAAACACCTTCCGCGGGCACTTCCCTTTCCAAAGTCCAGTCTCCATTCCGGTGCTCGCCACAGTGGAGGGACCACCAACGTTGACCCCATTTGCAATGTTCGCATTCTAGACCTCCGCGTCATCATCGTCGCCGTAAATGATGGTCTGTGCCGGCGCATCGTCACCAAAGGCCTCGCGCTCCAGATCGTTATAATGGCTCGCGACGAGAAGGGCATCCAAGATGCTTTGCTTAAACAGATCCACCGAGAGCGGGACACTGTAGGTACCGGTCGGACCGCTCTCCGGGAAACCCCAGAACGACTGGGCCTCTCCTATGGACATGCAACCGATAGCAGCGGCGATGTACAGCAGCATGGCCCGGCGGACAGGGACGCCTGTATCGGCCGAAACCAGCGTGTCTGTTGTCTTCAGCCCAGGGATGGTAGTGCTGGCCGAAGCCGTGCCTTCGTCTGGGAGGTGGTACCACAGCGCCCACTTGCTGGCCTGCAGGTCTGCAAGCGCGACGCGCTCCAACGGCTTGTATGCTGGGCGCCGTCCGAGACGGAGCGACGCGACGAGGAGCCGGAACTGGAGGTAGCGGATGTTCGGGCGGGCCTCGGTGCGGAACGACAGGCGGCGGTTGTGCAGCTCGTCGACCCAGTCGGGGCGGTCTTCGCTGGTGAGCAGATCCTGGTCTAGAATGACAAAGTAGTATGCAAACCGCCGCTCGTGCTGAAAGACCTGGAGGGATGTGGTGATACTCGAGGCATCGCCAAAACTGCCGCCGGCAGCAGAATTCGAATCGTCGATCCGGGCGACAACAGCGGCCCGGTCTTCTCTTACAAGCTGCGCCAGCTCTGCGTTCATCACCAGCCCGTTGGCCACGTCCCATGTGTGCGGATCGGCGCTTCCGTCTACGACGAAAACGCTGTTGAGGTAGCGGCTCTCACCCGCCTCCACTGGACCAAAGAGGTCGTTGGCAATGTCATGGCCGCCGTCGAAATCGAAGTCGACAATCTTGAGCACGTCCATGTTCTCCGCGTGCTGATGACGCCCCATGATGGGACACCAGAGATGCTCCTCCAGCGACGCATCCCACAGGTCAGCCACGCTCTTGTGGTTGTACACCACATACATGAAGTACTCTATATTTATGTCTTCGTAGACGTCGCTGCAACGGTCTACCCGTGAAGGACGGGGATCAAATGGCTCGCAAATGTCCTCATAATGATGCTGAAAGAGGTCTTGGAGCATGTTCATTATCCCTTCATTGTTCGGAGCGCCCCAATGCTGCAAGAGGTCGTATACCATGGCGTCGGTAATGTCCAACTTACGGGAAATAAACACAGACAATAAGCGAACGTATTCGTTCCGGCGTCTAAGTGTGGCCATCCAACGGGCCTCAAACTGCGACTTTGAAAAGCCGGTCACCTGGCTGTGCTCGTCCGTCCATACGGTATGGTTGGCGGCAACGAAAAGCATGTCAGCCGTCCGCCGAAACTGCCTTTCGGAAATCTGTGCATCTGTGAAGAGCTGAGCAGCATAGTGGTCCACCACAAGCGCCGCGGCGGAAGTCGCCGAGGATAGCGTGCTGTTTCTACGTCAGTTGCTGCGGTCTCAAGAGACACAACCGTCTGGTGAGCGGTAGGAAAATTGGGCAACATAACTTACGGGGGCTCGATGCCATTCCCATTGATGGAGACCATAGTTCCGGAGCTGGCCATTGTCAGATACGCATTGATGCATGAAAGCTGGAATCAGAGGAAAGGGTGTACAGGTGCTCCTCCCATTTGTGTCGCAGTATCGTGGTCGAACAAAATTATACAGTCTGGGAATGAGAATAAGCGGCAGACGCGATTGACAAGAGTCAAAGAAGGGAAGAAAGGAATGAGAACTGGAAAACATCGCAAGGACGGAATATTATCGACAGGGGAGGTACGAGAGAGAGAACGAGATCAGAACTGAGCGAAAAGTGAGAAAAATCTGAAGCAACCAAATTGGGCAACGCCTGTCTTGTGTATGTAAAAGTCTTCCCATGTTGAATCTAAAATCGGGCAATCTTGTCATTGTCACACAAGCAGTCCGCTCGCAAGAACAATGGCATTTTCAAGGCTGGATGGGTTGATCATCAAAATCGAACGCCCACGGCGTGTGTAACTTTTGTGCCTATAATCTCAGAGCCCCGGCCATATCTTGTAGTTATTGCAAGTGTGCTTTGGCGCACTCTCAATGAGCCCCGCTTTTTCAGGACGAGCACTTGAACCTAGACCTTGCGGCCTCCATCCTAGCATCGATGTGTATTTGCCTCTGTGATGGAGCGTCGTTTTGGCCTCAACCGGAGGCAAGAATAACGGTACATCCTAGCGACGATGCTCTAACAACATACTGGCATGCAGTCTACAGGTCGTCGACAGCACGAGACTAAACGAACTACGCAAGTGACTCGCTCAGCTTTCGCCACACAACCCCGGGTGGCCTTTCTCAATGATCAGTTAAGCATTCGAGAACTACTTGAATCGGCAAAACTTGTTTGATTCTTATCCCGATTTTCACGTTCGTTGTCCAAATTTAGAAATTGTGGTGACAGCACCGTCTCTGGTGTCCATCGACTCGACCAAGACCCGAGAGCGATCCGGGTACGACACATAGCAGAAGGGGCGGGACCAAGGAGCTCAATCTGCTTCGCATTTTGACTTACTAGACGTAATACTAACTACAAAACATTTCTCCATTTAGTAAACAAGAACACTAATGCGCCGATACTATATAACCCGAGCTTCTATTGTATACCGAAAACAACTTGCATATCCTCCTCTGCAACACATCGCCGACGAAACATCTTTTATCATCCCCATCGTCTGATTCACGTCCGCCGGGTTGTCCATCTCTTGACTTGGGGCTGTCCTACGGCCACTCGTCCGGGAACTGTCCATAAAGAAACATATCGTCCAACTCCGCTTTAATTTCCATTTCATCAATAAACGGCCGGGAGGCGATTTCCCTGTCTTCCACGACTCTGTTGCACGCCACGGTCCACTCCAGCGCGTGGATGGTCGCGGCTTTCTCCTCGTCGTCTGTCAAAACAGGGGGTTCACTTGACACGCTCCACAAATACTGTGCATTCTCTCGAGACAGACAGCCAAACAGGACACTGAACTTGAAAAGGATGCACTGCCGAAGGCGGCCCTTTGGCGACGCGCCCAGCGAATTCCAAAGCACCCGGCCCACATCGCGCAGCAACGAGCCGACAGCATCGTCTTCATCGCTCGGAACGATGATGGGCACGTCTTTCGGGACATCGCACCGCCTCTGGTGCAGCGCATCGATAATGAATTTGAAGCGCAGGAAGTCCTTGCTAGGTCGGTGGGACGTACCCCTGAACTGGAGTCTCTTTCGGTGGAGCCCGTGCATCGCATCTGGTGCGTCGGGTTTGCGCAAGTCTCCGTCGAGGAGGTATATGACATAGCTAGAACTTCCCGTCTCGCCGTCGGTGCCTTCGTTGTCCTCAACGGGAAGAATAGCAGCGCGCCCGGAATCCACCAGCTCCTTGTACAAGCCACACATGACCATGCCGTTCTCGGGTCGTTTCATCGGCGTCAGCTCATCGTCGGTGCCACCAAAGAGCGCCTTGGACGAACCCTCATAAACACCGAGGCACTTGAGCACCGGACAGCGAGCAATATTCGTACGGTGCACGTATCCACCAAGAATGGGACACCAGACATTCTGGGTGACCGGGTCTCGCGCCATGGGAATACTGCGATAAAATGAGACCGTCCAACTTGGGTCGGGGTTGGGTGTAGCAGTGACAGTGTCGATCAATGCATCGTCGTCGAAGTCCGAGCTCCGTGGTATGCGCATCCACTCTGTCTCGATGTCGCACCGCTTTTCGCCTGGCCGGACCATAAATTTGCTCAGCGCAAAAAGTATTTCCGAGCGCTCTCGCAGAAGTCGTCTTCGTTCACATTCGTAGTACGTCAGGTTAGCCAGTCCCTTGATCCACATGTCATCGAGCACATCCAACTGGTCGTCCAGCCGGGAATACGACTCTTTCTGTTCGCGCATCTTCAGCAACAACCTCGAGCAGAAGGCCTGTAGGCGCTGGCGGAGGGGGCCCGAAGGGGTCAGCTTGACGACAAAAGTTTTTGCAGTAGATAAATAGGAACCCATTGTTGAGTAGGGAAGTGGCGTAATATATAATAGGATATATGGTAGTGTACATCCAAATCGAGGCTGACAACAGGTGGTAACGTGCGGTCAGATGTTCGAGATCAGTGGTAAAGGTGATGACAAAACGAGGTTCACACGGTTGTAATAGACAGATTCACAGTTGAAAGGCGCAGGAGACGGGAAGAAACATGCACTTAAATATTGTCACAAAGTCTGTACATTGCTCATATGGCCATCGTATGGAATGAACTTTATTTGTTGTGGTGCGAGGTCGTGATCCTGTATCTGCCAACGTGAACGCTCAGAGCTGTTTATAAAGTTCAACCAATCATGGCTCGGGACAAGCGCCAAAGTTGGTTAAGGCTACGCTACAATCTCACGGAGTATGAACTCCAGCGCAACACACTGTTGTCTGGTTGTCTGTATGCCGTTCGTACAGCTGGTTCAATTCTGTGCAATGTTGTCCTTCTAAATCTCGTGTTCAGTTCACAACAAAACGTTAGAATACGCACAAGAACAACCATGCTAATCATCTCTACTGTTTTGTGTCCAAATAAATAAAGGCGCAAAACTCTGTAACTTAGCAACAAGGTACAGATTAAAATTTTAAGTTCAATTCATGAAAATGCTACTGTGAGATGTCAACTGCTCTACACGGTCCTGACTTCAGTTCCGAAAATTACAATTTTCATTTAATTTTTTGCCGTGTCGAACTTTATAACGGAAACTTAGTGACGGGCATCAGATAACACAAAAGTTGCAATTCTCTGACACCATGACATAACACGTGCGGAATAAAAGTCCAACCATTTCCTAACTTGCGTCTCAATCTTGCCAGAGTTGTTTACTGGCGACATCCATGCCTCATAAATCACCTTTATAATTTGTGGACCAACCGTGGTTCTTTCGTGGCAATACAATTTTGGGCTAATGCCACACCAACGACAAATAAATACTAGATAAACGAACCTAAAAAAACCCCACAAAAAAGAACACAGAATGAGTAGATTGGCAGCAACCTAGGGTGGCGCCGAGATGTTGTATTAATAAGCAAATAAAATATAGCGAATGTATAAAACCAGTAAAAACAAGCCACTCCGGCAGCGATACACGAAAGTTTATTTCGTTCAAGGAGCGATCAATACCCATGTACACAAGGGCCATTCGCCGCAAGAGTGTCTACACTTTCGACACGCTGTCTTGCTTGGTGGGAATAATGGGCTGGTTCGAGTCCAGCTCGCCGACCTCGCTGACCTCGCCTTCACCCTGAATCACAAAGGGTGCCACCTGCTGGTCGTGGACCATGTGGGAAATGTTGACCTTGGGGCCCTTGAACCACTTGTGTGCGTCAACCCAGAACCAGACAACGGCTAGCAGCATAGGTGCACCCCAGCAGAGAATGGTCCAGTTCATGCCCTGCGCATCCAAGTCGGCACCCGTGACGGAGGGCAGGCAGAGGATGGGGATCATGAACAGGGTGAACGTGGTGGACAGGACGCCAATGACGTACGAGAATTTGCCCAGGTTCCAGGGCCCCGGGCGGAAGCGGCTGCCTACAAAGAACGTGCGGATGGCAATGGGGATGGTGAAGGCGACAAAGGCGCCAATGGCGCCAATGGAGAAGATGGCACCGATGGCGGCGTCGCCGGCAAACAGTAGAAGCACAGACACGCAGCCAACAAAGCAGTTGAGCCAAACGGCATTGACGGGTGTCTTGGTAGTCTGGTTGACCGAGGCCCAGTACCGCGAGAGGGGGAGGCAGCCATCACGGCTGTATGAGAATGTGACACGCGACGCAGCAACCATGCAGCCCTGGCCCATGCTGAAGCCGGCAACAATGGTCAGTGACAGGCAGGCGAGGGCGGTCTTTTCACCAAGCACCTGCAGCAGGTAGGCAGCAAAAGGCTGACCGCTCGCATCATTGAGGGCGGCGTCAATGTCGACAATCGTATAAGCAATGGCCATGTTCAAGGCCCAACCGATGGCGCCGCCAATGCCAGAGGTCATGACAATGGCGCGCGGGCTGGCAATGTTGGCGTTGGAGCACTCCTCGGATAAGTGGAACGGCGAGTCGTAGCCGCTCATGGTCCAGATGACGGCGATGAAGGACATCAAGATAGACACGCCCTTGGGGAAGTCGGTACCCGGGTAAAACTCGCCCCAGACGGCCGACGAGTCGTTGAAGCGAGACAGGCCCTGGGACGAGCGGTTGTCGGCGGCGAGGATGACAACGAACACGACGACGAGGGCCATCATGTTGAAGGTGCTGCCAATGGAATTGAACTGGGCCACGAACCGCGTCGGCGCCGACGAGATAACGGCATGGACGATCATCAAAAAGACGGTCAACAGGAACACCTGGTAGGTTTGCGGGCTATAGTCTGGGTGCGTTATGGAGGCAGCAGCCAGGATCATGGCAGCTAGTGAGTAGTTGACCGAGGGTGCGGCCGTGACCTGACCCAGCCAGTTGGACCAGCCCGTGCACCAGGCAGCAAAAGGGCCGTACTTGGGTGGCGCCAGGACGGCCGAGGCATAG